TTTTTTTTTCAAATTTGGTTTATATATTTTAAAAATGTTTTAAGAAGTAGATAATCAAACAATGAAATATAAGGTGGAAGCAGTGTTTCAAGGTTTATTTTTAAACAAAAACAAGAAATGATTATCAAACAGAGCTTGAACAATCAAATTTCTGTTTAATAAGTCATTGAATTTTAAAAAAGTATCTACTGTTTAGTTTTATGTCGAATAAATCTTAAAATTTAAAAATGTCTACCATATCTCCGTAAACTCTTAATTATATGTCTAATAAATCAACACCATATTTAAAATCTTAAAACATCCCTATCTTATAAAACAATTACCTGTCTAATAAAATTTTAAGAAATTTTCAAACATGACAAGTTATTAAACATAAAATTAAAAATTGATGAACTTATTTCACACAAATGGAAGGATTTTGATATTAATAATTCCACCAGAAAATTAAAAATAAAATAAACAGTATATTTTTAATTTTTTTAACATTTGAAAGCTGTACATTATGCTTGTTTTGGATTTTATAAATAATGAACCAAAATTCATTCTCAATCTGCAGTTGACTCGCAGCGTATCTCAAGAGTCAAAGACGAGTGAAGGGGATTCAGATTTGTTATAAAATTCAACGCCCTTTTGAAAATTTTTAACAGCATTTGCATTAGGCATTAATTAACAAACAACATGCCAATTTTCTTTTCCCTTATTCTTTTTGTTTCTTTTCGTGCAGGTATTTTCTTTTTTAATTTTTTAATTTTAGTTTTATAATAATGGACAGAGAAAAACACGGTTTGTGTCAAGTGTCAGATCAGATTTCAAACCAAGTCGAGTTTAATTTAATTTATAACCATTTTTAACAATTAAAAAAAGTTAATGGATATGGGGAAAAGTTTTTTTTTTTCCCTTCATTTTAGTGATCGTTGATTCAAAATATCTTGGTTTGTGTTGATTTTAGTTCATGTACTTTCAAAATTTATGTGTTAATCGCATGATTTTAAATATACATCGACACGTCGACATTTCCATCGACATATCCATATTTTCATCGGTTCGACATCAACATGAGGAGTAAATCGACATTTCCATCGTAGTACAAGAAAATCGATAAAATATGAAAAATATCAACAAAATGTCACTAATATATAGATAATATTAAGATTAATTATTTTTAACTAATTTAGAAATAGGAAAATGCGCCCCAAGCCTAGCCTGACGTGTCTTTTCAGAATGTTTTGTCCTTAACTTTAGAGTTCTTACGATTGAGTAAACCTTGTTAGTATAGATTGACTATTATTTCTTTTAAACCTTCTTGATCATTCTTCCATGATCTCAGGATCCCTCTCCTTTGGATGTGATATCGGTTCACTCATGTACCCCTCCTCTCTACTTGAGTGTCACAACCATCGATTATTGACATTTTGTCGATATTTCCACGAAATTGAGACCTTGGGTCATCGACATTTCCATCGACATCGACATTTAAAACCTTGGTTAATCTGCATACTTCTAAAAAGTTATTATTTCAATCTCTTCATTTTTTCAATATCACTTTCAATCATATTTTAGCATGACACTTCAAAAGGTAGTCATAAATTTGTTTTAATTGTGTATAAAATTTGTGTTAAAATTTTGTCAATTTTTAAAGTTACATGAACCAAAACGAGTATTGAAAGTAGACTAAGATGAATAAAAGTTATAATTACGTAAGTATATGGACCATAATAAAATAAACATAGAAGTACCAAAATCAAAAATAATATTTAAAGAGTATACAAATGAAAAAAAAAAAGGACTTTTTTTAGAGACAATTATGGCGGATAATTAGGGTAAAATTAGGTAGGGTGGGGGTAGCTACGTTTCCCATTTAATAGCCGCGCCTCTTGAACAAAAAATCGATGCTAGATCCTTCTCTCCATTATTCTACTCACAAATATGACACTACCTTTTCAGTAATGTTCATATCTATCATATATTCGTCCCATTTCTAAAATTATTTCCAATTCAATTGCTACAAAATTAGTAGAAAGATAAAATTAGGCACTTATCCTTATACTATTTATTAACTTTATGTAAAAAAAAAAAGAAGAAGTTAATTACCGGTCTCCCTATTTCGTATTGAAGATGCAAACATGATCTTTCATTGGAAAAGATAAATCTCTCAAATATTTTAGATCAAATTAATGTCTTCATTGATAGGTAGAATCAAATAGTAAAACCATACAAATAAAAAGAAAAGCAATATTTTTTAATTGTGGACACGTAATCAAGTCTATTTGATCAGAATGATCAGGTTCGAACTTGGTAATCGACGTACGAAGGACTTGCAAAATAGAATTAACACTGCGTCGCTTAAGTCATTACACAATCTAATCTATACTCGAGAGAGATTATAGATTTATGTGCCTACGTGAGAAGCGGGATTCTCTATTGATAGAGGTGAGCTCCCAACAATACTTCGGACAACCTAGGACTGAATTGTCGTGTTCGAGAACATGTTTGTCATCTCTGCTCCTGCGAATACTTTAAGTTCAAGACATACTTAGCATATAGGTCAACTAGTAGCCAAAACGTAGATTGGAGTAAACTTGTTGTCCATGAATCTTATCATTTGAATCTTCAGATCATCTTACACTATAACATCTGATGTTGACACGTGGTGAGTGATAATAATGTCTCAAAGTTTATTTATTTATTACATGAATATAATAAGTCATGGAAACTTTTTTGTTACTATTTAATGAAATAGTTAATGAGGGTAAAAAGTGCATGAATAATCCTACGTCAATTGTGAATTATTAAGAAATGGAGAGGGAGAGAGAAAGTAGAAAGGAATTAAAGTCGTAATTAAATTTGTGCAAAATAATATAAAGAAAAAAGGAGAGATTGTTCTTGTTGGTGTTTTTTCCCACCAACTCCGGGAGACGGGTCAAAATTTTTGGATCTTGGGCTCGCCTTAATTATTCAAACAAAGTTGAACTGGAAACCCATTTTCGTAAATACCATTTTAAATTTTAAATCCCTTTCAATTTTTAAATATTACTAAATCACGTTCCTACCATCTTTAGTACAAACTTCATGGTTGGAGGTATATACCAATTACTGTTCGCTTTGACTAATATTATTGATACTTAAACCACCTGAGTTATGTTACGTTCTTGTGTCTAAACTTACAAATTATAAATAGTTCAATAGACATCTATTATCATCTAAAATGTTGATGGTTCGATCTTTAATATTAACCCTTACGGTTGTTGAACTCCAAAAGAAAAAAAAAATATGATCATCGAAACTAAGAGCTCGTATAAACTATACTACTTCTACTTTTACTCTTTGGCATGACTTATACTATACTACTGTTGCGCAATTGTCCTAAATTATACTCGGTGTTTAATGTTCTAGTACATCTAAATTTTTTATAGTTATAGTGACCTATAATAATTTTTTTGGTGTAATAATTTCAAGATGAATTATGATTACAACCTTCGACTTTTAAAAGAAATTACTAATAACTTTTAACTAGTTGAGTTATACTTTGATTAACCGTAATAATCTTCGGAAAGAAACTTTGACAGAAGATGTTTCATGCTAAACTGTGTAATAGTAGAGGTTTTTTTTTGTGTTGAAAAAAGTGATAAAAGAAAAAACTTATCTTCCATCTCCTACATAATTTATGAAGTTATATATATTAATAATGCGTAATTATCAATACTCTAATTTATATATTAAATAGATTTATGTATATATTATTTAGTCAACGTGAAAATTACGACATTACATTATATGTTTTAATGAATAAAAATATTTGATTAATTAAATTTAAAATTCAAAATTACTAGCATTAGCACGTAAAAGAAAATCTTCACTTTATAATCATTTCCCACAAAACCATACATGATACAACTCCCACTCCCCCTCTCTCCTTTTTATTTATTTACAATAATCTTTAGTGGGCGTAGGAGAAATTTGGTAGTACGTGTCCTGTCAATTCAATTGACATCCTTAATCAAAATCAAAATCAAATTAAATAAAAGAAACAATTATCATTAATAAAAAGAAAATGTTACTTGTTTTCACACTCTTATATCTAAGTGAATAAATCACATTTAAAGTTTTAATTTTACATGAATATATGAGAAAATTAATAAATATCATTCTTCAAAACAATATAGAAATTTGACAATAAAAAAAACAATAAATCAGCTAAAAATTGTCTAAATCAGACCATTAATTATTGAAAGTGAGCCAAAAAATTAGAGAGTACTAATATAATTAATTATTGAAGCTCATTATTAAATTGTATAAAATCAGTATTTTAAAAAATGTCCTGAAATCGTAAATTGATATTGATTTGACTGCTGGGGCGCTTAGTTAATTAATTACAGTCTCGTCACAGACGCGGAGCTGCAAGTTGAAAGTGTTTAAGTTTAATCAATATCCGAAATCTCAATTAAGGAAGCTGGTTAAGGTAATTAATATTTAATAATGCATGGAAATAATTTTTTTAATTACTGTATATCTGAATAAAATAGAGTGGAAATAGGAAATCGGAATCAGTTTTTTTTTTCTTTTTTTTTTAATGTGTTTTTTTTTCACGAGAGCTTTCAACATTGTCGTGATTGGATCTGTACAAAATCTCGCCTTCCTTCTCCCACTTCCCACACCCACACTCTCTCTTCTCTCTCTCTCTCTCTCTCTCTCTCTCTCTCTCTGCGCATCCATTCGGCAATGAAGGGTTAGAGAGAGACGGAAATCAATTCGCGAGGTCAAAGAAGACGACAATGGCGGCCTAGGGTGTCGGTTCTTCCTCTCTTAAATTCAACCTCATCTTCAGCCACTGCTATTTCTCCTTTTCTGTTCTTCCATTCGAGCCAACTCTTCGCTCTTTCCACAGGAGGTATTGTTTTTTCTTTTTGTTGGATTCTTTGTTTCTTCTTGCTTCTTCTTTTGCTACTGCTTCTAATCTACTCTTACCGAAGTAGCTCGGATTCATCGTTTTTGGCTTTTTATTATTGTAGTGGTAATAATGAAAAAGAATCATGTCACGGGTCACTAGTGAATTTTCTTGCAGTTGAATATGACTCTGCCTGGGGTTTTGGAGCTGTCTAGTCTGTCTTCAATGACCTCTAATGTTTTTAACTAATGATGTGGTGTTTTCCTGTTTGTTTACAATGTGAATTTTCACTTTCGTTGCTGAATTGGAAGGTTTAGTCTCTTCAATAGATGAAGGATGTTTTTCTTTTTCCTCCACTTTATTGCTCGATCGGTTTTGAAATCGTTAACGACTGATATTAGTAGTGGTTTTCTTGATCTAATGTTTTGAATTGGAGATGCGGATCTTAAAAGACGAACTGGTTATTTTGTTCTGTTTTTTATGCTGGTGAGTGTGCGTTGCTTTCGGTGAAGATGTAATCTGATTCTTCGCATCTCTTCGGATTTGAATCTTGTTGCGAGATTCTAAAGTAATCGATTTCTCCGTGTTAATAATTTTAACTCCATCGAGGTGGATAATAACTTGCTCTGCAACGTTCTGCTGCGTTCCTGTTTTCATATTTGGATTGTAACTTTTGTTCATTCACTTCTTCTAATTTTGGTATCTTCCAGTGTATTTTGACGTTACCACGGTAGACAATGTCCAGGCCCTTACATCGAGGTGCATCCGGCGTTAAGGTACATGTTCATAGCGATGATAAATGGGACTCCCAAATGAAAGATAAAACTGAAAAGGAAGAGGTGGACAGAAGAGGTTTTTCAGATCACGGAGGAAATTTGGCTCCGAGGCTACCCTTTCGGGTACTTCTTCCAGAGAATTCCCCTTCTAAATATGGCGGCGCTAAGAATGGCTTTGCTTCTGATGCATTTATAGTTGGAAATTCACGAAGTCGGCAGCAATTTATATTGCAAATGTTGAGATTAAGTTTAGTATTGATTATAATTCTTGCTATTACTGGATCCTTTTGGTGGACACTTTCCATTTCCGGTTCATCCCAAGTTCAAATATTCCATGGTTATCGGCGTCTCCAAGAGCAGCTTGTTTCTGACCTTTGGGATATAGGGGAGATTTCTCTTGGTCCTTCAAGGTTGAAAGAGCTTGAATTCTGTTCACCCGAGTTTGAGAATTATGTTCCCTGCTTCAATTTGAGCAATACTCAAGATGATGATTATGATCGACATTGTGAGCGTAGCTCGTGGGAAAATTGTTTGGTACATCCTCCCTTGAAATACAAGATTCCACTTAGATGGCCCACCGGAAGGGATGTTATCTGGGTAGCGAATGTGAAAATTACAGCACAGGAGGTCCTTTCCTCAGGAAGCTTGACCAAAAGGTTTGCGAAGAATTTTATTACCCAAAAAAAAAAAAAAATTCTCATAATTGAACTCGTTTTATCTTCCTCTGACTATTGTTTTCTGAACTCACAGAATGATGATGCTAGAGGAAGAACAAATATCCTTTCGTTCTGCTTCTCCAATGTTTGACGGTGTTGAAGATTATTCTCACCAAATTGCAGAAATGATTGGGCTGAGAAATGAATCTAATTTCAGAGAAGTTGGGGTATGTATGTCATTGCTTTTTGAAGCCAATTCATCAGTCATAGTCTTCTATGCCTCCTTGCTAAAATACGTTTCGCATGCACTTACCAACCACTCTATCTTCACTAGTACCTTCTTTCATTATCTCTTCATAATATATACTGCTGATGTGTATAAATGATTTTCAACTTGTTATCCACTACACTACAGCTCAAGTGTTATGGTTGTCATACTTGTTCTGGTTATTTCACTCACAATAAACAGAGTGTTGAAAACAAAATTTGATACACCTTTACGGATTGCAGATGCAACTTCTTGTTTCATTCAAGAATAATCGTCCAAATTTCTTCACTTCTAGTCCTCCCTCAACGTCATAATTACCTTAAATGGAAACTTTTATTGGGGACCCTTAAATTTTTTGTGTTTTCTTTTGTTTTGAACTGACTACTAGGATGATACTTGGTAGGGAGTCATGTAAAATTACGTTGTTGACAAACATATTTATTGTAGAATTTCATAATGCCATTTTAATAGATACATGATGTTGAATTCTGAATACCTGACAAGGAGTTGCACTTTCCTAAAATTTTGCAGGTAAGAACCATTCTGGATATTGGGTGTGGTTACGGAAGTTTTGGAGCACATCTTTTCTCCAAACATCTCTTAACCATGTGCATAGCAAATTATGAGGCTTCAGGCAGTCAGGTTCAACTAACTCTTGAGAGGGGTCTTCCTGCAATGCTTGGTTCCTTTACTTCAAAACAGTTGCCATATCCATCTCTTTCCTATGATATGGTTCATTGTGCACGATGTGGTGTTGACTGGGATACTAAAGGTATTACCTAAGCCTTGTTGTATGATATCAGGGTGTTATTCTTTGATGTTAACAGTGAATATCTTATCTGTAGATATCAATTTATTTTATCAAATTCATTTACTTTATATATTACCTCAATGTTTGTGATGTTCAAATAGAGCGATGACGTATTGGATAATATATTGCACATGTTTGCGTAGTAGTTTGCTTAATTGACTAGCTTGAGGCAAACCTGACTTCTTTTATTTTGTAGTATAAATTTAGGAGGAACATGAACAGAGTCTTGCAACAGTTGAATCAATATTTATATTCTTGCATGGCATAAACTAGCATTCAGGGAGTTAACGTTGGGTTTGGATGTACTATGATATTATTATCTATGAACTAATGGCTGATACTTGAAGTTGGGATCTTGTGAATTTGAAATGACTTCCAATTTCTCAAAGCTACGGAGTATTGCTTTCTTAACAAAATAATGAACATAGACCTTCAATAGCATAAAATACAATGCCCCTTGTTCCGGTACTAATGGTTGGAAGTCAATTGTCATCAAGTTCGGTGAAACAGTGCCAGGGTTGTAAATGAAAATTAGCATTATCATGTTTTATTTGCTCTTCTGGATAGTTATTTTATCTATTTCATAGACAACTAGTACGAGCCTTGTATGCTAACACAAAACAAAAGGAGAAGTTGGTTCATACTACAAGAACAAACTCGGGTTTTGAAAGAAGTGTTGTATATTGTGTGGCATTGCATGGTTAATTATGTCCATCATTGTGTCGGAGTTTATCTTCTTATATGGAGACTTTTTCATTCTTTTTCCTTTTCCAAACAGATGGTAAATACTTGATTGAGGTTGATAGAGTTTTGAAGCCAGGTGGGTATTTTGTGTGGACATCGCCACTTACAAATACTCAGGGTGTTCTTCACAAAAAAGAGAATCAGAAAAGGTGGAACTTCATTCAGGAATTCGTAGAATATCTGTGTTGGGAGATGTTGCCACAACAAGATGAAACCGTTGTCTGGAAGAAAACTAGTAAAAGTAATTGTTATAGCTCACGGTATGGCATCCTAGACAGAATTCATTTCACATTATATAATTGTTTAACGTAAAACCTTATTCATCTGTCTTGCTTGAATAGTGGTCAACGGAAATACATTGCAGTTCTAATTTTGTCTTTTCCTGCTTTTATATCTAGGAAGCCAGATTCATCTCCTCCAATATGTGGTAAAGGTCATGATATCGAATCTCCGTATTATAGACCACTCCAAGCCTGCATTGGGGGAAGAAAAAGTCGTCGTTGGGTTCCAATTAATGAAAGAAGAACTTGGCCTTCTAGAGCTACCCTGAACAAGAGTGAACTGGCTATACATGGTAACTATTATATTGTTTACATTTCTTGAAATAAGATGAAATGAAGCCTTTTGAAGTGGGTCTGAGGACAGTATCATTGTTCTTTATCATTATATTCACTTTTTCCAACATTCATGTTAGAACCATTTTGTTGGATTCGATATTCTATTACGACCACTGACAGTTTGAGTTGACATATTGTGTCAGGATTGACTTTAGATGATTTCACCGAGGATTCTGTAAACTGGAGAATGGCCGTAAAAAACTACTGGTCTCTTCTGTCACCATTAATTTTCTCGGATCATCCAAAAAGACCTGGTGATGAGGATCCTTTACCCCCATACAACATGCTCCGGAATGTGCTCGATATGAATGCCCATTTTGGAGGTCTCAATTCTGCATTATTGGAAGCTGGGAAGTCTGTATGGGTCATGAACGTGGTGCCAACAGATGGACCTAACTATCTCCCATTGATAATGGATAGAGGTTTCATTGGGGTATTGCACGATTGGTAATGCTTTTCTTCTGAACTTTTTTCTTCTTTTTTTCTCAATCGCTCGATATTTTCGCTTTCCATACCTAAAAATCTTGTAACTCTTGCTGGCTAAGAGATAAAGAACTCTTTATGATAAAAGATAAATCCTGTTGCATCTCATCTGACATTTGCTGCAGACCATTATCATCACCCTATGGTTGAGAATTTCAGTTTCTTGTATTCTTACCCTAGAGTTGCCTTTCTCCAATTCAGGTGTGAGKCTTTTCCAACATACCCCAGAACATATGATTTGGTGCATGCAGCAGGGCTTCTGTCCCTTGAAGGAAGTAAAAAGCCGAGGTGCTCCATGCTTGATTTATTCAGCGAGATTGATCGGTTACTTCGTCCAGAGGTACTATATAAACATTTTTTTCCCTTTTCCAAACCAGTAAAGTATGATGGAGTTAAAAATTACTTTAGTTAACTACATAAGGGCTATGTTTGGGTCAAAAGTACTCTAGTTATGGCTACAAACACTCCCCACCCAAAATCGAACGTGCTTCGAATTGGTTAGAACTTAGAAGCTATTTGGTAAGATGTTGTTAGGTGGTATCATTTCAGATATTTATCGACGTTGCTGGTTTTTTCAGGGTTGGGTGATAATCCGGGACATAGCCACTCTCATCGAATCAGCTCGAACTATAACTACACAGCTTAAGTGGGATGCACGAGTTATAGAAACCGAAGACAACAACGACGAGAGAGTCCTTATCTGCCAAAAACCATTCTTGAAGAGACAAGCAAACTGAAGTGATCATAAATTTTTGAAGGTGAAAAGTATTTAAATTCATTCTCTGGATGATGGAATAATCATCAAAGCCATCTTTGGGAGAGGCAAAGATCTTAAATTTCTGAAACAGAAAAAAGAAGAGAGGACACAGATTTGATTGATACCGGTGGGAACTGACCACACCAAAATAGCAGCTATAGAAAGCCGTAAGGCTTGAAAAATAGGATCCATGTAATTATGCAAAATGAGCACACAAGTGAATTGAATTGAATTGAAGTGGGAATTCAAGCATTTTATTAGACTTGCATTTTAAATAATTATGCACATAGAAATTTCACTTTTTTTTTCCTCCCCTCTTGGCTGAAAAATGCATGTTCTTCAGAATATAAATCTATGTATTTAAAGTATTTCAACTCAAATTTAAATGTACAACACAGTTAATTATGTTCAAGTTGGCAATTATAGTATTTTTGTTGTTAATCTAAATATGATGTAGATTTTTTCTATGCATTTTTCTTCTATAAATTAATTAATAAAATTCTGCCACAGAGTTGATTTAAATTTCAAAAAATTCAAAATAATTTTTCTAAGCAATTAAAATACTTCGGACTTCCTTTTTAGAATCAGCAAGCAAATGAAAACTCTAATGGCTTGGCGCCTTCTCTTCACGAATCTCAAATCCACTCAAACCCTAACCCTGCCCCAAATCGTCCGCCATTTTTCTGCTTCCTTCCTTAAGGAGAACCAGAATCTTCGTCTTCCTGAACCTCATCAGTTACTCTTCACCTCCCCATTCTCCACCTCCTTCCTCGTGACCAAGCTACCGAAGAAGTTCAAGAAGAAACGCAAGAAACGCGAAAGCCCTAGGATCAAGCTCGTGCAATCGGAATCCAGTCGCGTCTCCCACTTCGAGCGAATCGTCGAAGCGGATTCCTTCTTCAGGTTTCTTTTCAGGTCCAAGGATTTCCTCTTGAAGCAGCCGGAGCACGTTGTTCGCCTCGACGATGCCGGCAAGCTCTACCGCGAACTCGGCTTTCCGAGAGGTCGCAAAGTGGCTCGATCCATCGAGCGCCACCCGCTCCTTTTTGAACCCTACCGTCACGCCGACGGGAAAATGTGGTTCGGATTTACGGAGTTCATGGAGGGGTTGATCGAGGAAGAGAGACGGATTATGGACTCCATGGAGATGGACCGAGTTAGAACTGTGCGGAAATTGCTGATGATGTCGGCGAATAAGCGGATTCCATTGAGCAAAATCTACCACTGTAGGTCGCTGTTTGGGATTCCAGAGGATTTCAGAGATCGAGTAGCGAAGTATCCGAATTACTTCAGAGTTGTGGTTGAAGATGATGGGAAGAGGATTCTCGAATTGGTGAATTGGGATCCATTGTTGGCTGTAAGTCAGATCGAGAGAGAGTTTGTGGTGAACGAGGAGAAGGCGAAAAGGGCATTCAAATTTCCAGTGAAACATGGGAAGGATTTGGATTTGGACGAGGATGACACGAGGAAGCTGAATTTGTTGAACACGCTTCCATTGGTATCGCCATATTCAGACGGATCGAAGCTGGAACTTTGGACATTGGAAGCACAGAAGTACAGAGTTGGAGTTTTACACGAGTTCTTGAGCTTGACACTGGAGAAGAAGGCTTCTATTCACCATATTGTGGAGTTTAAGGAGGAGTTTAGCTTGACAAAGCATACTTATCAAATGCTTCTGAAGCAACCGAGAACCTTCTATCTCGCAGGAACAGAAATGAATTGGGTTGTTTTCTTGAAAGATGCATACAATGAAGAAAATGGCGACTTGATTGAGAAGGACCCTCAAGTTGTTTTCAATGAGAAGCTGCGTAGATATGCTCAGATGCAGAAAATGGAATCAAATTCCATTCAGAAATGAACTGTTCAAATTGCTCAGCAAAAAAATCTATTACTCCAATGAGTTAAGTATGTATATCTCCTTTGGCAGACTTTGTTTTGCCGATTCTTTGCCTGTTTAAAGTTTTGATTAATGTGGGATTTGACAGAGTACGAACGAAGCTGAAGTTGTTATCTGCAAAATCATTGTGATGGAAATTTTGCTAAGATGCAATAGAAAATACGAAATAAATAGATTATTATCATGCCAGAGGAAAAACAATATTCTTAACTCACAAAGGCAAACGTAGTTCTATGGACGGGAAAAACAGGACGGCAAATGAGGGGAAAAAAACGAAACGAAAAACAAATCAAAACAGAAAATGCTTCCCAATGAATGTCTTTTTGGTCTCTAACGAGATGAAGAGGCAAGAGCAGATGACGGCATCCCCAACGAAGAATGGCGTAAGGTTGGGGCGGCTTTTGATCTGTGCCTGCCTCCTTTGTGTGCAACACTTGCAGTGCTTCTGTGCCCACTAATGGGAGATGATGCAACATGGCTCGTTTTTCTTGATGTTCTTCGACGTGAGCTCCAACTGCTATTCCCTAGTGCAGCTTTAGCGATGCTATCGGTTGCTACTTCTCGTGCTCTCTGTGCTTTGATGGCCTGCTTGTTAAGGTAGACAAGGTTTGGAAGAAGGCCAACGACTGCCTTGCGTAGCTGCTCATCGCTCACGTTGCTTTGAATTGGATTCCCCAACAGATTAAGAGCTTGAAGCGAGTTATAGTTGGCAACAAGTTGGCCCAGAGCTTTGGTTGTTGAGATCTTGTTGAAGCTTAGGTCGAGAACTGTGAGCTTCAAGAGTCGGTGCAGTCCCTCAACATCGCTAATCTTGTTGCCAGCAAGATAGAGTTCCTTGATAATTGCACAGTTTGACAATCCTGATGCAGTTAAACAAATTGCTCAGTTTGAATGATAATCAGAAATGGATAAATTTTTACACCTGCCTCCTCCTATCAAACCAAATCCAAATAGAGGATTTAACACTATAAAATCTTTCAAACCGCACCATGTCCTATGCGAGATATGCGATTGTAACTCAGATCAAGAATCCGAAGTCGCGTTAATTCCTTGAGTCCTTCAATGGCACTTATCTTGTTCCTGGACAAGTTAAGAGTGTGCAATCCCTTGGGGAGTGATCCAGGATTTATGTGAACTGGAAACCAAGCACCCACGTTAGTGGCAAGAATGATAACTAAAAACCAAGTAACCAGCAAAAATATTTGTCGACATAACTTGTGTAAAAAGGAACTATTACCTATGAGATTTCCGGACAAGTTTACAGATCTAAGACCGGATAGGTGTGAGATTGTGGGTATGGCTTTTAAGCCTATACCAGAGATGTGAGCTACGGTTGAGGAAGAATTCAGGGACTGTATGACGCTATTGGCATACAAAATCTCTTCTGTCAGATTGGGTTCTCCGCGTCGAGTTATGTGAGTTGAACTTCTCTCGGGAGATGGTGGGAAGAAAGTATCTGCATCATCATCACCATCATCCCCAACCTCAAGACGGGGTTGGATTTGAAGATCTTTCACCCACTCATCCACTCTTCTTAGTGAAGATGATTCTGCTGAGAATGCAACCCACTGGTTCTGTGGCCATAGACCAGAGACTCCATTACACAAACTCTCCTGATTCTGATCTTCACTTTTGATGTTACTCGGGCCTGCCCAGGTTTCCTCAGCAAATGATCCAGGTGATTCCATCATACCTTTTCCCGCTGCTCTGTTCGGCTCGAGACTATCCGAACAATACCCACCTTGCTGGTTGAAAGCAAAGCTGGTGGGAGGGGCCTTGGTACTCCACGGATTTTGTAGGTTTCTATGGCTCCACAGGAACAACTTCCACCACAACCTTCTACTTCTGGAAGGAAGGATCTGGCTCGAAGAACGCTTCTTCAACATCACTTTATCAGCACTGTGATGCGTCATAACCGAACCCGGACTGCCAGGATCCACATAGTTCCTCATTTTGTCTGCCAGTCCTTGCAATTCTTCATAGGACTGGGACTTTGTTGGAGGCAACTGATGAGTTAAATTTCTAAGCACATCCCTGGTTTCCAAATTCGAGCAGGAGCGTTTAAGTTTAGGTGATGCCCAGGATACGGCCCTACCAATTCCAGGATCACTAACATGTCCACTTTGGATCGTCATATCAGCGCCTCCACCACCTTCAATGGTGATCTTATCAAATTGTTTCCCCGACGCATTAGACAACCTAAACTCAAATTCTTCTCCGCAGGTGGCTTGGGCAGGGAGATCATAATCAGAAAGGTTCCGCTTGATGGAGTTGTCGTCGCGCTCATCTTCACCTTCATATGCTGCTTCTACAGCTCCTCGTCTTATAGGAATCTCATGGTTGGTTATCTTGACATCCAGCCTAGAATCATTCTCAGATGGGTAATGAATCGAAACGTCCAGAGTTGACGACTTCGCTTCTTCAACTTGAAAGGGCTCCTCAGGGTGATGGATGCTGACTTGCAAAGTCTGTGACAAATTATTATTGGTTTCAGCAGGTGTTTTTGATTCCAAATCCCCCTGCAATAGTAAATAAGAGGAGTCCATGAGCAGACCCCTAAAACTTAACAAGCAACTAAGATGTGAATAATTAAAGAAGACAAGAAATACCTTGGTTTTCTTCTTCTTCCCAGCCCGAACAGAGAAGCAATTGAATTTTGCCATCGTAAAATTTATGGAAACAAAAAAGAAAAATCCTCTTAAGACGTCTCTGTTCTTAGAACTATTCCCTCCACCTAGCCTTCTTACACTTCTCCTTGAATTTATGCTTCAAATGCTCACATCGCTAATGCTTTCGATAGATCAATATAATATTTTTTTTTTCAAAAGATGGATCGGATTGACATTAGCCGTAGTCGATCGGAAGACGCCGAACCAACAAAAAAGTGCAATCGGACGACGCCCATGGACCAGAAAATTCCCGGAAAAGGGCAACTGTGCAGGAAGATCGAGACGAAATCACTGCGGTGTCGGCCAGAGTTGTAAACGAGGCAGCTCCTCCTCGGAAGCTCCACAACAAAATTCTCCAAGATAACAACAAAACCTTATCACAAACAAACCAGAACCGTATGAGCGAACTCCGAAACCCTAACACAAAAAAGAAAACAAATCCCAATTCCAAATCCAGGAAATCATTGGTTCCGTATTTGAAACATTGCTACATCGGGGAAAAGAAGCTTAATCCGCAGTTTGAAATGAAAAAGGGAAATCCAATGAAATTGAGCATGATTGGGAAATGGAAGGCGAGAAAGAAAATGAAATTAGAAAGGAAATCACCTTTTGGCGATGAGATCCTCCAGATTGCCTCAATTGAGCCACAAACTGAACAATCGCTTTCGTTCCAGCAGTAGCCCAACAGAGTAACGAGAGAAAAAAAGAGAGATGCGTGATTGTGAAAATTCAGGAAGATGAAGACCCGCTGGTGCAGATAAATAGACCACCGAGTTGCAGTAAGAAAAAAATAACAGTAGAGAGAGAAACAAAGACGCGCATGGAACGCGCCTTTCTCTAACATCCTTCTTCTTCTACCTTCTACTTTTGCAAGTTTTGATCTTTATAATATTAAATCCAATTTAATATAAAAAAAAAGTAAAAATAAATCAATAGATGCTCATTTTATATTTCTGGTTAAGTTTCCTGTTCTTCTCGAAACTTTAAATTACTAAATTGTGAGAGTTTTTTTTTCATATTTGTTAAAATTAGTAGGTGAATATAAATAAGGTAAAAATTACAACAAAGGTAAGAGTGTATGGTTCAATTATTTTTTTATATATGAAATTATAATTCATTTGATTTTCCATAAAACCCCACGACAGCTTTCTGACATTGACCCTTTGGGATAAACTAATGATGGCCCTTTTTTGTAATTTTATTGCATAAAAAATGGTTCATTGATCGCCACATTTATAATACCATATTTACCCATCAGAGGAGGGAAAAGAAAAGTTTCATATTTGATTGGCTATTTAGAAAGCTTACCCATCAAGGTTGTTGTGCTGAACTTAACCACCACTTTCTCAAAATATAATAATAACAATAAATAATTAATTAATAACAACCCGATTGGAAATTGTCCGTTTTCTTTTTCTTTTTCTTTTTTTTTTGTTTGTACCTGCCAGCCAATATGACGTGGAATATCTATTTTCTACGGTCAAGATTCCACATGGCCCGTCTTTCAGTCTCGGCCCACATGTTCCAGCGGAGAAATCTGTGGGGTCCACGCATCACATGATCTCGAACTTTCGTCCAGCGCCGTCCGATCAGTCTGCATCCGTTTATGTCCACGTGTAAGAACCATATCATGCTCTGGCCTCCCGTGAGTGGGAGAGAGAAATAGAGAAATCAAGAATCGACCAAAACGACGTCAGCGTCTGTCGTACAAATAAAGACGTACGGCGATTTCTGTCGTTTCTTTTTGTTTTATTTCTCTGGTTTCCTTTCCTTTTAATTTTTTAGTCAATTTCCTCTTAATTATTATAATATTATGAATAACATAGGTGATATGATTTGAAACAAATTAAGTAAAATTGGAGTTGTATTCTATATTTTAAATATTTTTAAATATGTGTTGGATAGCCAATTTAAAATTAAATTTTAATTTTAAATTTTTTTTAACGCATGTAGTAATATATTTGAAAAGTAACTAAATAATATATTGAGTTCTATCTAAAGCACTAATAATTTATTTATTAACATATATATTATAAATTTTGTATAATTATTATTTTATAATATTATATGAATTATAATATATTATATTTTATATATTCTAACTTTAACATGTAATATTATATTTATCTAAATATTTTATATTTTTTAATGTAATTTTACATTTTAAAGTTTCAAATGGAAAACAAATTTAAAATTTCCACCATTTTAGAGAATTCAAAAATAATTTTAAAAAATAAATCTTAAAATTTAAATTCAGAAGAAACAAGTTGCATACCAAACTGTCCAATATCACTTGTTTATAGAAAATTTATCAATTACCAACTATTTTGAGTGAATAAAAAATCTAACAAACTTATTATTTTATAATAACAAAATGAATTACACGAAAAAGAATTACAAACAAACCAATGAACAAATATAATACTACCTAACTACAAAAAGCAACTAATTAGGATATTTATCATCTTCTATCTATAACTAAATTGAAAAAAAAAAGAGGCGAAATGTGAACTAATATATTTATGGTTTTAAATAACCRTATTTTGGTCACAAATTTTAGAAAGTCAATTTTAGTCCTAAGCTTTTGAAAAGTTAGTTCTTTTTAACTATCGTTATTATTTTAATTAAACCACTTAATATTTATACATCTAATACATGTCCACATCAATATTTTAATATACATATTTAAAACTTATATATTGCCTCTTCTATATGTTAAAAACAAACAAAATGAAAACCAATATGATTAATTTTCTTTTCGAAAATTTACAATCTATAATTTCACAAACCAGTTAAAACATAGAGGATTGACTAAAACTTTTGTTTAATAGGTCAATTAATTTAAAGAGTGTCTACATAGATCCATAAATTTTTTTTTATAAAAAAACAAAGTAGATAATAACTATGGAGTGAGTGAGGGAGCATGCATGTTGAAAAATGGGGATTTTGGCAAATAGGCCAAGTGTGAGATCACATTCACATGCATAAAGTTGTGCGTTTTGAATGGTCAAAAATTGACATCTCTATCGCTATTCGCCACAGGTCATCCCCCAACCCTTCCACACCTTTTGATTTGTCTTGCCTTCCGCTATCTCGGGGTTAGACAAGATAGTCGTTCATTCTGTTCTCCCGATCAAATTTCGGTTAAATAATCTGTCTTCTCATCAAGTTAGATTTCGACCCAAGTATATGGTTGATGTTCTATAATTGAGGATGAGTATTTGGAGGGAAAATATATTAACTGAATTTGGGAACCGTTTAGACTAATCCAATAAACAAAAGTTTCATAAATAAGAATGAACAAATCGGTATAGAGGCCAAAAGTCATGTAAAACTTAACAAAACAGGGAGGAGGAATATACCATTGAAGATTTAAATTATTTACATCCAAAAGATGCAATTGTATTTAAAAAATTATTGATAAAAAAATGTTAATGATAATAATTAAAATCATAAACGAAGTGTATGATGAAAGATAGAATAGTTGAAAGTTAAAAAATTAAAAGGAAATATTTCAATCACCAAAAACGAATAAAAAACAATTGGTTGTAGATGAAATGGAAAGAATAACTAGAAGAAAAAATGGGGGAGGGGGAATTATTTTTCACTAATATCTATGAAATAACCATTTCTTTATTAATGAAATTCCAGCATTATTCTTTAATAATGGATTGAATACGAACAAAGAATACATTCAATTATATGAGGGATAAAGTATCTCTTATCAATTCAATCTTTTATTGATTAAAAGTCGATATTGTTAAACAGAAAAAAATTAAAAAAATAAAAATCAAATCAAAGATGTCTCTGCTGCCAATTCAATATATAAAATTTGATGCAATTTTAATGATAGTCAATCTCCTAGATGGTACTTATAATGTACCAGGATATTAAATATCGTTTGATATTTTCATCGATATGTTTCTGTATCAATGAATTCAACATCGACATAAAACGTAAATCGACATTTTCATCATACTTTTGAAAAATCGACAAAATATTAAAAAAATCAACAAAATATTACTACTATATACATAATATTAATATTAATTATTAATTATTTTAAGATCTTTAGAATTAGAAAAATGTTTGTTTGTGAATTTAAATATTTGTTATAATTTTTTAATTTCTCTAATTTTTACAGATATATCTGTCGACATTATACGATATTAACCCTATTTAAAACATTGTTACATTTCTGTCGACTAAAAAGTAAAAGAAACGTTTGTTTTTATGAGACACGGCCATTTTGAAAGGTTCAATTGGAGCGACCGTTACGAGATACACGTGGGGGCCAATCAGCCACACACAAACATGATCGTAATCTAGCCGTCCACTTGGTCTTTCTATGTAAGCCCTGCAAAGCTAGATTGGAAGGGAAATGATGTGCTTTGTTTTTCTAAAAAAAAATAAAAATCTAGATATTGAGCCGTACAATTTAATTTAAATTACAAGTTTAATCCGAAATTGAAAATGGCAGGAATAAGTTACTGAATATTAAAAGTTATTTAATAGATCTCTATACTTTCAATTTTGAATTTAACATGTTTCTTAACCTTTAATGTTATGTCTAATATATTTATGTGAATTTATAAAATTTTGAATAAATTAAAATTTTATTATACACAATTTTGAAAGTCTACCAACTAAACTCTATCAAAATTTTCAAAATTGTTTTAGATTTAATCTAAGTTTTTTGAAATATTTTTAAATCAATTGTGCGATTGATTTTCTGTTAGCTATTCTAATATATAGAAGATGTGACATGCTTTTTTGTTTTTTTTTAACTCATGTATTTTACATCATTTTTCAATATATATATAATATAATAAAGATAGAGATGAATTATCTCTCAAAAGATAGTAAAATATCTTAATCAAGTTATATTCATGTTGACAATATGTAATAATTTAATTAATCTAAAATATAAAATATTAATTATAAAAGTAATACAAATCATCATACATCATTAGAAGAGACGAGACCAGACATTAATGATGAATCAAAATAGTTAGTTCAACTTACTCAATACACAAAACAACTGCAAAATAATTTGAAAAAAGAAAAAAGATAATGACAAATTTAATTAGGTAGAATAATTAGACACATACCTCCTAGATTCAAATGTTCTATAATGTAATGTCTTTACTAAATATTTAATAAATGTTAGGTTAGATATTATTTATGCATAAAAGTGAAAGAGGTCACATCTGGTTAAGGTCGAATACGTGGGATAACTGACTGATTTCATCTCGAAATGACCTGCATAAGATAGACAAACACTGTTTAAGTTAGTATTAGCTTGGACTCAATAAGAAGTCCGAGATGGAATGTGATACTTGTCTATAGGAGTGATGATCTCTATTTATAGGTTTAGGATCCGACAAATCTTTCGACATGCAGCTATGGATGTCGTCCTGAAGGTCGAACATGTCCCAAGTTGTAGGTCGGATTTGGATGCTGGTCGCACTGTAGGTTAGCTTCTCTAATGCGCCCGCGGCTAAGTATGGTACCTCAGATGGTCCCAAGGTGGCTTGATTTATTTGGATCTCTCTTTGTCCTCCCCGTAGCAATTCGATTTTCACTCTCAAACACATATTGTTAAAAATAAATGGTAATCAATCGTAACGTTTCGTATTCATGTGGTATGAACCTATAGTTTGTGTCTTTTAATTTTAAATTGAGATGTAGCTATCTTGTAACTATTATACTTACCACTAATATGCCTTTCTCTTCCAAACTCATAAATTTATTACAAAACTTTGATATGAAGTTTTGAACTTTTCTTTTCTATCAAATTTTATTGAAGTTTCTACCAAGTTAATTTTGTCAAGTAGAACGAGGTGTTGTATCTCTAAGAAAGTAAATTTTATGACAAGAGATCATTCATTAAACTCAACACCAAAATTAAAATTATGTTAGAAAGACAATATATGTTTGTCGGGATGAAACCTGTCTTTTAATTTGAGTTTTATATATTAACAATCGTTGTTATCTCTCTTTATGATTTCTTCAAATTTATGATGATTTAAAGCCATGAGTAAACGTTCATAATTTAGGGAGAAAATGGACGAAGGATATGAGAGGTTTGTCCACCATTGAAAAGACTAGGCCATTATAATGTCTAAGAAAATTGAGGTTAAAAAAGTACCAAAATTATTTGGGGTGCGATTTCGTTGCTACCTTTTGTGGACATTGGTTAAGAGGAACATGGCTGATTGACAATTTCACCCTTCCCCATACATTTTATTTATTTATTTATTTAGAACTAGGGTATAACAGTAATTAGACCAAGTAGTTGGAACTCGGAAGGAACTTTCCAACAAATTGATTTCCAACTTGGCATGGATGAAAAGTAACGATGAGTGGATAATAATAATTAGCTTTAAATATTATTATTCTACGAATATTTTCCATTTTCATTCTTTTAATTTTATACTTCTTTTTTAAAAGTGATCCATTTAGACTATTTTAATACAAATTTTATACCAAATAAAAATCCTTTAATTTAAATTTATGATCAAAATTTAAAAAATTTAGTGAACAAAATGTCAAAAATGATATGGAATGAATATGAGTAAATTAAAACTTTTAAAAATACATTGACCAAAAATTAGATATTTCAAAATTAAATAGACAAAATTGAACAAAATTGAAACTACATCAAGCAAATGCGACACTTTGAAAAATTACTTTGTTTAACTTAATTATATTTTTAAACCTATTATTTACTTTGGTTTTTGTCGAAGAGAGGGAAAAGTATTAATTATATATATATATTTTTTTTTTTGTGGGTGATATAACCTTAAATTGGGCCCACAAAATATGGTGATTTAATTATAGAAATGTGCGGTTGAAGTTCAATCTTGGTAGTAGTGTTAAGAAAAGGGGTGATTAGCATATAGATAATAATTCAAACGATCAAGTTGAATTGACTTAATGTTCCATTTCTACCTTCAAAATCTTCAACCACGAACTGAATTTTTTCTTAAAAAGAAAGTTTATTATTTTCACGTTAAAATAATTGTACCTAAATATTTTTTTAAGAACATAATATACAAGTCTAGTGTAACATCAGGATGGAAAACATATTATTTATTTAAAAAGTTATTCTCCAAATCATTTAAGTTTCTTTTTCTTTTTAACTGTGGGGTGAGAGATCCAACCATCGACCTTTGGAATGGTATGGTAACATGTACATTATCGATTGAGCTATGTTCGAATTAGACAAACAATCGAATTAATATATATATATATATAATTAATTAATAAGCCGAAATATAATTTAACCGGTTAAGAAATTAAGGACTCATTTGGTAACGTTACCGTCAATTTTCTTAAGAAATCTAAACATTTTACGATAATTTTATTTCTCGTTTCTCACTTTTGGGAACATTCTCACATTTATATAGAAATTTTGAGAACAACTAAAACAAATTTTTCCTTTCCAATTTGTTCAAAATTAGTTTATCATATTTGAATTCTTTGAGGTTGGAACCATGAACTACATTTTTCTTAATTAAAAATAAAGAAATAAGAACGTTACCAAACGAGTCATGAGTCCTAAGTAAATGTTTTGAACTTATTAAGACATTAAGTAAAGTTTGGTAAATCCTCATGGTCCATATTTGGATTGTAATATAAAAATTAGGGAAAAAAATTTGATTCCTTCCTATAGACTTATACTAGGTATGGGACTTTGGGACAATTAGAATAAATACACATAAAATCCAATTAAAGATAGTGGAATGTAAAATTAAAAGAAAAAATGCTGAAATTCAAGATTCAAAATCAGCTGGTTGTTTTGCTTTATTATAATTTCTACCAACTCCTGAACCTAAATAATTCCAAGTAGCCGTTTTTTCCCCTTTCTCAACACATTTTTTTAATACTAAAAATTAAAAATTATATCTCATCGACTTCAATTTCTGCATTTACATAGTCAGTGAAGAGCCATGACAAGTCGCTGCCTTTGTCAATATTTTTTGCTCTAAGTTTTTTGTGTTTGAATTGAAGAAGAAAAAGGTGATTTTACAGATGAATTTGCTTGACTTTTTAAGAACGTATTTGATAAAGAATAAGATATAAGACGAAATTATATATAATTGACTGGACCTTTCTTTTTCTTTTCTTTTTTTTTTTAATTATTACACTCCTAAATAAGACCTATTATTTCTTAGGTATATTATTAACCTCTACCAACGTGAGTAAACCATAAACATATAATTTTTTAATATAAAAAAATATCATTATTGAGTAACTTGCTTGAGAATTACATTTATCCATTTGATATTCGTGTTTGACCTTGAAATTGGCTAAGGACGGATACAAGTCTAAAAATTAAAAAAAAAAAAAATATATATATATATATATATATATATATATAATATGATATTGGAGGAATTGATTTTTTTTTAAATCTAACATCAAAATGTCATAACTATTCACTATTTTATTATTTCAAACCTATGATTTTTCTTCCTAAGTAGAAAGGACGAAAATAACTTATCATATATATATTCAACTCTCGCTGTATTCTTAATTGATTTCGAATTGATATTAATTTTTCAATAATATAGGATATTATATTGTTTTAAAATATCTAGATATTTAGATGGTTTGAAACGTAAGATTTAAATGCTCGTTATTTGGAAATTTTCCTTTAAAATCCCATAAAGAGAATTAAGAACAAAAATTGTGGCCATTAGAACAATGAAATTAACACTTCAATGATGAATAATGTTATTGTTAATAGCTTATTTATTACATATTGTACTAAAAAAAATATAGTTTATTTATTAATTAATCAATATTAGTTCATGCGTGTATGTAGATTAGTAGATATACTGGGATGAGCGAATTGAGATTGCCCTCATTGGGCCTGGCCCAAAAAGCACATAAAGGGAGATGTGTTCTTTGTCCGCTGGCCCAAAAAGTCCAGCCCAATATCCATTCTCATCAGGGTTTTTTTCTTAAAAAAATTAAAAATAAAAGTGAGATGATACCATCCGTTGAATTTTAATAAAGTTTGTTAAATGATTGTTAATTATTAAATATTTAAATATGGTTATATCAACGTTGATTTTGGTTTTTGAGTTTTTAAACTTTATTCAAATTTTCTAAATTTTAAAATAGGCGAAGAGAATTTAAATATATAAATCTTTCCAGTAAATTCATAATTGTGTTCAACAATCTAATCATTTAAAAAAACAAAATAATCCAAATTAAACTTAAACTCAAATAAAAAATATACTTTAAAAGGATCACTCAAGACAGGTCATCATCCATTAGAACTATAAGGTAGACAATCTTAAAGAATTCCTATTGATTTCCATCTTTTTCACTTTTGCTCTTTTTCCCAATCAACAGTGAGTGTTATGGCCTTTTGAGCATGAAGATGAAAGCCCCAAAATCGAACAAAACATCTCAACGTTTAAGAACGAAAGAAAAATGATTTGCGAAGAACTCATTTCATATTGGGTATTCATGTTAATTAAACGCCTATCATGAAATCTATCACGATATGGAGCAAATATTTAAAAGAAAATAGAAAGTCGTGATTTTTTTTTAACACACTAAAATGATGCCTACAGCTGTATATCATTGCAATATAATTCAACTCATTTAGAGTATTACTTAATTTTACTCATTCAAGCATTGCTTATGTTTTTAAAAATTGAAAATTAAAATCCTTCCTCGTTTGCAAGAAAAAAGGTTTGTTTTTAGGTTTGGATATAATTTAAAAAAAAAATATTAGGTTTGTTTGTGGGGAGTTACGGTGGAAGGGAAGTTTACAACTGTAAACCGTATCAAACAAAAGAACAGCACGGCTACGACTGTGACACAATTTCAACGGACCCCACAAAACATCCCCATCAGTTCTTACCTCACCCAGCCGTCACCGATCTTACGGTCAACGCCGCCTCAGAAACTTCGATCTGATCCGACGGCTTGATTCACAAAGGATGCGCGCCAATATCCACGTGTCAACCAAAGAGCTCTCCAACCTTAAGATCCATTCCCTGGCTACCGTAATCGTTCAAAATAATTCAAATAACAAAAAAAAAAAAAAAAGAACTCAGTTCAATTCCCAGTGTTCGCGACGTACAGGGCAGAGCACCAGAGAGGGGAGAAGCCATGGCGAAGGAGAGAGAGCTACTTGTTTACTCTGCAAGACTAGCAGAACAAGCCGAGAGATACGAAGGTACTGTTTATCTGTAGTATTATTTGCTACGATTCGATGGCTGAAATGAACTTAGGGATTGCTGTTGTTTTGAGTGATGGATTGTTGATCCGAAATATGTGGTGTTTAATCGCTAATTTGCAAATTGATCTAGGGCTATTTTCTGGCCATTGTATGGTTTTGGAATCGGTTACTGGTGCGTTTAATTAATTAATAATATCAATTGAAGAAGAACAACCAGGATTTATTAGTTGTAGGTTAGGGCTTTTGGAGCCTAAATCTTGTAAGGAATGTTCGTTATTTAGTCCGGAAAATGCAAAAATCACTGGTTTCGATGAGGTACTTTCATTTCCTCTCTATGAAATGTTCTCAGCAGTCGTGTGTAATGTTCTTATTGTCTTTTGGCAATAAAGATTGAGAATTGTTTGTGCTCATGGTTTTAACATCTTGACTGAGGCCTCTACCTCCCTTTGTTGTATTGTATACTACTATTTTGAGGCTTCATCTTTTTTGTATATATTTAATCTAATGGTTTGAATCGCCACCTTTTCCATGCTTCAGATATGGTTGAGGAAATGAAGAAAGTTGCCAAGTTAAATGTGGAATTGACAGTGGAAGAGAGGAATCTGCTGTCTATTGGCTATAAGAATGTAATAGGAGCTAGACGAGCTTCATGGCGTATTTTGTCTTCAATTGAACAGAAGGAGGGTGCCAAACATAATGAGAAGAATGTGGAACGGATAATTGGGTACAGGCGTAGGGTTGAGGATGAACTCTCTAAAATATGCAGTGACATATTATCAATTATTGATGAGCATCTCCTTCCACACTCCTCTGCCGGAGAGTCCACTGTATTCTACCATAAGATGTGAGAATCGTAATGTTTCTCTTTTAACTGAAATATCGAGATGAAAATTTTTAAAACATGCAGCTTTGGACAGTTGGATATATGTTGTAGAAGTAATAGGACAATGCGGAATAAGTAATAAAAAAATATATATGGCAAATTGTGATCATTGATCAAGCAATATGTTTGTGCATAACTATTAGATTAGACTTCTAATCATCGTTTGATTTTATTAAGGAGATTTCGCTCTGCCTCCTTGGTTTTATGCTATCACTGAATTAGTGTTTTTATTTTTTAAAATAATTGATTGCTTCTATGAAGTTAGTAAATTGTGATATTTGATTCTCTCTCCATAGAAAAGAGATTCCATGATGCAATTTCTTTTTTTCTTTTTCTTTTTTTTTTAATTTATTTTTGTGCAATTTATATGTTTACTTTCACATATGGTTGTTACCATTTTTTTCATGTTCTTCTGCTGTAGGAAAGGAGATTATTGTCGCTATTTGGCCGAGTTTAAATCTGATGATGATGAGCGTAAAAAAATTGCAGATCAGTCATTGAAGGCTTATGAGGTGAGTTCATTTCTTGTATTCTTGGTGTAGAATTTGTCATTGTTCCACCTTTTCTATTTCTTTTCCTCTATCTATTTTTATTTTCTAAAATTCCAGACATGATATCTACCTATGATTTCTGTGTTGTGTAGGCTGCTTCTGCTATTGCTACCTCTGATTTGCCTCCAACTCATCCTATAAGACTTGGCTTGGCTCTGAACTTCTCTGTTTTCTACTATGAGATTTTGAATTCCCCTGAAAGGTTAACATCTCTCTCTCACCCTTTCTACCATCATCCCCTAGTCCTTCCCCCCACCAAAAGGAACAAAAAGGATAAATTAAGTAAAAAGAGAAGAAGCAATTGCCTGCCTTTTTATTATATTTCTAACCATGGTAATTTCTATTGCAAAAAATTATTTCTTTTAGCTGGGAGTGGGTGTCACTTTGATACTTGTATTATGAAAGTTTACAAAAGGAATGGGAAAGCTCTAGAGGCTTATGCTAGTATACTTGTTTGGTCTTTACAAATGAATTTACTATTGATTTGTGTTTTGAATTTTTGGTGGACCTACCTTCACAAAGGAGGGGATGCATTTACAATTCTCAACTTCTCTGTTTTGCCTTCTTTAATTATCTTCTTTTAAACAATTGTGTCGTATCCTTTCAGGGCTTGCCACCTTGCTAAGCATGCCTTTGATGAGGCCATTGCCGAACTTGACAGTCTCAATGAAGACTCCTACAAGGACAGTACCCTTATCATGCAGCTTCTTAGGGACAATCTCACTCTGTGGACTTCAGATCTGCCTGATGAAGGAGGTACGATAAATTAAATTCTGTGTCTTTCGTCTTTCGGTTTCATGTTATCTATTTACTCGACAGTGATTAGGTATGGCTTTTTTACCTTTGATCTTCTGTAGTTTATGAAAATCAAATCCACACATATATATAGTGGATTCATGTTCTCTTCTGTAGTTTATGAAAATCAAATGCACACATATATATAGTGGATTCATGTTCTGAATTAAGGATGATTATAGAATGTGGCGTGATCAGATTGTAAATATACATAGTGTCTCCTGGTTTCTTCTAGAGTTGTCTTACAAGTTATTCAAAATCATACCAATTGTCACTTGAATAATGTTTGGTAGTAGGAGTTAACTTTCAACTGAAAACTAAGGCTTTTAACTCAGCAATGGGTGACTTGGTATTTTTTGTTCAATTAACAGGAGAGCAGTCCAATGCTGATGAAGTTTAGGTAGAGGTAAGATAATTTTGTGACATTTTTATACATGTTTCTACTAGGTATAGTAGTATATTCTGTATTTTATGTTTGGTTTATACTTAAACACGTCGATCATCACTAACAAACATTCTGTATGCTCAGATTTAATCAACACGACACTTGCTTCCGGTGGCTGAACGATGGTACGTGCAGTAATTATTAGCTTATTATTATTAACTGTTATTTGGGCGTGCTAATTGGAGAATAGTGCTCACTGACAATTGCTAGCTCTGTATTCTACTTTCTGTTTTGGACACAACACAAGTGAATCTGCTTACGAATGTGCACCTATATGTTTTTTATTGATTTGTTTCTCATATTTGTTGTATTCTTGTCTTGCCAACTTGTTTAATATTCTTGAAGTGCATTAACATAAATACGGCAGTAAGAAGAGGTAATACAAAAGTGTGTAAACTACGGCTCCTAGAAAGATGAATTTGTTTATTAGTAATGACCTGACAGATTTATTTATTTGGTAATGACTTGTATTGATCTTTTTGAGATTTATCTACAAAAAGTTAGTAGTGATAACAATGATGGCATAATATCTTGACCTTTTTTAGAGGTACGAAATGGTGGACAATTGCCTCTAGGTTCACGTGCCAACCTAATATTATTTCTAAATTTTAACCCAGTGGGCAGGTTTTTTCAAAAAACTATACAATCACCGCCTTCCAATCTTGTAATACATATTCATAGACTGTAATTACACAGAACCTTCTTATGGATCAAGATATATTCGCACAAAAAGAATCCACCAATGACTTTTTATCTTCAAAAAATCTACTATTTCTTTCTTTCTAGAGAAGGCAGACCCGCACAATTTCATAGAATAAAAGCTTTATCCTTAAGGGCACCACCACCAAAGGCTGGAATTGAACGAGAAGCTATATGAAACGACACCTTGTAAGCTGTCAAACAGTGCAGAAATAGGTGATCTACCGCTTCAACACATAATAAAAACAGAGGGAGAAAGAGTCCAATGGGGGAGATTTTTCTTAAGCTTCTCTGCCATGTTAATCCTCTGTAGAACTCATGAAAACCTTCAAGGATTGAGCCTTGTTGTATCGCCTGCCATTTAATAATTAAAATTTTTATATTCATGGGTGATTTAATTTTTTATTTGACTAGGAAATTGAAATTGAAGTTTATGATTTAGGGGTTGGAAGGAATATATTATATATGCATTAATGGCCTCCAAGGAGCAATGCCATTTGACGGACCCATCACATTTTCATAATGGTAATATATTTTGTCTGTTTTAAATGCATATAATTTGTTGTATTAAAAAAAGTATGAAAAAAGGAATTCCAAATAAATACTGATCTTGAGAAAGTTTCAATTAGATCAAAAACAAACTTTGAAATATTAGAATCAAACGAAAAAGGTAAAACTCATCAAATTAATTACTGTAAAGTAACTTGTCTCATGCATTTTTGACAAGTACCTCCCACTTAGAAAAATTTTCTATTACTTCTACTCCCTTTGTTCACATTATAATTTTTCCTTCATAAATAATTCTTTATATTGGTGACGTCACATTATTCCCAATGATCCTGATGTGGCACACAATAAATGGCTAAGGAGAAATAGTTGGGTTCAACCTCACCAAATCATTGACAAATCTAATGGTAAAGAAGGGCTCTTGACCAACCTTGGGCAACTCATTTGATGCCAAGGAAGGACTTCAAGTGTTCATGAAACTCCTTAGGCTTTTCCACATCAAAAGCATGCCCTGCATTCTTGATGACTACCAGTTGAGCCCTCTCCCCCAAATGCCTTCACATTTCAGACTCAGAATTCAGAAATAGGAACCAAAACAAAACAAAACAGACCCTTTATTCCAAGAAAGATTCAAGCTGTGAAAACCCACCTTTGTAGTCTGTGACCCATTTCTAATGGGAATATCTTATCACCTTCTCCCCAAATTACCAAAGTAGGCTGCCCCCACAAGTCATTCCATTCATCAGTTAGAAGAAAAGAAAATTGTTTAGGAAAATGAAATGTACTGTGTAAGTGATGGGAAGAAACCAGCCTGCTGAATCTTGGGGATCTCTGATAGTTTCCTGTCTTTTGGAATAGCTCTGATCAACTCCTTCCTTTCTTCCACATATTCAGGGCACATGACCTGCCAAATTCGGAAGAAGGTGAAAAATGTTTTTAGCCAATTAAAAGCACTCGGGGAAGCACTTCGTATGTGCGATCTCGAAAGTGCTTATTAAGGAAGTGGTAGAGACTAACTAGGGAGTGCATACAAGTATGAAATCAGAGAGTAAACATGAGGGCACCAATCCAATAGGAGGAGGCTTAAAGAGGGCATAGTTGACCAATTGCTTCAATTTCATAGGATGTTGGGGCACCAAAATGTTGGCTGCCTCCTCCAAGTCTGAGATTGTAAACAACCCTTCCCTCAGGTCCTTCTCCTCCATACAAACTGCTGCACTACAAATCACCACCCTCTCCACCACCTCCTCATGTCTTGCAGCCAAGCAATAGGCAACGAACCCGCCGTAGCTCAGCCCGATCAGGCTCAGCTTCCTCACCGAGTTAGCAGCCATTACTTGCATAATGCACTCAGCTTGGAACGAGTCGGATCGGTCAGGGCGAGTCGTGGATGAGTCCCCGAAGAAGATGAGGTCGGGGACGAAGACATTGAAGTGAGGGGTGAGGAGGGGAATGGTGTTCCCCCATTGCCACAATGCATTGCTTCCAAAGCCATGGATGAGGAGGAGGTTGGGTCTGTGATGGTTCTGAGTTTTGGGAACCCAGCAGTGTATGATGGAGCCGTCTTTAAGGTCTGTGGTGCTGGATTTAAGCCCATGTTTCATGAACTTTGAACGCAGACATCGGTTTCTGGACTGGGTGATGCTGCAACAAGAACAGCTTACCATTTTTTGTCACAGAAACAAAGAGAAGAGCTTGGAATTTATTGGAGTCCAAGTTTGTTAACGGGGATGGGCTATTTATTGTCCAGTTTTGTGACTACTCATGTCGATATGGCTTATGGAATTTCATACTTTTGGGGACAAAAAAATGAGCAGTAGGAGAGGAAGAATGGAACGGAAGGCCAAAAATGGGTGCAAATTTTGCATTATCCACCATGTTATAAGGAATCGGATTCCACAAGGATTGGGCCAAATCTTAGTGCTAAAAGTATTAGATGGTTCTGTTCAAATGGCTGCATATGCAAAACGGAATCGGTTCTAAAAAATTTTAGTTAATTTTTATTGAAAAGCTACTTTACAATTAATACTCATCATTACCAATCTAACATGAAATTGTGATAATTTGGTCCTTGTCGGAGACATTCTATCAATTACGTGAAAAGTTTGAGAATTTCTTGAACGAAAAGTTTATTCTAAAAAAATGCGTAAAAAAGTTTGGTACAGTAGCACATTTAGTCCTTTGGTCCTCCGAAATATATACAGTATACATATTTTATCAATATATAAATATATAAATAAATATATTATATTATATATACAACAAGGGGTGTAAATAAGGCGGGATGGGTCAGTCTCCGCTAAAAAACCAAACCGTTTTGTGTCGGTTCGGGTGCAGGTTCGGCCGAAGTCGGTTTTTCCTTCTTCTTCCCCGGACTGCTTCTTCTCTCTCTACTACCCCACTACTACCTGAATCTTTAAAGATTAAAATGGAATATCTAAAAATAAAACAGTATTAAAAAAGACCCCAAATTCTCACAAATTTCTACTGAATGGGAGAAGAAATTACTGAATATTTTCAAATTTTCAAATAGAATAATTTTTTTTAGTAAAAACGTATTAAATCAATTTTTAAAATTTGAAAGATCCCAAAATCTTGCAAATTTACAAGCAAGTCTCGTCCTACAGCAGCCTCTGGCATCATCGCTTCCTGATCTTCGAAGGCGAATAAACTTTTAATAAATCATTTGTAAAATATAATTTTGATTCTAAATAAATTTCTGTTAAATCCCTAAATTTCAAGAAGTAATAATCTAATCCAAATCCTTGGATAATAGTTTTAAACTGTCCAAGAAAGCCAAACTTCGGTTAAAAAAAGATTTCTTCACTGGGTAAATTAGCTTCCCAATTCCAAATCTTTAGATAATAGTTTTAAGCTGTCCATGAGAGAAGTTGAGTTGTTTCTTTCAGTTTTGTATCCCGGTTATAATATTGCAGCAACGAGGCAAAATTCATGTTAAAGCAGTAAATAAAAATGAATTCATGTTAAAAGCAGTAAATAAAAATGAAAAATAAAACATATTGGTAAAATCACTCAAAAATTAATTTTAAATGATTTTATGTTTGTCTAAAATCAATTCTTTAATTTACCAAAAATGATCCACGGACAGAACTGCGAAACAAACCCTTACTACCGAAAAAATTGCCAATTTGACAATATTCCTTCATAGAACCTTCATATCATATATTATTGAAAGAAATGATTTCAAAATATTAATAAAACATATCAAATACAAGTGATTAACTATTTAAAATTGGAAAAGAGTAGATAAAGAAAATAGTGATTGCATGAACAATTGAAAACATGATATGCCATCAGTCTTATATTGACTTTGTTAAAAAAAATTAAAACAGCACAGATTTTCATATAGTTTGTAAATTGTTAATAATTATTTACAATTACCAATCTGAGACCAGTCCAAGTTCGAATATCCACCTTATGATTGTCCTCTAAACTAAAATTTTTCATATCTATGTAAATAATAACAGTAAATTCCTTTCTTCTAAAGATTTTAATTTCGAGTAATTTTTTAGATTACTACACAAAAAATAAGTTGAAGAACATCTCAAAAACTTTCCCAATACACTAAGAAATCCAACAAACTGGCCCCAACCTGTTAGAATCTATTGAAAAAAGAAAACACGTTCACAAATACGCAAAGTAGTTTCAGCAGAAATTCATTTAACCAAAAAGAAAAAAAACCATTTAAAAAACGAAAACGAGAGATGAATCCGAGTTGCTATTACTGTAGAAGGTTGAATGAGAAGTTTGGACGAGAATGTACCAAAGCAGGGGAGCCAGAGAAGTGAGATCACTGAATCTGGACAACAGAAGAGCCCCAAAATCTTGGATATAGAATCGATATACGCCTCCAGAACAAAGCCATCAAGAAATCGATCAAGAGATCTAAACTCTTGCAGCTGAAAGGAGAGGCGACGAATCCCTAAAATAATGCAATACGAGAACGAAACCCTAATCGAAAGGAAAACCCTAGGCGGAGAAATGAGCTGCTCGATTTGAACTGTACGGGATCATCCGCAGGCTGGTGACGAATATATAGAGCTAAGGAAACCCTAGACTAAATTTTCGGAGGGGTAATTTGGTAATTGTAGTAAACTTTCTTTGGCAATTACCGACTCACAATAGCGATACTATGTGGGCTTGGGCTTGGGCTCGGGCTCTTTAGGTCCACTAGGCTAGGGCTCATATAATTGAAGAAAAAGGGGGCCACATAATTTAATTTAAAAGCATATTTTCTATTACGTGTCCCTTTTTCTAAGTTTTAAATATGAATATGGTAGAAGTTCGAGTCTCTAGCTCGAAAAAGAGGTTACTAATATTTTGAATAGCTAGTTATGCACATCTTAGTAATAGTAGCGATCCAAAACAAGATTTTGGAAACGATTTAATGAAAATATAGTTGCATTCTACTTTTTCCATTTTTTAAAGAACATGAGACCTTATGACACCGGTTAGTTTGTGCATAACTAAAAAAAGAAAAAAATACAAAAATATAAAAATAATAAAACAAAATGATTACGCCTGACCAAAAGCAAAGGTCGTCGATGTCAATTTCAACCCACCCATGTACATCCCTACGTTGCTCTCTAATATGATCAAGAGACACCAAGCCGTTATCAACTGAGCGGTCTGGACTCTAATATTTTGTAACATCATGACAATTAAAATTAAAGTTTATAAAATATATTATTCATGAACTTCATTGAGATAGAGAGAGGCTATTTTCTCTGTAATTTAACGGCATCCCATTATAGTGCTGGCGTTGCGCACCTTTTTTTTGGATAGAATTCAAACTTGAAGCTAAAGAAATATCCTTGGACTACAGGGTTTGGTAGTCCTTCCATTTGATAATAAGACACAATAATAATATTATACATCAAAACTCCAAATTCAACTTCAGAAACAAATCAAACAATATGAACATAATCAGCCTAATTAAATTTACAGAGACAGTCTCCTTCCCGCTCTTTTTTTCGCCCGATAAAAATCAGAGTCTTTGCAAGGATTACCCGTAATACGTATATTTACTTTCTTGGCCTAATCCGTAAATTGCCATTGCATAAAAAGAAAACCTTATTAGGGGTGGGTATATACTGAATCTGGAGGGGAAAAAATATATATTTAAAGGCTAAAATCACCTAAATCTAACCACAATGCATGATATATCATCTTTACTCTCTTTCTGCAAAGCCTCAGTTATTAACTGCTTAGCAGCCTTCAATGGGTCTTTGATTTTCCTAGCAATATCAACAGCTTCTTGATTGGCCATGACCTGTTTCATTCACATTCATGAGGTAGAGAGATAAATGGATGATTCTGCATTTAGATGTATTAGGTGTTAATGCAACAGGCAAAAGAGAATGAAAGCTGATAATAGCACCTTCCAAAGACCGTCGCTTGCGAGAATCAATATGTCCATGTTGGCGTCTATATCGATATCGCGAATGTCGGGATCCGATCGCAAGTGAGATTTGAGACTCTTGTCTCCAAATGCTCGTGACACTGCTAGCTGGCCATTCACTCGAGGTACATCTCCTGATTTTAGAAAAGGAACGGGAACATGCATGATTCAAACGTTTGATAAACAACCTTGATTACAGCAACTCGCTTTTTCAGTTTTGAGTACTTCAAAAGTTTCAAAAGACAAAGCGCTACTTATCAGTGGTCCCCAGATATTTCTAAAGAAGCCCAACAAGATGTTCCATATGCAAAAACAAACGATGGGTCAAGTTCCAATTTCCACCAGAACTGTCCTGCTAGTAATTTACTCCCACTCCTTTTTCGTCTTTCTTCCATATGTATTCCCTTCCAATCTGTCCTCTTTACTTCGCTCAGACAAAAATGATTTAACAGTGAAATATAACGCAAAGGGTTGTTAAACCAAACAACTTAGTTTCTTGGATTGGACCACTAGCTTTCCATAAGATATCAAAATAAAATTTTCTAAGTTTGAAAGCTACATTAGATAACACCTAATTTTGCTCTCCCATCAACAAGACTAAAATCTTGGCCATATACTGCAAGCCCAGCCTTTCTGAGCTTCCATCTGTGCCTTCTCAGTCCACGAAAGCTCGTAGGTTTCTCTATCTTCCCAGTTCTTAGAACTAAGCGACTGAGCCCACTTTTTCTCTTGAAGATCACTTGAGAGGTTTATAATTCACAGAATATACAAAAGAATTTGGAAGCCAAAATTTCCCTAGGTGGTGTCCACGTTCACTTTAAGGTAATCATAGGAATGGTGTCTTTGCAAATAAAGAAAATTTTTCCTTTACATATAACCCAACTGGTTTATGCTATCTATAAAGGAAGAGGAATCAGCCCTGCACTTGTCCGTGGACCATAATCTAACAAATGGAAATGGCGAAAACTACTTTGACTCTTTAATTTCAACTATGAACGGCCCGAGAACATCAAGGATCTAATTTATGAGCTGCTGTGAGGTTAGTGTTTTGAGGACAAGAAAGACATGCTCTAGTATTTGTGGCACTTTGCTATCTCTTGGAGGAGTTGTTGAGATCAGTTTAGCATGACTTTTGCCATAGTGAAAAGTAACTAAAAGAACTTATCAAAATTTTCATGTTGTTTAATTGTGTGTTTTTTTTTTAATTCTAAAAACACTTAAAAGACACTCTAAAGAACTTTAAGAAAAATCATTTACTTAAATTGGCCGCCTGTTCTAAAATCTCTAATTATCTCAATCACAATTAGAAGTTCATCAAGGAGGAAGCAGTTAACAGATAAGAATCTGGAGAGGAACCCAAGCTAAACAGATTTGTCGGGTAAAAGAATGACCAAGGAAAACAAGCAATTGGATACTGTGTCACCAGTACAAAATATAAGTGGTGGAAAATTGACACAACACTCAATTCTAGATATCAACGACGACTTCTAACCAGATATTATGCATAGGAGATTCTGCAGTAGATTTTCTAGACAATGATTGATTATAAGTTACCTGGCATGTTTGAAACAAAGCCACCTTTATTCTCAATGATGCCACGTTCTGTATTCGGCTCATGATCTATGGTCATCTGTACAGCTTCGCCCCCTCTCGAAATAACCGCACGCGAATCTCCAACATTAGCCACCCATAATCGTCGACCATTAATCAAGATAGCAGTAACAGCAGTTGATCCACCACGACCCAAGTCAGAGCTGTGGGATAGAATTGCCTGGTCTGTCTTCTCGTAGGCTTTTGAGATGGAGCTGTTGGGGTCAACCCAAAACTCTTCCTATAATGACAAGTGCGAAATATCAATACAAACAAGACCAAGAGTAGCCATATTAATACTCAGATTTGTAAGCTTAATTTACAAGTTTTTCAAGCTAGCATCCCACCTCATTCAGGATATTAGTAAACAAATGTTTTTGTAAGTAGGCAGGCACATTTTCTCCTAAATGCCCATCATAAATAGCAAAGAGCCCCAACTCATGTCTCTGAATCTGAACAAACTTAGCAACATGGTAATCTTCCATGGGATGATTGGCTTTCCCTTTTACCAGGCAGAATCCATACTTGATTATCCCCTCGTGGCTTCTTCCTTTACCGTAGTTTGATGCGGATCTAATCTACATGACCAAATTGTCACAAAAACAATATATTTGTGAATCATTTGCATCATCCAGAATGAAGTAAAAGAATCCAAAAAGATCAATTTGAATTCCAGTTTTAAAAAGAAAATATATATTCAATCAACTCAAGGTAAGACCCTCCACCACCACCACAATTATTTTGCCCTCTAGTTTACGTCTTTTCTTCAATTATTTATTTTTCTTTTGGTTGGGGGATTCAGTTAGACTTCTTTAGTACATTATGATCATCGTTTAACAGTACAGTAGCAAAGAAATTGCCCAATGCCCTCTACACACAGAAAACAAATGCTATGCACTATGCATAATTTTGTCACCTAAATTGAGTATAGTCCACAGCTCCTAAGTCCCAACCACTCCCCCCACCCACCACAAGAGTTCATCAACAAATTTACCTCGTTCATACATACAGAGTTTTAAAAATCCATCAAAAACTGTAAGAAGTTCCACTACATAATTTAAAAAATAATTAATCCCCAACCCAAAAACAGAGCAGCGAAAAAAACAAGGCTGAACACTAAATTTCTGCGTGCTTTTGGTCAACTTTTGGCACCAAGGCTACGATTACAAATTGAAGAATCACAAAAAAAAAAAAGCTAGAGAACCAGTCCTTACCCGAGAGTAGGAAGCATTAAAACAGCACAGCTTCTCCATAATTTAAATTCCAAAACAGTTCCAAGTCCTTCTGCTAATTTCTTCTCAACATCTATCTCTTGTGGAGAGGCACCTCCAATCCAACCCCCAAAAAATTCGAACCAAAACCGCCCCAAAAATTCACCGACTGCACCATCAGAAACCCTCAAAACACAACCCTAAAACCCTGGAAAAAGCCAAACGCCAAAAACAAAAAAAAACAAAAGTCAAAAAGATGATAAGAACTGGTACCTGAGTATCTGAAATTCCACCTAAATGATCAAAGAAAACCGGTTGCGCCAGCTCCTTCTGTGGCGGCGTTGCTTCTTCTTCTTCTTCTTCTTCTTCTTCTTCTTCTTCTTCTTCCAGTGGCTTCTTCTTAATTTGGTGTCGCAATTGAATAAATGAATGATGAGAGAGGGAGAGAGAAGAAAAGGAGAGCAGCGAACATTTGCAAACTTTTCCTCTGCAAAAGAAAAAAAAAAAGGAAGGAAAATAAAAATGGAAATTTGAGATTTAATAAAGAGAAAGTTTGAGAGTGGAAGGAATCGGGGGATGCCTTTGTTCCACTACCATGATTTGCAACCGTTTTGGAAGTCTAAGCAATGAATAATATTTTTATTTTTTTAATTAAGAATTCCAACAAAAAAGAAAAAAATTATAAATTAAAAAAAAAGTGTTAAATTAAATGGTATAAAGAAAAGGGTGCCCACAAAGTGGGACTGTGACTTTCTTCTCTGTTGACTTTCTTGTTTTCTACTGTTTACTTTGTTTTTCCTTCTCTCTCCTCTCTCCTCCATCAGCCCACCTGTCCTTATTTTATATATATTATTTTTAATTTATGTCCCAAACTCTTAAATTTATTTCTTTTTTTTTTAATTACAGATTTTAACTAGGTTTTATTCGTAGCATCAGTACCTATGAATTGGAATTAGTTTTAAATATTTTTTTTACATGATTTGGTTAAACCTTTTAAATCGATTTAACTAGTTAAAAAATTTACTTATTTTGTTATATTTTTACAATTAATTTAAATGGTTTAAAGTATCTATCTCTAGTTTGTAGATATAAAATTCGACAAAATATAATAATTAAGTTGAAACTTTTAAAACCATAGAAATGTGATTGGAGTTATACTCCTGACAAATTTTGTAGCTTGTATTCCTCAAGGTTAAAAACATTAAATTTTAGTCTTTTAAATTATTTATTAGTTTATTTTAGTTCATAAATTTTGCATAAAATATGATTTTTATTGTTAATTAATCTTATAACAACAATTACATTATTTGAAAACCGAACATTTCTTATGTAACATGAGAGTGAAAAATCTACTATTTCAAAAAGTTTCTTTAAGTACAATGTATAGGATTGGAGAATTAAACTTATGACTTACTGATCGGATATAGACATATTAACCCATTAGCTATGCTCCAAAGAAAGGTTTATTGAGTGGTTAATTATTGAGTTATACTCAACTTTATAATTATATACGATAATTTTGATCAAATAAATGAATGTGCTCAAGATACATGTTTGTTAAAATTCAATTATACGAGTCTTCAATGGTAGTTAGCATATAATTAATTACTTTTTTAAAGATTTGATTTTCTATATTCCCAAATTGTTGTACTAACAAAATATAATAAATAAACGAAGTATACGGATTAATAAGTTTTTTATATAAAATTTTAGTGTATTTTTAATAAAAATTAATTATGAAGAAAAACAAAGGTAATAGTGTAATACATCCACATGCCTGATAAATTACAGGATTTTGACACGTGCCACTGCCATTGCAGCAGGGTCACCGACCACCAGAAATTTGGCAGGCCAAGGACGAAGGCAACAAGAAACTTCCTCTTTCACTTTCTTTCTATTTTAATTTAAATTTAATTTATCAAAGATAAATCAAGCCATTTATTATAATTGTCTAAATTGAATTTGTTTAATTAAACATGTATTAATCCATTATTACCCTTTGGTCAACTTTTCAATCATCAATTATTCTCAAAAGGAAAAAAATATAAATGAACACATCCCTTTGGCCACCAAATACTTGTGATGTTTCAAAGGGTCAAACTAATTATTAAATTAGTGTTTACCTAAACAACTCCGATAATTATATTCATAGTCGACGGTTGATAGCATAATTGAAAGGAAAAAAAATAGTATTCATAAATATTTAAGATGGATGATGCGAACCATTATTCATAGAATAAATAGTCAAATTTATGAAAGGTATCCTTATGATTTGAGAGAAAAATCATTGTTATCAGAAGAGAGCTGAATATAGACTAAGACTTGTAAAGATAAAAAAGGAGAATGACACGTACAATCGAGGATATAATATATTTGAGAGAGAAAAATATTAATAGTGTGAAAGTGGTTAAAAAAAAGTTATTGCGCTTAAGCAAAAACCTCGCTCAAAAATAAATTATGATTAAACCATAGGCTAAAAACGAAGACATAATGTTTGAATTGCGGATTTGAATTGGGTCCTTATGAATTTCCTCCGCCCTGCATAGCAGTCCATTGAAGGAGCTGTGGAGTTGGTAAAGGTATGATTATTGCGCTTAAGCAAAAACCTCGCTCAAAAATAAATTATGATTAAACCATAGGCTAAAAACGAATACATAATGTTTGAATTGCGGATTTGAATTGGGTCCTTATGAATTTCCTCCGCCCTGCATAGCAGTCCATTGAAGGAGCTGTGGAGTTGGTAAAGGTATGTGCACCTACCACTAGTCTTCGATCAGAGGGGTTTATTGCACAAAAACGTCAGGACGCAGGCCCCAAAGAGGGGATTCACGAGAAGAAGCATTGCGCTATTTACCAGTGAGTGGTATTATCGGACTGAATTCATTTTAGATAATGAAACCATTCCATTACTACCAACTCAATACGACCTCTCTTAGATATAAGGTTTATGCCGGAAAGGTACGAAGTTGGACTAATTTGGAAACATGGGGTAATTTACTTTCTGCCTACTATTCCATCTGGCTTTTGGTTTCTAGTTTGATTTTATTAGTAGCTATGATTGGGATTATAGTAGTGACTATATATGCATAGGACTACTGAGGTGAAAAGACATGTATTCCGACGAAATGATATTGATTTTAAGAGTACTACAATGAAGAGGATGTTTCTATATTGTATTTCATACAATAACGACTTGCAATAGTAATAACAATTGGCCAAAGCGAACATAGCTCAGCAATAATTGACATATACCCTCAATCAAGAGATTGTGAGCTCGATCTTCCACCCTTACGTGTTGTACTAAAAAAGTAATTGACGAAAACAACACCTATGTAAAGTTATTTTTTCTATTTAAAAAATAATAATTGAGGAGACGTGACTCAATTTTAAAAATTAAAATTAACTAAAATGAAGATTAAATCTCGTTGGTCAAATTAAAAGAAACTAATCGAAATGGATAAAAAAATATGTGTTAATTATCACTTTTAACTAATCAAACTAATAAATTAAGGAAACAATTGGGTAATTAATGATGAAAGCGTGTGGGAAGGGCGAATTGACTAGACGGTGGATTGTGGCTGTGCGGGTCAACAGCTTGAGCCACAATCTTCCGTGGATTCAAAATTTGAAAACTAAAGTCTTTCATATTATTCTTATGGTTTTTTTTTTCTTATTTTTCTTTTTAAGATTTACCACTTTTTTATTTATTTTATCTCTCTAACTTTTGGGTCGAATGAATGTTCTTTTCCAACTTTCAAAAAGTTTTTTTTTTCTTTTTAAAGAGAGAAAAAATATATATTTATATATTAGAATTTCACTTTTGCATATACGTAACAGAGTGTGAATGGCCTTCTTCTTTCTATTTTCCAATTTCCATTATTTGCTATATATCCTCTCGGATGATTCTCCTGCTTTTACTTATCCTTTTTCAGCTTTATTACACCTACGCGTTGAAAAAAAAAAAAGGGTCCCATGCATTCTCTTTAATATTCACATTGTTGATGTTGTTTTTCGTCGAACTCACAGGTCGGTCACGTGCTAATGAGAACGAGCTGTCGAGGTGCTTGTCTCACTCAGATTTCGATTTCCGCAACCTGGATCACTTTTTGGAACCTATACAAGAAATAAACACTCTGACATTCAAGTTAGTTGCGAGCTCAATTTGTTTAGGTCGTTCTCAGAAGAAATAGCGTACTTGATCAACGGGGCGGAGTGTCCCTTTTATATGCAGGGGAAGACAAGGTCATTGGTACTATTACGACTAGCGGTTACGATTGTCGGACCCCAAATTAGTGGTCGGACATACCTCAGGTCGGCGTGTACAACTGTTCATGACCTCAGTTCGGCATGGTTCAGGTACGAGGATACGGTTGACTTGTTCTCTACCTCTTGACAACTCTGAACTGAGTCACACATATCGATTCTGATTTTGACCATCAACACACATGATAAAACTTTGATTGTAGCTAAAATGGTTAAAACATATGTAATACTTTTTTGTTATAGGACTTAGGTCTGAATTCTCATGCTAAGGTTAAAAAATTTTAGAAACTAACAAAATTCGTTTTTTTTTTCCTATTTCTGTTTTAAGTTATTTTCAAAGCATACATAAAAACATTATTTAATTATTTGTTTATTTTAATATTGGAAACCAAACATTGCTAAAGGACTAATTAGTGGACGTTTGGTACACAAATATTAGTCTATGAAATTGGGTTTCACAATCTAATTAAAAGCAACCTAATCAAATCTTATTCTAAGCCCTCTCATTCTAGCGAAAATTATACAAATTTCTCTCATATTCTTACATGTCAACCTTTGAATCCAATTCCTCAGGACTCTAATAATAGGTATTTATACTAAAAAAAGAAAAAGTAACTCATTCCAATCCTGGCCTATTCGGTAGGAAGAACGAGAGGGAGATGAGAAAAAATATTTAATAATTTGAAAGTCAAATGAATAGTTTAAGGAAAGAATATAATGCAACCATTATGATTAAAGTTTGTGGGGAGGAAATTAAGGTAATAAAGCAAGAAAATAGAAATAAAATAAAATAAAAACCTAAATTACAAAAATACATACGAACTTTCCTCTTGGTTTAAGAAATAATTAATGCTTTAAAAATTTCAATACTACTCTCTGCCTTTAATATACATTTTAAAAAAAATATCAAGTCTGTTGAGATGGCGCAGTGACAAATACTTGAGGCTTTGAGATACCACCTATCTTGAAATCTCAAATTCGTTGACGTAAGGCATAAGCCACACGGCATTAATACCGAAAAAGATTTTTAAAAAAATGGAAACTTAATAAAATATAGAAAACAATTTCACATCTTCCATTTTGAGGTAATTTAAGTGTTGACTTTCAGCAGTGGTCCCCAGATGGAATCTGATGCCTACCCTCTCCTCAGATTGTGCAGTTAATTTGATGCTTCTTTCAAAGGTTAACCAAAAATAAAAATAAAAAATAATTAAACAGCCAAACAATATAAAATTATACAACTAATGGTTGAGTGAATCTTTTTGGCCTATAAAAAAGGGGCAATTTTATTTATTTTTTTGCAAGAAAAAAAAACTCATTCCTCGGACAGAGCATAAAACACAGTCGAACAAAGCTATGGCATCTGAAAATATATCCCTGGAGTTGAGCAGAAAAAAACTAAGAAGAATCTCACAACTTTTTTTCCAACAAAAAAAAAAAAGAGTTATGCATCTAAAGGCAAGCAAGATAGAGAAATATTTCCATAGCTTAAGCATGGGCTTACAAGAAGAATCCGGGCTAATCGCAAACTTGAGTTTATTCGAAGACGATGACAACGACGACAATCACTATTTCGATTCTCTACGCTTCTGTTACAGCTACACAAATTACAACTTTCACTATACAGCATAGCAAGACTTATGATACAACCGTAATAACGGAAAGAGAGCGAGAGCAAGAATGGGAACGGGAGAGGGAGAACATGATCAGCAGATGAACTGCATCTATCAGTTAGAAATTTCATACACATGATAGTGACCAATGCCAAGTCAGATTGGTGGAAGAAGTTGAAGAACTTGTTAGTGTGTTTCTGTTTCACCATCTGGCTGTTGCTTTGTGCTCCTCTTTCTGCTAGTTCTTTCATTTTTTGCCTCACCTGTTTAAGAAAGCCCATTGAATCATGTCAGTGAGAGAGAAGCACAGCACTGAAAATAGACATAAAATTTTCTCTATCCATACAGATGAAAACATTTGAATTTTAGCTTTTTAATGATGATGATATGCAGCTCAATCATATTTGTGACTTTTTGAGATACGAAAAGAAGTCCAAGCTACCAACTACATTTTGATTTCACAAGTTGTTACCCAGTTTGAGATAGCCGCCTCCAATTGATTATTTGATGAGTCTGTTGATGCCCCTGCAAGAATGAAGGGCTGGTTCCCATGCCATTTTCGTCAACCACAAATTGCTCGGTGTAACTCGAACTTGGCGGAGACCAAACCGGAACCACACCTCCGTCCCTCTCTCTTCTAATGTCGCTACTCGAAGACGACTCTGCAGTGGAGTCTTCAGCAGCACTTCTGAGGCCTATGCCCACGGTATAGGGAAGTTGAGCACGTGTTGGAGCAGTTGGCTGAACTCTTGGGCTTAATGCATCTCCTCTGGTAGGCTCTTGGTTTAAATTTACATTTGTTGGTACTTCTGCTCTAGCTTCTGCTGTACTTTGAGTATTCAAAGAAGGTTCATCTTCTAATCTCACCGAAGTTGTCATGCTCGGGACCATCTGATCCTCGTAGCATCGAGCTATATGAGGGTTCGCCCTTGCAGGCTCATGGTCATCCTCCTCCATTTGTATGTCTCGAGGAAATGCAATTGGGATCGACTCTGAAGAATCCCCGAGTCCCTCTTCAGTTCCATTCTCCATTGCAGCCCTTGAAGCTGCTTCTTGTTGCCACATCTCTGACAGTGCTTCTTGCAGCCTAGCTTTAGCTGCATCCAGTCCTACGATCGGAAGAGGGTAGTTCGATCCGAGCTCGATCCCAGCAGCTTGGAGAACTGACTCTGGTGCATTCCATGGGTGATGAATCCATTCAGTGGGTAATCTAGAGAGTTCAGGAAGCCATCTCCGAACATATTCTCCGTTCGGGTCGAATTTATAGCCCTCAAGCTGCAGAAAACCAATTATAGTACAGATAATTACATCCAGAAACACATATAATCCAAGAGCAAGCAAATAAGGACTTAAGCTTAGCCAACAGATGAGGATAACAAGATGAATTCAGATAGATGCATATGGATATGAAGCCTAAATACAAGTAAATTTATTTGGTAAAGAACTTTGAAGGCGTGCGAACCTGTGGATTGTCGATGCGATCAAATTCACGGCCATCCGGAAGCGTGCCAGATATGTACTGCCAACCAAGAGCATCACTCTCAAGATCAGCATCCAAGAGAGTATCCCAGAAATACTTCATTCCCCATCTCCAAGGAAGCTGCAGAACCTTCACAAAGAAGCTCGAAACTACAACTCGGATCCGATCGTGCAGCCAGCCAGTAGCCCACAATTCCCTCATACCGGCATCGACTAACGGATAACCGGTCCTACCTTGCCTCCATGCCTTGAAATAGCCTTCATCCACAACCCATGGAAAGAATTTAAGGTGCCCAAGAAGAGGCCTCTCATGACTGTATGGATGGTTGAAACTCATGTATCTGGAGTATTCTCTGAGGCCAATAGACTTAAGAAACAAGTTGACACTCTCTTCGCCAGCCTTGTTTCCTTCATTGGCCCATAAAACCTGCTTGATTCGAACAAGATGAAACACTTTTCTCACGCTTACCTCTCCAAAATGCAAGTGGGGAGACAGAAATGAGGTGGTTGCGCTATCTGCCTTCCTGCGATTTTTCGAGTACTCGATTAACGGTCCATTGATGAATGTGGTCAAAGCCTTATCTGCATTGCTCCATCCTGGAGACCATGCTCGAGCAAGAAGCGCATTGCTTCCCTTCTCCAATTCATCTTCAAACACCAATGTGTCATATGGACACCTAGATACATCACCTGAAGAAGCAAGGACAATATTTTGAGGAAAGCTTCAACAGTTCACGAATCGGTCAAGTATATATGCACGAGAGAGAAGAAATAGAGATGACGTAATATATCAGAAAAAAAGAGTTAAAAAGTGCCATACTTCCCACTTAAATAAATTAATGAAAGAAGAGAAAAACAATGAATGAATAGCAAGCACATAGTTCGATTGTGAAAATATGAACTAACTAAGCTCCACTGCATGCCCAACCATATCAAAAGAGCTTTTGTTCTTAAGAGAATTGGTGTTTCTTGACCATCTACATCAGAAGAAAACCACCTCATGATCTAATAAATTGCAAGTAACCATCTCTTTGAGAAGAAGTACTGCATAAGCGAATAAGTAGTTCGGGCCCCAGGGACTATATTTACAATCTCTTGGCAATAGAATCGCATAGACGAAACGCCCCTCTCTATTGGCTGATGTCAATTACTTGTTTTCGCAATTAGATATCTAAGTTTTAGCATCCAATTCTCTCATATGGGAATGTAAAATTAGGTTGGAGATAAAGGAGATAAAGCTTAGACTTAGATTATGAAACCAACTATGCAACTTTAACTTATGAAAGTAATCAGTTCCATGCATTAACTGAAATCAAAATGGATGAACAAATATCTCAAAATCACAATCAGACACAGTACTCTTAATTTTCTCTCAGGAAATCCGACATGTAGAGTCGAACACAACAACTAGCGAGTTACGAGTCGATCGACTTCAACTAAACTACAGATAAAAAAACCTGAAATTATCCTCTTAGGAGGGAGAAGTGGCGCCTCCGGGTCGAAAGGCATGCTGAGACATCTTTCCCAGAATCCAGCAAAGGTGGTAAATGGGTGGCCATTTGCATCATTAACATCCCACGGTTCGTACAGTAAATCCGCATTGTACGACCTCACGCCTATGCCTTGGGCAGTCAAAACCTCCTTAGCTCGGTGATCCCGAATGAGCGATAAAGGATCTGAAACACAAGTTTTCATCAAGAAACAAACCATAAGACATATATATCTATATACATATACATATACACTTTTTCCAAAAAGCCATAAACCAGGCATCAACTCAAACTTCATAAGACACCAATTTTGCAGGAATAATCTCTTCACAAGCATCTAGACACCCTTTCCTCTTTCCAATTCTATGAAATCTCAAACACTCAAGAAAAAGAAAGTAGTCTGAGAAGACAATTATGTGCCCACTTGTTTTCATGAAAATTGACAAACAGATGAACAAAAACCCCAACATAACGCCACACACACACATCAACAAAACCCCTCCATCATCAGAGCAGCTCCCAAAAACTAAAAAGAATCAGATCATAATCACTAATTCCAGACGAACAGAAAACACGAAATCAAAGAAGAAGAAGAAACAGACCATATAAGTGATTGAAGAAGAGCTGAGAAGCACCAGTGGCTTTAACGACATCGATAAGAGTAGAAATGGTGTTGGTGGATCTCTTGGTGACGAGGAAGGTGCCGAGGCTTCTGAGAGAGGAATCGAGATGGGCGAGGCTCTGCTTGAGCCACCATCGGGAGACCCGGCCGGGATAGTAGTGGCCCTCCTCCTCCGGCGCCCAGATGAAGACGGCAACGACGGCGCCGGCCCTGACGCCGGCGGCCAGAGCTGGGTTATCCTCTACCCTGAGATCCCTTCTGAACCAGACTATGCTGCAACCGCCACCTGACATCGCCCAGATTAAAACCAAACCAAACCCCAGAAATCACGTACCCTTTTTCTCTCACTCACTCACCAATCAACCATATCCATCCCTCTTCTCTCTCTCTCTCTCTCTCTCTCTCTCTCTCTCTCTCTCTCTCTCTCTTCTCTCCACATACACTCAAAAGTTTTTTAATTAATACTTATATTTTTTCCCCATTTCAGCTTTTGGGCATTAACATAGGGGAATGAGAGAGAATCGATTAAAATATTTCACTTTCTATCTTCTTTTTATATATATTCTTTTTATATATAGGAAAAATATTTTCCAACAACTTTGTCATCGCCAATAAAAAAAAAAGTTAGATAATATTTAGTCCTCACGGTTAAGAGTCAAATATTTTCCTTAAAATATGGAAAATACTTAGTTTTTTAGAGGCAGAATTTTGTCCTTAGCATAATACAAAATGTAAAAATATATATTTTCTAATAAAATTAATGAGTTGTCGATAAAATTTAATCATCTTTAAAAGTAAGTATTTTCTTTAAAATATTTTACTTTTCTATCTTTTATTTATATATATATATATATATATATATTGCTAAAAAAGAAAAGGGTTTTTCTTTTTTTTTTCTCCCTTTTGGAGGAGTGAGAGAATCCTGTTGGGTTTCATGAATCTCAATATTTGCTCAAACAAGTTGGGAAGGAAAAGCATGTGAAAAGGAGAGAGAAAGAGGGAGAGGGGTGAAGAGGATTGGTTAATGGAGTGGGGACGACCAAATTGATGCGCAAATTGTAGCCACAAACTTTTTTTTTCTTTTTTTCTTTTTCTGTTCTTGATTTTTGGTTTTATTTTATTTTTCTTATTTCCTCTTATCCTCTGCGGAAAAAACAAGATCCCACCCACCTATCTAGTTCCTTCTCTGCTTGTCTCTCCTTGACAGGGTGGAATATCACAAAACCCTTCCAAAAATTAAGCATTTATCTGAGTATTTAACCTTTGTGTTGTCTTTCGTTTAATTAGCAAAATTGAACACTAAGTTGTCGTTGGATTTTTTCCTAGCTTGTATACTTATTAAATTGGATATTGGAAATCATTTTATATTGTTTATTTTTAACGGTTAAATTGCTTCCTCGTTGGGATTATTTGATACCTTAACTCTTGATTTTGATGATGGTAAGACAACTTTTATTGACCTTATAAATTAAATGTTGATTGGACCAATGGTACGAAGGATAATATATTCGTGGGATATAAAATATGAGTAAATGAGCCAAAATAATTTAATAGTGCTAGGGGTGAGATCAATGCGCACCATGTGGCCCTTTGTACCGCGTGCCACGTGGCCCTCTCATCAAGGAACATGTGGTCAAACCCAGCTCGATCATGCCTATGATGAGGAGGGTCTGGACAGCTCGCCTCAACCCCGATGCCAAAGTCTCAACTTCCGACTTGGAAATGCGATACGCTATTATTGGGGATTTGCAAACCACTAACAAAAAATTGTTGAAAAAGCGTCAAATGGCATGACAACGCGTCCGAAAGCTCCCCCGCGAAGTCCCGTAGAATCTAGGACCAAACTGAAACAACCATCAACATTGAAGGACAACATTTGCAATTTAACTCATTATTTGGCTTCCGAAATATGTTATTTCCGTGATGGTCTTTTTTTCCCCATTATTCTAAATAGACATTAGTTAAATTTCAATACTTAAAACCAATGGTTTGCATTACCATGTTTTCTATTTTGAAAATAGTTAAGATTTCAATTTTCAAATGCATCTTTTTCAGCATTTAAAGAAAAAACTATCGTCCTTTTTTTTAATTATTAAAAAAAAAGGCCATCGTCCTTGTTTTCAGAAATAAATAAAATCATTATAAAACATAATCTATAGTTTTGTTTTAAAAAACATGTGCTTACTTGTATGATTTTTAATACATCCATTTATAATTTTAGGAATTTTGGTTTTTCTTCTTGGTCGGTATAGCTGTTCTTTCAATTCTTTTTTTTAAGTATAACTCTTATTTATTTATTTTCCAGACATATAAAACTCGTTTGAAAATGTATGAACTACAATTTATATAAGTTGAAGGTACATGGACAAAAATATGTATTTTCAGAAAATACATGAACTAATATATACATACTAGAGATATATTTAAATTTTAAAATGATTTGTTTTAATAATTTATTAATTTTCCATAAAAATGATTGGTTAAATATTGATGTTTTCAGTAAAAAAAAAAATGTAGAGGCTGTAAGAAATGGGCCAAATATATTAATTGGTGATCATGTTGCCAATGTTGCCAAGTTATTAAATATTGATGATAAGCATGAATGTTCACTTTTCTTTTTTATTATGAGTCAACAATTGAAAGGACATTATCCCACCAAAAATTTGGAAAATAGTCGTGTGGATGGATTTTAATAGATTTGCCAGATTTCAATCAACTTGATGTTTAGTTTTATGGGTTTTCTCTTTTTTTTTTTTGGTCAATTTGGTTGAGCTTTTGGTCGGAAAACATGTTAAATTAGTGCCCTCGAATGGATTCCAACTTCGATTATTGGAACCTTAAACAACTTGCAAAGATAAATAAGTGAAAGGTGAAAACGACGTCAAGTCGTCGTACTCCTTATATCTTGAGGGATCACATGCTAGAGATTAAAGGATCGTGATATGCGAGGTTGAGTTAACTTAAAAATACATATTCAGTTCGAATGGTATATTACAAGTCTAATTTCAGTTTTAACTTAAAAAAAACATGCTTTCGATTCGTTTTCTTCACACACGTACATATGGATTTTTATTTCTTCGATTGCAACTATTGCAAGAGATTGAATCATCAATCTCTAAGATAACAATAAAGTATTGTCACTTACTCTTCACGCCTATCATTAAAAAGGTCAGAAATGAGGTCAATCTAATCTAATAAAAGTATATAAACTCGAATTTTCACTCTAGTTTAATTTAAAATTAAAAAAATAATAAAAAGAATTCACACGGATAAAACGGTAATTTCAGATGGTGGGACCCACCGAGAAAATTGTGATGCCCCAAGCAGAAAAGATGGGCAAAAGCTTGGTTTTCGTCGGCCTCGTGTTGGAGGTGGGCCTCAGGCTGCATGTATTTGGACTTTGGGGCTATTCGTAGACTTAGATTCCATTTATGTCTCGTAGTCACTATTCAAACTCGGTTGATGAAGATTGAAGAATTGGCTCTTCCCTTCCGCAAAACCAATCATTCATATCCACTCTCTACCAAAAATTTGAAGTTTAGGTTTAAATTGTAGGTGGATCTCTAAATTTTCATGCTTATTATATTTGTGTACTACATTTTGATTTTGTTTTCTTGGAATTTATCTATTTTTTTTATTTATAAATCGTAACTATTGATTACTGTATGATATGGGAGAGAGGAAAACGTGTAAACAAGAAATTTCAATACCTTAAGACTTTTATAGTTACGGTTGTTGTTCACCGGAGCTTCGGTTGCTAGCTTTGTTTCGAAGCAAATTAGGGGCGGTTCGTCTTCATAATTTGGGTGTAGTTTCAACACTCTTATGAAACATAAACACCAATTTAACTTGGGAGTGGTGATTTAGTGGCAGTGAGTGGTAACATTGTTTTGTTAACTCTCATCCTATTAGAAAATGAGGATTCAAACAAAATCGATGAAACGAAAGAGATCCGAATGAATGGAAAAAAAAAAAACAAAACTGACATTGTAGAGATAGATTGAAATGTAAACATTTAACATATTTGATGTCATTAACTAATTAGTTTAGGTTGATAAATATATTATGTTTTAGTTCATGAGAAGTTTGTATTAAATAGTGTTGTAGGTGTAAACTAACACAACCATGTGGCTTCTCCAGTGATGGCAAGTGTATTTGGGTCTTAGTTAGGACGCTTATGACGAAGAGGGAGGAAGGTCCTGCATGTCTTGGACGTTAGCTCGACTCCGACCTTGAAAGATTTTGTTAGATAGGAAATCTACTAACATTCAACAGAATGACGATTTTGTTGTCTAAAGATCTTCTAATTTTCGATGAAATATTCGTTGAAAGACATGTACAACAGTTGCAATTTTTCATGTTCCCCTTAGTACACGATCACTTGCATTTAAACCAAATTTCGGCTCGACATTAGTTCTAACTTAGACATTGGAGTGTACATGGGTGGACATTAGTATGATGTTCTATTTGTAGGTGATATCAAAACCCACATTAGAATCCACGTCAGACAACCTACTTACGTGTCACCTTGTCTAGAATCGCGCATGAAGAACGAAAAGTATATTAGTTTTTACCATTGATTTATTTAAATTTGACATAGACGAATTAGTTTTATTTAGTTTTTAATAAAAAAAAATTAAATTATCTTCTTATAAATTGAACATGGGATGAAATATTAATAATGACCACTAAATATCTTTTTGGAATTTTTTTTATGGCATTAAGAAAAAGAAACAATAAATATCACTAACAACATTATTAAATGGCCTTGCCATGTCTCCTTTTTTATATTTAGCTTTAAGGGAACTATTTTTGAAACATTTTTCTGCATACTTTACCGAGAAATAAAAATTAGATAAAACAATAATTAGATTTTTTTTAAATTTTTTTCCTTCTTTAATATATAGACCCATCAACTTGAAGAGTCAATTTTGTATTTTTCCAACACTATGAGATTATGGATAACGATTCAAGAGGTTATCAAAATACAAATTTTACACGTAATAACTAATATGAAAATAATCATTGACTAGAAAAACAATTCAAAATAATATATATAGTGTGTATAATAAATAGAATACATAAATGTAAAAAAAAAAAAAACACTACACTTTACCATATAATAAATTCCTCTGTTATTGATTAAAAATATTTAGGTAGGTAAATAATTTTCGGAGTAACACATTTATAAGTCATAACAATTATTATATTTGTTTTCAATAACCTAAATTTTATATGAATATGTATTTTAAAGTTACTTTTTAAAGAAAAACATTTGTACTGTCTCGTATTTTACGCTTGTTATTGTTTAGTACATGTAAGTGAGAAATAATCGTTATCTCCTATCATATCGTTTCACTGTAAACTTTTGACGTGTTTATTTCTTGTATTAGAACTAAAAATAAAAAAAAAAAGTAAAAAAAAAATTGAATTCGGATCCGACACATAATGACATCTACATTTCACATGCATGCCTTGCAACTTGACTGCTTGAAAGAGTGAAGGTTGTCCTTCAAACTAATACGGATCATTTCAGGATGCTTTGTCCTCACTCACATGAATAAAAAAAAAAGTCTATTAGGAAGTTCTTATAATTGAGCCACGAAAAGAAGATGCACATTTTGTTAGTATAAGTACTTACTATCAATTATGTTAAGTCTTTCTCAACCATTCTTGCATCTTGTTCGGATATGGTGTCGGTTCAATCATGTACTTCTTGTCTCAATCCAACATCTTTATAAGAAGTATTGATTACACGACTTATTGTGTATATTAACATATTAATATGAGTGTGTATTTAAATTACATAGGTTGAGTAAATTATTGGGTAGGCAAAGTTCAAGTGGTAAAATAATATAACAATAGCAAAAATGGTTATTTTTTTAATGGTTTAAATACTATTTTGGTATCTATACTTTCAACTTTTGTTAATTGCAGTCATTGTATGTTTGAAATGTCAATTTTGGTATCTTTATATAAAATGACTATTTTGGTCCATTCATCTTCATTCCCATCTCATGGCTTTCAATTACACTTTACTTACTAAATTTACTTAAATGTAGTCATAAATTCATATCAAAGACTATAAAGTCCGTGCAAAAATTTTGTAAATAAAAACCAAACTAGTCCATTTTTAAAAGTATATAGACAAAGACGAACGTTTTGAAAGTATAATGACTAAAACGAATAAAATTTGAAAGTACACTAATAATAATAATAAACAACTATGATAGATGTTACGAACACTCGTGAATCAGATTAATTAATTTTTAAAAAATTTAAGATTTAAAATAGAGTCTAAACAAACCTTAAAATTCACAAACCAAAAACAATGATTTAAACCTGAAATTGAAATAAAAACAATTTCAATTGAAATTTGCCTATCTCAATTGCTGTTAAACTATAGACTCACTATTAGTTAAATTTGTTAAGATATTATAAGGTCGCGAATTTGGTTAAAATAAAAAAAAAACAAATTAAGAAGTGAAAAAGGACACCTCCACTCCACAAAATCGTTCTCTTCCAACACACAAAAGTCATCAAATTGAAATATTGTAAAAATAATAATAATAATGGTTGTAGAGTCAGACGGTTGTCGCCACCTATCTTAGAAATTAGTAATTTCTATATGTTTTTCGGTACCAAATGTTGTAGAGTTAGACAGTTGTCCTGTAACCTTAGTCGAGGTACGTGTAGGCTCACTTAAACACTCACGAATATAAAATAATAATAATAATAATAATAATAACAATGGTCGAAGTGGAAGTGGGAATTCAAAATTCCAAAAGCCATCTTTTATTCTTGGGAGACAAAAAGTTGATTGGTGTGACTCCATAACTACACTGTCGTCGGATGCTGCGAAATAAAGCCATATCTTGTGGGGGGGTACGACATGTCGTCCAGAGAATACACACACAATCTCCATTGCCTTGTTGGGGAGCCGACGCCCATTCCTTCACCATATGCCTTCGCTCCCATCGCTCTGTTTCTGTCATCGTGCTTTGAAGTCAAGGTTTTAAGTTAAAAAATATAAAATAAAACCAAAACAATTTTGTAGAAATTAATGGTGGTTTAAAGTAAATTACGGTATAACCTAAAAATAAATATTCAATGAAAAATAGAGTCCGTAAAATAGTACATTTATCAAAGTTTTCATCTAATTCAACATTTAAAAGTTCTAAATTCAAAACCTAAAAATACTAAATAGGTTGTTTTTCACTTTTTTTTCACTCATATAATCCAAAAAATGTTTAAAAAAAAATATTAGAGTGAATCCCAAAAACAATTAACAGTTCAAAGTTTCTTATAGAAACTAATCTTGTTACTACTGATCCAAAAAGAAGTTTATTCAATTGGTTATAGTTTAAAGTTATATTATTATTTTGTTTCAAAGTTTTCTTAGTTTAAATTTTCGTTTCAAAATGTTCTATTACTTCTATTTTCTTTCATAATTTTCAATAATTGTTTTTTAAAACAACACAGTAAAATTTAAATACACAACTTTCAACAATAATACATACGTTTAACTAGTTGAGTTAGACTAAAATTTTCAATAATTGTTATAGACCCTAATTTAATTTTATTTAATATTTTGTTTCTCACACCATGATATAATATAAACTGACTTTAATCAAACCATTTATATATATATACACATATTTTTCTTTTTTGAGTAAAACAGGTTGGGATTCAAACTCACAACCTCTCCGTTGCAGATATATGTCAATTACGGCTAAGTTGTTTGGCTAATTAAACCATTTATATTGTAATTTATATCATACCTATTTTATAGTATCTATTCAACCATGTTCGTGCTAGTAATATAATATATTTCGAGCACGGAAGAGTCTGGTACTGCAATTTAAGAAGGGATCGTCTTTACTCGGCCGGAATGGTGGGGAAGGTAACCCATAAAAAGAAAAAAAAAATGTAACGATTGAATATTAAACTAAGTTCCCAGAAGAAAATGAGGGAAAAAAAAAGTCATTAAATATTGGATGGCAAAGCATTTAAAGATGCAGATTACAGTTGAAACCGAGCGGAGGCTATTCAAAGGAGCTGTCAAATAAATGCAATGACTAAAAGCAATCTCCAATCGGCAAACCCTAAACCCCGGCCCACACGCTCTCTGCAATGGCTGCCACTTCCAATTATTCTCGTAATTTCTCTTCCTTTCTGGCTCTGCATCCATGGCGGAAGACGCGGCTCTCAAATCCTCCCTCGTTTTCTTGGCGGCGGTCGTCGTTGTCGTCGGAATCGCCACGCATTCTTTCACGAACATGGCCGTAACTTATCTGGTCGGCGTTTTCGCGATCGCCGGCGTTCTCTTGCCGGACTGGTGTTTCTTTGACCGCGATTTCTCCCGGTGGACTTCTCCGGTCACCGCAGAGGAGAGGGAATCAGATCGGATCTCGACCGGATCTCAGTTACGGAGGTCGGTTACCTTTAATTTCTTCCCTTCCTGATTCTTCTCTTGTTTGATTGATGCGAAAGGAAAAAATTGGACGAGGAGAGAAATTTGATTTCGATTATTTGCAGCCTTGCGAAATTGATTTGGTAATTGTTTTGTTTTCGCAGTTTTTATTTGGATTTTTTGGAATTTGGTTTCTGCAGGTTTAGGATTTATCCAATCAGACTGATTGTTTACACCATAGTTTACAGTTTTGCTCTGTACAAATGGTGGAAATTCATTTCCAGCTAATCCACTTCCCTTCTGCAGTTGGCTAGTTGCTATTCCTACAGATAATTTTCTTTTTCTTTTTCCTTTTTTCTCTTCAGTAAAATAAATCTTTGTGATTTTGGTATTGATTTATGTCACATGAAAAACCTAGTAAATAAATCAAAACTTGTATTAGTTGTTTGTAGTATATATTCTAATCATCGTTTTTTTTTATTAAATATGTATTTTTTATTTCTTGTAATTATTTTGTCCTTCTCGAGGATTATTATAATTGCATTATTAGATTATACTTCAGAGGATACTTGGATGAACAAAATCTTAAGAACGCCCTTGTCAGTTTCGCGTTCTATTAATTGCATTATTCGATATGTTTGAGAATAAATGATTACTCTTGGAGATATCATGTTAATTTGTTTGGTTTCACAATTTTGAAACTTAATATTTGTTAATTTAAAGAATCGAATATATATATATATATATATATATATATATATATATATATTATTTGTTTTTTTGCAAACAGAGAATCGAATATATTATCATATTTGTAAATAAATGAAAGTATTATTATTATTATTATTATTTAACTTATAGAAAACATCACTATTTTTATATATTAGCTAAAAATAAAAGCGTACAATTAGTTTACTGTGAAAATGAAAATCTATTAGGGTGTGATATATAAGTGAATGATGGGTTTATGGTCTATTGTGGAAATATTTATTTGGAAAGGAAATTTTTAAATAATCAATAAAATAATTAATTTAATAAAAGAATAATAAAATAAACTAATTGGGAGATAATTATAGCTTATATATTATAGATTTCAGATATGTTTAAATGTTGTCTATAAAGAAAATGTGTAACGTGTACCGCTAACTTGACCTGTCCTTGTGTGTCTCGATTGTCAAACTCTAAGTGACAGTTATGTTGTCAATTTTATCAGAGAGTCGTTTCTTTTGTTAGTGAAATTTGCTTAACAAGATTAACCTCGACTCGTACTTTGTATAGGTCGGCGATATGGAGAATATGACGTAGCTCGGCATATGTGTACCGAGTTGAGATAATTTTCCTTTGTCAAATCTCCTCATTTTATCCCCTTTAACCATTATGACTACTGAAATGATTACTAATGTCAACACATGACAGTCGATCAATGACCTCCAACATATCCAAAAACTGTAGGAGCTTTTTGTACCAACCCAGACATAATTTAAGGACAAAAAAATCCGAGCATGTAAACTTGATGTAAACTTGATCCCATATATATTGTTGAACTAAAAATTAATATATTACATTTAGGATGATATATAATAATATTTTTTTGTCAGAGATAATGAATGGGATGATTAAATAATGTGAAGAAAGAGGGGTGTGAAGGGGTTGCTCACAAAGTTATTTGTGTGTAGGATGGATAGATAAGACTCTGTAGAGGTTACGTGTGTATTCAGAATTTTGCGGCAGAAAATTTAAGAATTCCTTAGCATAGACGGAAAGGCTGTGGATTGTTCTTTCTTCAAATAAATTCCTTAACAAATGAATTGAAACTTCTTAAAAAGAAAAAAAGAATTGATTTTAGTAGGATGCAAATTGCAAATGTTAAATTCATAAAGCTGAAATGCGAGCTCATCCAAACCTAATTAAATGGATTTGACACAAAATCGAAATATCAAATACCTATTAAAAGTATTTAAAAATTTAAGTAGGATCTCAACAACTATATTCTATATATTATTTGGGATAAATGGTTTCCTCGCTTAAAGAACCCATGGAAATCAGAGTTAAAGTTGCATTTCTTTTTCCCAATGAAAGTGCCTTCACATTGAAAAAGAAAAAAGAAAAATAAAAAGAAAACTCTTTTTTCTCCTATATATATAATATTAACAATGCATTTACAGGTAAAATTATTAGGCTTCTTATTGTATGATTTGTACCCTTCGTAAACCAGAGACAAAAAAAAAACCAAAATAATACATGAGGCTTCTTATCTTGGCAGACATCAACTCTGTCCCCGAGCCAGAGCCATGGCAAGCGCCCACGTGTCCAGCCACGTGGGAGAGAGCTCGAGAAACGTGCCAATGGAAGAAATTATCCTAATCTAATATCCGCTTCGCACATGAAAGTCACGTGCGAAACCATGGGCCGAACCCGTATGTCTATGGCCCCCCTTTTCCCTCGTGCTTCGTGCCATCATCACCAACCTTACCGCCTTATGCATCATGATCATGCCACGTGTCTTCTCCAGTAATTCCGCTTATATTATATATTATATATATTTAATCGATTTCTAATATTTTAATTTATATTAATGATCTGAAAATATATCGGTGCGATGGCTGGCTGTGGAGCGAAAACTTCGTCTTCGACTTCGTATAAAAGGCGGGATTGAACTGTCAAAAAAACAGCGCCAAAGTTGAAAAAAGGGAAAGAGTAAATCAAGAAAAAAGGAAAGGAAAAAAAAAAAAAGGAAAAAAGAAAAAAGAAAAAGGAAATTCTGAGCACACAAGATGCGCCCCTCGTTTAGCCTTGGGCAAACTGCCATTTCCAATAGTTCGAGTTCTTATAGCGATCCAACTGATCGGAGAATCAACGCTCTCGTCAGGCATCTCGTCGATTCTTCTTCATCCGAAGCCATGGCCGATTCTCTCTCTGCTTCCGTCACCTCCTCCGCGAACGCCGATTCTGTTTTCGCTCATGTTGTTCGCGCTCCTGAAGATCCTATCCTCGGGGTATTCTCTCTCTCTCTTTCTCTCTCCTTCGATCGCTGTAGCTCTTTCTTTCGTTGCTGTACTCATCAATCTGCTTTCGAGTTTTATTGCTTTGTTTGGTTGTGGACAGGTTCGGAGGTCGTTTTCCTCGATTCGTTTTCTTCTTGTGCTGTTATTTTTCTGCGGTTGTCGATTTTTCTAGTGTTTTCTACGTTTGATTCCGACTTGTCTGTTTCTATTATTCGGTATATTATAGAGATGAATTATGTCCGGGCTATTGGATTCTCGTGATCGAGAATTTTTTGTCAGCTGTGAGGGGATCGTGATCGTTAACTTTGTGTTTTACATTTTAATCTCATTGGATGTTGTTTCTGATGTCATATGGTAGTTTTTTTGGAATACGTTCTGGTTATCAGCTGAAGGATCTGGGAATATAAAGACTACCAGACAAAAATCTGCGCAGTTATTTTTGGTTACTGTGCATATTTGCGCACCTTGCATCTATTTATCCGATGTTTTGCAAGTTTTACTAACATGTATGATTTTGTGTTGGAACTTTGAATGGATAGGTGACTGTTGCGTATAACAAAGATCAGAGCCCAAACAAGTTGAATTTGGGCGTTGGTGCTTACAGAACGGAGGTATATTTCTGTCATTTTTACATCGTGATCCTACTATGGAGACAAAAGAAGTGGAAAGTTATGTTATAATTATACCGTCTTATTCGCGATTCAGATGTCCAAGCAGTTAGTATGTCTAGTTAGAAATCTTTTAAAATTGTGGTATTTTGATGTGATAGGAAGGAAAACCTCTTGTCTTGAACGTCGTCAGAAAAGCTGAGCGTCAGCTTGTTAATGATAGGTAATTCTCTTGATTCTTTTCTTGTAAATCTTACTTGACGTAGATTTACGTTGAGGTTTTGATTTTGATGATCTACAGTTCACGAGTTAAGGAGTATCTTCCGATTGTGGGCTTGGCAGAGTTTAATAAACAGAGCGCTAAGCTTATTTTTGGCGCTGACAGGTATGATGCGTCGAACTTTATTTACAGTTGGTTAATTGTTTCCTTTTTTATTTTGTTGCTCTTTCTCCGAAATCGGCTTAATCCCTGATTCAATGGTTTCCTTTTGGAGATAACTTTATTTACACTTGGTTAATTGTTTCCTTTTTTATTTTGTTGCTCTTTCTCAGAAATCGGCTTAATCCCTGATTCAATCGTTTCCTTTTGGATCTTATCTCTAATTCTTACTTTTATGTAGCCCTGCTATTCTTGAGAACCGTGTCACAACTGTTCAATGCTTGTCTGGTACTGGCTCATTGAGGGTTGGTGGTGAATTTTTGGCAAGACATTATCATGAGGTGCGGAGTGCTTAGTTTTTGCGTTGTTGTACTTACTATGCTTTACATGTATCTGGTAGAAAGCTACCTTAACATTCCTTTTTTCTTGTTTTCCAGCGGCTAATATACATTCCCCAGCCAACTTGGGGAAACCACCCCAAAGTTTTTACTCTGGCCGGGCTGTCTGTAAAAACTTACCGATATTATGATCCCGCAACACGGGGGTTGGATTTTAAAGGTTCCAACTGAGGCTCTGCTATAACTGTCTAACATTTTTTTTAAAATTTTATGTTCTACCTCCATATTGAATTCCAAATGTTTTGTCTGCGCTGGAATTTTTGGTGCAATTAAATTATTCTAAACTTGTAACAGTCTTCAATGCTACAATGCTCTCTGGCATCCCAAATGGGAGTGATTTAAGATGATTTGTTTCTGAAACTTCTGACATTGAGCATCACAGTTCGTTAGAATTTGATCGGACAACTTTGATCTGTCATAGGCCTCTTGGAAGATCTTGGCTCTGCTCCATCTGGAGCTATAATTCTGCTTCATGCATGTGCTCATAACCCAACTGGTGTCGATCCAACCCTTGAACAATGGGATCAGATCAGGAAGTTGATGAGATCAAAACAGCTTTTACCTTTCTTTGACAGTGCTTATCAGGTAGAGTTATCCATAGTATAAAATATAAAATTTGTTGCAAGTCAAGAACTAAATAATACAATCTACCCGTTTAAGTTTCTGATGTTTAATGTTTTTGCTTTTGATGATCCAGGGTTTTGCCAGTGGAAGTTTGGATGCAGATGCACAACCTGTACGCATGTTTGTTGCTGATGGAGGTGAATTGTTTGTAGCCCAGAGTTATGCAAAGAATTTGGGGCTCTATGGCGAACGTGTTGGCGCTCTAAGCATTGTAAGATTTTTTATAAGAATGTTCTTGCTTGTGATTCATTGGGATGCCATGTAACATCATATCTTCATTGGTTAATGGAGTTTGTGTGGTATTAATGGCTAATAAAGGTTCTATTATTAATTGAGATGAGAAAAAATTATAAAAGTTACCCTTCCACCTAAAGTCACGTGCATGATTGTCCACTGCATTATTATTCTGAAATAATGAACTCAAAAATTGTATCATAATCCATGGAATTAATTTTTTTTTTCAAGTTAATTCTAAGGAATCTAGGGAAAATTACGAAAACTACCCTTTCCTTTAACCCGAGTGCAGATATAATAACCCCTATACAGTCATCCTTTGCATGCATTATTAACAATTTTCTAAAAATTGAAAGGGCTTATAGTTTTAAAAATTAATGTATGATTAGCATTTATATGCAGGGTAATATGGAAGGGTATTATTTGTAATCTATTCATTGAGGACTGAGGTATACTGATAGCTCTAGAATAGTTTAAATACATGCATTAAAATACAAAAGCTTCTTATTCCACAACAAGAAGAGCATTTTTTCACTCTTTCATATACTAAAGATTTTTTAAGCATCAAGATGGATGGGGGAACTGAGCTGGTATTCCAACTTTACTGCCGTTATTTATGTTACGTTTTGTAACTGTTGGACAGGTCTGCAAGAATGCTGACGTTGCGAGCAGGGTAGAGAGCCAGCTAAAACTAGTGATAAGGCCTATGTATTCAAACCCACCCATTCATGGTGCATCTATTGTTGCCACAGTCCTGAAGGACAGGTAATAATAAAAACATGCCATATGAACCGAACCGAGATTGTTGAGATGAACATAAATACGAGATGCTCGTGTATTTAAAACTATCAGATCTTTTCTTTCCTTACAATTTGAATGGAACCGATCCCGACTCTTCATGCATCGTAAAACCAATTTAATAGCTGCTATTATTAATTAATTGACACTCTATGTACTGCAACCTCATAGTATAGTCATTTCAGTTATATTTATAATAAGTACTTGCATTCTGAAGCTCTTATATCACCTTTATTTCTTGGCTTTAACGTTAGGGATTTGTTCAATGAATGGACTATTGAGTTGAAAGCCATGGCAGACCGTATTATTAGCATGCGTCAGGAACTTTTTGATGCCTTGCGCGCTAGAGGTTGGTATCCTTGTTCTTAGTACTTGATTCTCATGATATTACTGCGTACTGGTGTTTTAGTATTCTCGTTTTGAGTGTTTACTAGCCTTATTGTATCAGTTTCTTTGGAGATTTAATAGCCTTGATAAGAGGATAATGAGGATGATAGTGTAGTCTATGAGGAGAAAGGGTATGGAACATTTGAGTGAGGGATGAAAAGAACCATCAGTTAAAAGAGGCACAAAATTTCAACAGAGGCTGAATCTCAATTCATCATAAAATTTATAATGAAAAATTTTAGCAACTTAAACTTATATGGAAAGGAAATTATCATCATTATTATTAAAATTTACCTTGTAATGATATAATTTTCAAATAAATTAAAATACTCAAAAAGAAGTTTTCAAAATTATAGAATAATTTAAATTTGTTCCCTATCGTTCCACACTGGTAGGAGAAAATTCATCCTCCAATTTTGTAATGAATTAGGAGCCAAAGTGATGAATTGCTGCTACTCATCCAAAACTGAAGATTGTTTATTCAAATTTCATATTTGTCAAGGCTAACTATCTCGATCTCTCTCTATATATATTTTTTTTGCGAAAATTCCCTGGATAATCAACTAACTGGTAATTAAGGCTAAAAATCCCGATCTCTGAATTTTGTTTATTCGATGAACCATCGTGTTTGACTAATTTGTAATCTTGGTATGGTAGATTTTTATTGTTCCTTCATCATGATTAATTCGAAGAAAAGCCGGTACTTGAATTAGTTTTACCAGTTTGGTCCATTTGGTCTTGAATGGTTATTAATTAAGTCCAGGTTAAATTTAGGAAGCTTCGTTTTAGACTTGTTAGGAATTTATTTGACAGCTTTCTCGTGATGCTGGTTTTAGAATCTAGTGTATGTTTAGGGTTTGGTGAGAGAATGGTGTAATGTCCAGAAAACGAATAGATTCTTTTTTGTGAATTTGATATTCTAGAAAACTATGTTCAAAGTGAGTATAGCGCGGTAATTGGCATACCTTCTAACTAAGAGGTCGTGTGTTCGATTTTCCATCATACATGTCATACTAAAAAAGTAAAATATTTTAGAAAAGTCTAGTGGATGTGAAAAAAATTACCTCCATCGAGATGGGTCAAATGAAGACGCAGATTAAACACAATAAGGAGTAGGATGTGAAAAAAATTACCTCCATCGAGATGGGTCAAATGAATGACGCAGATTAAACACAATAAGGAGTAGGATGTGAAAAAAATTACCTCCATCGGGATGGGTCAAATGAATGACGCAGATTAAACACAATAAGGAGGAGAAAGAAAAGGAGATGAAATCTTATTTTTATCAGAAAAACTGAACATGAAAGGCAATAAATCAAGTTTTATATTTATGGATGGAGAATCTTAATAAGATCCCATTTAACCTACCTCTATCCTAATTAAACATAGCAGTATAACTTTTTTACTTAAATTTTGTTTTGAATTCAACAAATGTGAAGGGAAGGAATTTGAACATTCGATGAAAAGAAAGAACAGATGTTTTTACTGTCAAGATAGGTTTTGTTGGCAGTTTGCACATAGCAATATAACTAAACTAATTTAAAATGCTTTCAGGTCGACGTTTATTTACTTAATAAGTAAAAGAATCGAAAAATTTTCTGTTGTGATTCGAGTCACAATCACAAATTGAATTGAATCAACGGCGGAGATGGGAGATTGGGAGGAGTGGGGTTTATTTATTATTATTAATTTAATATTTTTGTGGTGGAGATGTGTGGAGGAGGATTATGATGTTGGTGAGTGGCAGGTACACCTGGTGACTGGAGTCACATCATAAAGCAGATTGGAATGTTTACATTCACAGGACTCAACTCCCAACAAGTTAGCTTCATGACCAAAGAATATCACATTTACATGACATCTGATGGGTAACCTCTACCACCTTATTTTAAAATATTATCTCTTTAATATTCCAATCATTTACATATATATCTATAGATGAGACGGGAATCTTATTTTATTTTTTGGTGGTTGGCGTTTTTTTTCCCTCTCTCTATATTTATTTCTGTTTGTTTTTTTAAGAAGAGAAAAAAAGGCAGGTTTAATAATTGTGTTTTTAGGTTAAATTACATGTTTGGTCCACCATTTTCGAGGTGTGTCCAATGTCTTTGATCTTTAAAAAGCATAACAAGTCCCTAAACTTTCAGTGTTAAACATAAGGCGTTTGAATTTTAGGAAACTGTAGTTGATCGTGAATTTATTAGGTACAAAAGTTGAATCAAGTCACTTTTTAAAGTTCCATAAGTTATTAATCATAATTTGAAAAATTCCTTGTAATTTAACTCTAGTTTAAGTCCTGATGTTTTTCTTTCAAATTTTGAATGCGAAAAAAAAAGAAGTGAAACAATACATTTGTTTGCGTTTTTAACCCATAGAAAGCAACTCTCAGAGTCTCTGTCCTAAAAAGTTGAACCAAGTTTTCAAAAAGAAAACATTTAAAAAAATTTTAAATTTGACACCGTGCAGGAGAATCAGTATGGCAGGTTTGAGCTCCAGGACCGTCCCACACCTTGCGGATGCAATCCACGCAGCCGTTACACGCGCCCTCTAATTTCGTCGCCAGCCTGCGGGGGGGAGTACATCATTTTCATTCCCTCCACAATAATTTCAGTTTTGCAATTCACAATTAAATAAAATTCATTTGCCCGCCCCACTCCGGTCAGTGGTAAATTGTTGTATTTGAGACACCTAAAAACATACTTTGCAGTTTTGCAATCTTGAGTTATTATTTCTCATGTCCTAAAGCTTTCTAAATTGATGACGCCGTTGGTTCAAACTACAAGTAACATCGATAATCAAGATATCTCAAATCAGTGAAATTGTGACACAGAAGTAAGAAAAAGGGGGGGAAAGGTAGACATGATTACGATGTTACAGTAGGAGATAAAAGAAGGCTGAGTTTTGGGTACCAATGGATTGCCATCTGCAGCCTTAGTGGATAAGAAGCGGGGCTGGCTGGCGGCTGTAGTTATCCCACAATCGGTCCCGACCCCACCTTCCCTGGAGACCCGCATTCGCTGAAGTCCAACACGCGACAATCTGCCTGAAAATGTATTCATAAAATGTTCACCATCTCATTTTGCCAATTTACCCACTTGTCTTAGATAAGACAATACATTTTCTTAAAGAGGTATCTACGTAAATGGTGTAATAAACTACCCATGATATTTTATGTATTTTCAAATATAGTAAAAAGTATGAACATAATTTAAATCGAAGTCAAACTTAATATGATGTATAATATACTTAGAAAAGTCCAAATATATTCAAGAAGAAAAAGTTGTGACATTTTCTAAAGTATGGAATGAAATCTCTCTTCTTTTTGCTATATTTAAACAAGGAAATGCAAAGTTGTAGGTTTTGGAAAACATTTTTTAAAGTTATGATATTTTTGTGAAGTTTATAATTTTAAAATTGGACTGTGAAAAAATATAATTCACCTTTGGTCTATCTTAAATTAAAGAAACAATAAAAATTTAAGCCACACATAATTACTTACTTTCTCACAATTTCATTTGTAATATATTCGAATTCTTTCAAAAACAAAAACAAAATTTTCTAAAAACTACTATTTTAGTTTTCAAGATTGGGTATATATTTTGAAACGCGTCCATAAGTTCAATTTCGAAAAATAGAAAATCAAAAAAACATTTCATAAAAAATTTGCCACTCTAATTTTTAGAATCGAAAAAAAAAAGAAAAAATTCTCCAACACAACGTTAGAAAGGAAGGACTTGGAGCAGAATGGTAAGAAACTTATGATACGTACCAGAACAGTTTCATCACAATGGGAATGATGCTTCATGCGCGTTCCCTTCAGCAGAGTCTCTGGAGTTTCGTTTCCCAACACCTCATGAGCATTGGCGCATGCAGCTGCCGTTCGCTCGCTTACTTGTTTCATCAACCCAATTGCATCAACGCTTCTTTCCTTCGGGCTCGAGTAATACCCAATGTCCTGATCAAACAAATCCAGAAATTACAAAGTTACATATATTTCTCCCTCAGAACAAACCCAAATAATCTAAACTACCAACCTCGATCGTTATTTCTGTATCGATCCTCGGCCCCGGTAGGAACGAATTGAGAAACCATGGAGACATCCATGCTGATGGGGATTCAATACTTCTCTTAAAAAATGGAGATTCTCCAGGCCTAAGACATATCTCAAACTTCAAAACTTAACCAACTTCAAAGAGTAAGGCCAAAAATGTGAAGAATAATAATGAATTGGAAGAGACAGAGGGTGATGAGTCTTACAATGAAGCAGCAATTCCAGTTATGGTAATTTGGGGGCGATTATCTTCTATCTTCTCGAGGGAAGCAGATGAAGTCACAGGCAGTTCTCGTGTCGTTGCGACCGAATGATGTTCGGGAGGGCTGCTGCTAGTCCTTCCATGTGAATTCCCAGAAGACACTTTAGAAGTATTGTCTTCTGCATTTGAGGGATCATCCAATCTACTTAAACAGTGTCTTTTCTTAATTCCTTTACTTGAACTCAAAGCTCTGTGAGAATCAGCTTGATCAACAGAATGGAGCTGCAGGTCGTTGGCGTCGTGTTCAGTCAGGACTCCAGGAGGCACCTGCCAGAAGTAAAATTAAGAATCAGATTGTGTTCATCAAACAAGAAAATCTCCCAAAAAGACTTGTCGAAAAATAACTCACAATTTCAGCTGCAGATTGAACCCAGATCATCTCGATATCGGCATTCCCTTGTTTTGTGTAGTCCTGGGAATGGCTTTTCGGGACACCATTCTCTGAAATTGTGACATTTAGAGATTCATCACCATCATCTCTCTTGTTTTCTCTTTTTTCAATGGTACAATATATATTTTCTTTATCTTCAGCAAAATCTTCTGTGGTCCCTTTTTGGTCAGATAGAGATAATGTAGAAGCTTTGTCAGGCCCATCATTGAACACAACATCCAAACGTGAAAAGGTTTCTGACAAACTGGATGTCACAGCAGTTTCAAGCTTCTTGTCAATTCTTCTCTCCGAAAGAGGAGACATTAACTCGCGGTGGCGTTTCTTCAAAATGGATGGTGTGCTGGTGAAAGTTTTGGCAGCGCTTTTCAGCACAGCATCTGGACTAGCATCGCAAGATGGCGAATCCCATAATCTGAATGGAGTAACACAGTTTAGAGAGGACATCATCAACTGGCGTATGCCAAGTGGGCTGTACTCCTGCATTTCACTTCCAGACTGTATGAGATCACAGCTGAAAAAAGGAACATCTAAACTTGGAAAACGAGGAGGCTCATAACAAAGAGCTCCCGAGTCTTCATGTTCATTATGTTGTTTTGCTCTTTCATCCGAATGAGTACAAGTCCCCGTGCTATCTGCAGCTGTTGCAATTGTATTCACACAAATTAATTTTGCCGGGTCTTCTGACACACCTGGATGTTCTTGCATTTCTGAGTTATCTGTCAGATGAAAGCAGGAAGGCTTGGATGGTCCACCGTTATAGACAAGCCCATCCTGTTGACTAGTCACCAATGGAACGACCACGTATGACTGAGACACCAGATTTTTCTCCTGCACATCAGATCCTGAAGGATGTATTTGTGAAGTTGAAGTATGGCTATTATCCGCTTTTTGTGTGCCCAAGGATTCAACTGGAACTTCGTAATCGTTCAATTCAGATACATAAGAGCCTTTTCTAAGATTAGTAGTCCGATCACATCTGTCACTTTTTGCATCTGAGAATAGGACCCTGCAACACTCATCATCAGATATAAACATACGCTCTGCTTGAACGCAAGCTGTAGCTCCTTTTTCCATCGAAGAATTTTGAGCAGAATCGCCAGCTCCATGACTCTCACCCATCCTAGTGCAAATTGCTTCAAACTGTGAGGTTTCTTTACCCAATTCTAATGAAGAGATGTTAGGAAACTCGTTCAAATCACATTGGTAATCCCTATCCGAAGTTATTCTACAACCATGCAAGTGATTTTGCTCTGAAGGCGACAAAGAGTGACCCATTTCTTGAGCAAACTCAGTAATTTCATCCACGGAATGGTAGTAAGGTGCAGAACTGGATACCGGGCTGGAACTTTGCTCCTTGCCCAACCCCGAATTCTCAATTAACTGATATTCCTTTCTCATCTGCAGAGTTCCACATGCTAAATCACTCATAAAGCTATCAGCAACTGTTGCATCTTGACTGCACTCTGAAATCTCCTCTGTTTCCATTCCATTCAAGCCACTGTCATTTCCACTGCCAACAGAAACTGGGAGTTGATTTGGTTGTCCGACAGAAATTGGATCTTGAAATTGTGTGAGCAAGCCAGAGACCAAGTAAGAATCCAGTTTCTTTTTGACAGAACTGTTCCAATGATTTTTTATAGCATTGTCTGTCCTGTTGATTATAAAAGCACAAATATAAAACCTTTCATCATGAGTTAAAAATTTTCCAATTAAAAACTGAAAAGAAATTCAGTTCTAGGGAACACAGCTGCAGTTTAAAGAATCCAAAAAAGTTCACATGTAAACAACTTTAATCTGAGAAGGTTGGTTTACAGAAATACAATTGAAAATGCACATGAAGAACAATCCCGCATAATGCCTAAACTTTAAGCAACAAATAGGGACATACCTTCCTGGTAAGAACTTTGTTAGCTCTGCCCATCTGTTCCCATAAATTTGATGAGCACGAATTAGAGCCAACTCCTCTTCTTGGGTCCATGCTTCTTTGTTTATATTAGGATTAAGGTGATTGTGCCACCTGACAAAAGGATATATTTTATGTAAAAGAAAAGAAATATGGAAATTACAGACGAAAATTTAATAGAAGTTCAAGTACGGATGCAGGAAATGTTCAAATTGATGGCAAGAATAAAAATCACAATGCCTTCCAGAATAGAAACAACTTTCATCTGAAAGAATTTACAAAAGAGATGATTAAAGTAGAGCAGAAAAATCAAAATTCAATAAATCAACAAGAAAATAACTCCATTGTCATACCTTTCTCGGCATTGCTTACCAATGCGTCCAGATAGATGTTTTGCAATTGTGGACCACTTTTTTGGTCCATATTTGTTCACCAGTTCAATAATGATTTCGTCCTCCTGTATAGAACTCATAAAGCAAACTGGTAAGTTCAAGTAGGATTCCATAAAAAGAGTATATTTAATTGAAAGGATATGCTGATTAAATTATCATGACATGGAATAAAATAAAGAACTAACTTTCACAAGTGGATCACCTCTTTAGACCATGGACCTTTGACAAGTTCAGGATTTAAAACCTTTTGCCACCTATGCAGACATTGTACGTCAGTCCGATCCTTGAAACATCCAGCTACAAACAACCACCACGACAAATGAACCAGTGATGCAATAAAAGAACATATTGGTTCATGCAAAAAACTATTCATCTTGGAAAAAGGCCTCCTTAGATAAGGCACAATTAATCAGGTTATTGGTCATATAATCATCCAGAACAGAATTAATTAGTTACAACATAATGTACTTTACATTTAAAATAGGTTAACATGGATATGTTCCTAGATCAAAAATAAAGCCCAGCCTACAAGAAGTAATGAACGGGAACATCTTCAGTATAATAAAATCTATCCTTGGCCTCTATAATAGGTCAATACACTAAGGCACAGGATAATATATTCAGTTACCTATTTTCTTCCAGTTCTTGCCTTGGAAATGATCAACTGCTTGCCGCAGAATTTCATCCTAGAAGTGAGTAAAAATAGATTATTCAACAGATGAGCATATAACTTCTGGAACAACAAAATTAACTCAAAATAAAGTGCATCATCATGAGAAAAATATTGACAACCAAAATTCTTTGATCCATGACCAAAAAAAAAAAAAACAAAAAAGAATGCAAACGGAGATATAACTTTTTTTTAAGAAAAGAGATCATATTCTTTAATATCAGAACATCTTAAAATCCAGCCCTGTTGCTCAACTTAGCCTTTGACCTTCAAAAAAAAAAACAGCACCAATTTCTCTTTCAACCACCATGAAAAATACTATCTTATAGGCTGCAGCACGAGATCTCCACTATGATAAACGATAGGCTTACCTCTTCAGGTGTCCACTGTCCTTTTGTTGAACGTCTTGTAGGGCCAGTAGTTCTCCTAAATGTCCCCCAAAAGAACACACAGAAGAATTTAGTTTGTCTTCCAACAAACTAATAGGGCAGCAAATACGAGTGTCAAGCAACAGTATATGAACATATATGTGGTACAATGTAAAAGTCAATTTGAACATAAATGATAAAACCACAGCAATTAAAAAAGAAAAATTCTTGTTGAATCTGATTCCTACCTAGGGAAATTAAATTACAACCATTTATCGGGGAAAATGAAAAGAATGACAGGAAACAAGCTAGTTACAGATATTCCTTGCCAGTCAAAGGAAGTCTGTGGGAAAACTTTGAAGGAAGATAATCTGTTGTGCAGGACTGAAAGCTATTGCAACTAAAATAGTGCTTATTTGAGTTATGGTGGCAAGTTTGGTTTGGAAGACTTGCAAAACCAACAAGGCACCAGTAAAGTGCAAATGGAGAGACTATAAATCATGTAGTACAAGAAGAAATAAGGAGCCAAGCATTGGATGCCAATGGATTACTGAAATTACCCATGGAGAGCACGTATCTTCTGGTCCCGAACCCCAGGATTGTCTGAAGGACTGGAGATGGTCTTATCACCTTCCATAACTCCTTAACAAATAGGGAAAAATGCATAATATGCCAATTCCTACTCGACAATGGCTCGTTCCAAGGAATGTGAGCCAAACCATTATATTATTCCTATGTGGAAAAATCTACCATTTCATCTGAAGATTTCTGCACAATAAATACAATAAGTCAAAATTTTGAGGCAGCTGAGCAAAAAAATGGTAGTGGTACGAGAAAATAAAACATGGGGCTGTCGCTACAATATATAAACGTGGATAGTCATTATTTAAAGGCGAGAAACAAACCAAAAAATGATAGTTCCAAAAGATTAACTTATAGCATTTCAAAGCAGTATAAAATCTAATCTCGACGTGGTCTTTGGATCAATGATGGTTGTAAATCATCAGTGCAGACAGATTGTGGATGTAAATTCAGTCACAGTTTCGGTAGTTAGTCTGTATACAATAACTGAAACATATGAATTAGATATTCCTCCAGGGACAAAATGAATGGATATCCGCATTCCCAAAATTCACGCTAAGTGAGAAAAATGCCTCATCATGCAAATTTAATCACTAAAATCAAGTCTAAATCCATATCAAGTAAAGAAACCGAAAGATATAACAATTGAATACAACTTCGTTTTTTTAGAGGAAACGGCAATTGAATCCAACTTCAAGGAAGTGGAATAACCTATCAATCCGTTAATTAAAACTCGCAATGCATTAACGTTGTCAGGTTCAAAGCTAAATGTCAGGTTCAATACTTGCATCAAAACCTATCATACTCCAAACCTCAAAATGACGAAAATGAACTCAAAAGAAACCTTAACGTTGTCAGGTTCAAAGCTAAATGACTTCCAAGAGCCAATTGAAAATGTACGAAACGAGGATCAGATGAACGACTAAACAAAAATTCAATTTCTACCACCGTAAGAAGTGCGAAAAATATCAGATAAGTAATTAGTTACACGTTCCAACTCCAGAAAAGGAAAACGCTACATTCTCTTATGTCCTCATAAACTAGAACAACAACGATGATTAAATAGAGAGCATTTCATACTTCAGAAGATAAATTACTCAAAATAGAACGGAAAAAAGTCGCAGAGTTCACAAACATAGATTGAGATACCTAAAGAACTTCGAACCGCAGCGAAGAAAACAAAAACCGACAAGAAGATCGCAAAATCAATAGAAGTTAAAAAAAATTAACCAAAGAAACCCTAAACAAACTCACCGGACTCTGCGTCAAGCGGCAAGGTGCAGATAAATCGAAGACAGAAACTGGAAGCAGCAATCGAAACCGGACGCATTAGCGGATCTTGATGGACAAGTCGAGGAGAAGAAATTGTTTGGAATGCACCGAAGCAAAGAGAGAGAAAGAGAGATGAGGAACTAGTAGAGAAAGCGAAATGGCTTAGAGAGCGTTAATTTAAACGGTCCGGAGCTCTATTCAAACAAAAAGGGGCGGACTAGAGAGATTCAAAACCAGCGGCTAAGATGACGGCACATTTGAAAATTGGACGGTGAGGATTCAGACAGGTGTGAACCAGTGCTGTCGCTACCGACAATATTTACGTGTATGGTTGTTAACTAGTTACACTTATTTATTAGTCTTTAACAGGAATGATAAATTTCAACCTGAGTTAAATCATAAATTAATCTTCCGCATTATGTAAGAGGTACAAATCTCTATCCCATTTATTATTATTAAACTAAAAAATAAAATAAAAATGGAAACAATAATTTGTATTATCCGTCGATCTTTATTTTCAAACATGATTTTAAAATAAAATGAACCTATTTATCAAAATAATATATATATATATATATATATATATATATATTTTTGGTCGTCGACTTCTAAAATTAATATTTGACTATTGAATTTTTTTAAGTCTACGAAGATAACTAAGAAGCTTCTGAATTTTTCATATTGGGTCTAATAGGTCACCTAATGAACATAAAATTAAAATTTTAGAGACTTGTTAAATAGTTTTTAAAGTTCAAACTATTTAGACACAACGTTGAAAGACTAGTAAAACACTTTTCAAAAGTTTAACGACAAAACTTATAGTTGAACCAAATAGATAGATCTAATTCAATTTATAGTTATAAAACCAAAGTCGAACCAAATTGAGAACCTTACTTCTGTTCCCTATCTAAGAAAAAGGATAGGCGTTCAAAAAATGATGCCTAATAAATCGATAACCATGATAATCGAGCCAAAACCAGAAAATAATAGACCAAACACGAGAGAAACAGAGTCAACCAAAGCATTCAAATCGAAAATCTTCTCATTTGAAAAAAAAATGGAAAACAAGTGGTTTTTCTTACAGCATGAGCACAGTTTACTTTTGGGAAAGGCAAACACGCCACACTTTCAATGATAGCTTTTCACCTGCCTTTGAAGAAATTGGGTACTAGGGTCCAAACAACAACCAAAAGACCAAAAAGAAAACAACCCATTATAAAACCAGAAAAAAAAAATTAATTCATACCCAAAAGAAAAAAGCAGCTTTCTCTCACACTGTAGGCCAAAATGAGCTAACTTATCATCATTTAACAAGTAATTACAAGTTAGAGAACACCATTTCTCCGCTCTCTTGAAAAGGCACAGCAATTTCCTTTTTGTATAGTCATCAACAAGTAGACATAAACAAGTTGAATATTCAGACTAAGACAATTTAATCACTCACGAGAGGACAACTTTTGGGCCAAGAACCACTAACTTGAATGGCAGATGATGGCCTTCTCTACAGAAGAGCAAGTTTTAGCTGGCTCTTTTTTAGCAGCATTTGTACTGATTAAATGTTCGATCACATGAAATCGTCCTCCAGCTCTTGTAGTGATTTGCTTGTTGCTGCAATCTGTTTGTTAGATGTCATCTTCTCCGACACCATCAAACCCTTGTAGCTCCTTAGCTCCGCTTGCCTCTCTTTTTCTAACCTATCCAGTTCCTCGCGCCGCTTCTGCAAAGAAATGAAATCGAACTGAATTCCAAGACTTCAAGAAAAATACCTAGCAAAGCCAGGTCTGATGTACAGATTTTTTAATAGACAACTATCAAGATGATCGTAGCCACTAGCACAATATCCAAACAAATTTTGCACTTAATGCTGATGTAAACACTTCTACCCTTGTGAAGAAAGACAATAATAAACTGAAATATGATGCTTAAGCTCGAATGTCTACACAGAATATGGGTTTCTTCAGCAACCAGCTTCTTTAAGGAAAAGCTAAAACCACAGTGAAAACAACAGATTTATCAACGATTTTTTATTAAGCTGCAAGTTACCTGCTTCATCATCAAGAATTTGATTCTATCTCATTTAACAAGCAAAAGGCTATAAAGCTTTTTAATTTTGTTTCCAATACAAGAGTAAAGGGCATTTTTCAAGGTTGTCTCTGAAGTCAAAAGTATAAAACAATATAGAACGGACACTACTTCTATTCATAGACGCTGCCACCATCAATCATAGGTCCCTAAAATGTGTCACAAATCTATTCTAAGAACTCCAAAGTTCACACTATCTCAATAAGCAGATTAGGTTTTTACCTTCTTCTTCTTCTTCTTCTTTTTCTTATTCTTTTGTATATTTTACAATCACAAACAAAAATGTTTCAACTTGTCATTTAGCAACGTATATAAAGTTGAGACCTTGAGAGTTAACAGGCAAAACAAAAATGACATGCATGTCTAGGGTCTGTGCCATACACATCAATTAGGGGGAACCTAATAGGTTAAAAGGAAAGTTTCTCCCATGTAAAGCCATAGGCAGACCAGCTATCTTTTTTTTTTTTTGAAATCCGTGTGTCCGGGTCAGCTCGCGCGCACCTCGACTAATCACGGGTCAACCGCCTGACCCTACTACATTTGGTTGACAAGATAACTCATAGGATATTAAATCCTAGGTAGTTGGCCACCATGGTTTGAACTCATTCCCTCTAAGTCCTTGACTATTTACAAAGGCCCTCATTGACCACTTGAGCCATCCCATGATGGTTATAGGCAGACCAGCTATCTGAAAATCAAATAATGAAGCCCAAGATGTAGACCTAAAAAGAGCAGTTACGAAATTTGTCACCAACCTTTTCTCTCAGGTGTTGCTTTCTCTCAGCTCTTTCAGCTGCATTCACTGCTTCACGTTCGGCTGTATAATGGAAAACAAAGTGCTCATATTATCTGTTCATGACAAAATTTAAGAATTTTTTTGTTTTCAAATACAAATGGATGTGAAGATGGGAAGACTATAATATATTTAATGTAAGCCATTGGGAAACTACTTCATACGCTTCATTGCCAAAAGAGCAAAACATAACATAATTCTTGAGGTGCATACTTAGGAGTTAGGTGTGCATAAATGCTCTAGGAGTAGAAACTGCATATTTTTGTTTAGGGAAAAATAATGCAGATGCAAAATGTGAAGCCCAAACACACTTCAATTCTACAGAAAAAATAAGACATCATGTGGGAAGCAATAAGCATTGGTACAAGAAATGTAATTTCATATTTTATCCTTGCAGCATGAATGAAATTTCCAATTTACCTTTCAAATCAGGCTTTCTTTCCACTTTAGTCCTGTTCAATCTATTGACAATGTCATTGATCCGTTTTTCAACCCTTACAGTTCGGACCTGAATTATGTATAAAGACAAAGACTTGTAAAATAACCTTGAATATTCCCATCCATAAAGAACACGAACTTTCTTAAAAAATTAAGGGAAGACAGAAAAGTCTTTATCCACTTGCCATACTAAAACAATGAAACTTACCATCTTGGGGTTATGAAAACCAACTTGACCAACATCCATGGAAGCAGTTTTCTTCAAATTGGACCAAGGCGTATAAACAACATCAATGTTGTTTACCTTGTTTCCTATCAGATAAGAAGAACAATTCAACAATCATTGGCAGAAACACACACATGTACTTTAAATGTTCGATTTATGATCAAACATACAGACGAGCGTCACAAGCCTAGTTCGCTAAAGTTTAACCACAGTCGAGCATTTTTCTATCTTCTGCAAATAGACCGCTCAAATTTTACCTTGAATGGAATTTGCTTTGACAAGCTGAGCACAATCCTCCAGCAACCCTTCACTTATATCATCAATGGTCTGACCTTTTTGCAGTCTCACATAAACATGGGCAGACGACATTTTGTCCACGTGGAACCTACACAAAACGACCTTTGTTTAGAATTTGATTTTAAGCCAAGTCCTCCTAACATGCAAATCAGATACAAAAGGAAGGAACCCCAGAAATAAGAACAAAAACTGACCCTTGAAACAAAATTCCCGCAAAGATATGCTTATAAAAGTGTAGAATGAGTAACAAATTATGAATTTCTTACGAAATGATAAATTAATTAATGATAAAGTGTAGATATGCTTTTTAGGGTTTTGAAATGTAGAGTTCTTTAATGCAACGAAACAATCAAGAAAGTGATACGCCTGAGTCCTGCATCGCTGGATAAGGATTGGGCAAATAGAATTCAAGCAATCAATAAAGATAAGAAACTAGCTTCCTTCATAATCCACCACTCAAATGCTTCTGTGTTAATTTTCAGTGTCATCGTTGTTCCCAAGAAATACACAATCAAGCTCCGTCAAGAAAACCAAGAATAGCCGTAGCCACTATTGCTATTAAAATTAAAGCCAATAGCAAACACGCAATATTCCGTTGTCATTTCCAGATGCATCAAACAAGAACGTAAACATCAGTACTTCAATTCAACCCAACTTGATTATAAGAAATCAATTCCATCCATATCTCAGCAAAATCGACGTCAAATAACAAACCAAAAAAAAGAGAAATAAATAAAGAAACCCTAGACGGGAGATTACCAAATATCCTCGGGGAAGCCGTATTTGATGAGCTCCTCGTTCTCGTACTTGTCGAGACCCATGAAAATGGTGTAATCGCCAACGTCGGGGCGGGCTTTGAAATAGAAAACCATTGTGCTTCGATTGCGTTTACACAACCCTCCTCGCGAAAACGAAATTGGAGAGAACAGAAAGAATTAGGGTTTTCAATTTGGGGGAAAATGAGAGAGATTAAGCCTTCTGTGTTATGTTGCGTGCGATTTTGATCGGACCCTGATATTCTCAGATAGCGTGGAATAATCATTTTAATCCGGCGACCCCAAATTTATATATTTGATTGGAAGAAAAAATTCTTTACGCAATTGCTTGGGAGCGTCTATTAAAATTTAATCGACATTTGCATGTCTATTTCAAATTTTATTTTAAAATGGTGAAATTCTTATTCATTAATTTATATATTTTTTTAATATAAATGTCGATTTCAAATTTTATTTTAAAATGGTGAAATTCTTATTCATTAATTTATATATTTTTTTAATATATTTTTTACTTTATTTCATCGATAATTCTATTGATATCTTTGTTAAAATTAAAAATAATGATAAAAAAAATAGGATATTCGAGCCAACTTTCACACATCAATTATTCTCAGACACATTGGACTATCTTTGTTATATTTTTAATAAAGTGTTTAATTTAATTTCTTTTAGAAGTGTTTAAGTTAAATTTGGTTGGGTGTAGAAAGCTTAACTTTTATTTTTTTTATATCTATGTGTCAAGACAATTTGGGTACACTTCGACTAATCAAGGCAAATGCCCGATCAGAAAATCTAACTAATTATAGTTACACTCTTATTAACTAATTTAACTTTTTTTTAGTTCAATGATGTGAGTGAATATTCAATCCTTTAGAACAGTTATATATTATAATAATTCATGTTAACTAGTTTTACCTAATAATAACGTCTTTTGTAAATTTTACCACCCATTCGAGGTTTTAAAAAACATTAGCCTTGTATTGATTGTCAACTTTATATTAACTGGTTGCATATTCTAATTACTTGTTTAAATTAAATTTGAGATTAATTTAGTAATTATTTATAAAATTTATAATTCATCTATTAAAAAAAGAGCACAGTTTAGCAATAAAGACATTTACTCTTTTTTTAAGTTCACAGCTTCACATTTATTACTAATAAAATAGTTTAATCAAAATTTGAAGATACATAATATTTCAAGTTTTAACTCAAAATAAATTCAAACATCAAAGTGAAATATAAAACATAATATATGAATAAATAAGCCAATCTAAATATAATTTATTTCATCAATATATATATTACTAAAATATCATAGTTCAAATCGCCACCCGGTATTAAACTAAAAAAAATGAAAAAGAAAAAGTAATTGCAAATTAAATTTCGCTGTCTAACCACTGCTTCGACACAAATTCTGAAATCCCATGTATTCATTTCGCTGAATCCGTTGGATCGCATCTGATATACCCACTCCACCTTGCAAAAGTTAGAATAATAATAATTAAAATAAAAAATTTACATGTCTCTTAAGAAAATATATAATCATTATTCACTTTAAATAAATAAATGTCGTTATTGTTCTTTTTTTCGTTAGTTTTATTGAATATTGTTAAGGATCCCACATTGATAAAAGAAGGGACCTACAATGGTTTATAATAGACATAGGCTACTCCTCTCATTGCCAATTGGTTTTGAGATGGAACCACATGAATATTAATAAATATGTCAATGGTCATGCTAAGTTTTAAAATATATAGTTTGAGTACTTTAGGTCGTCCTCTCCCCCTTATTCTACATGTGAAATGAGGGATCTCTCTCCTTTTGGATGGAGGGAGAGGTTCTCTCCCTTTGTTCAGGTTTTTTTGGATTCGAATCTCTATAATCTGGGATGAGGGTGCTCTTCTCTAATTCTTTCTAGATTTGTTCTTTTAGAAAGTCAGCAATGTTGGTAAAGTTTGTCATCGGAGAAAAAGCGTGAATGAAAAAAAAAAGAAGAAAGAAGGAGGGAGGAGCTTTGAGAGGTGGCCGACATCTTGAAAGGTCGAGGGAGGAATAAAAGAGAATGAAGGAAGACGAGGAGAAAGAAAAAAAAGAAGACGATGCCTAATCACCAAAAAGAAATTAAATATAATATTAATAAAGAGAAATTGCAGTGGATAGCAAAAATCTTTTATGTATATCAAAATATGTCACCTACTTATTAAATTTTCATATATAACACACTTTTTCACTCATATTAGTAGTATATAAGATACTCATATCATTAATATATTATACTCTCATATTAGTAGTATATCAAATGTATATCACATACATATTGCACATATACTCATATCAATAGTATATCAGATATAATATCACATACGTAAGTATATCAGACACTCATATTAGTAGTATATCATATACATATATAGTAGTCAAATATATCATATCATTTTGGTAAAGTTGTCATTTTAAAATTGGATCTCTGTTTTTATTAAGTGTTATATTTGAAAAAACTAAACATGTTGTTATTTTGTTAATTTTACTAAATATTTTTATCATATTTACAACCATCCATTTATAAATTTACCTAGTAAAAAAAATCTACTTAACAAATAGTCGTCATGTAATTATTCCGGTAAATAATCTTTTCTTTTTTTCAATTTCTTTAAAATGGTAAATTTACCTTGTGTGAGGGAAAAAAAGAAGAGTGTGAAGGAGAGAACGAAGATAATAATTGAAGCCCTTCCAAGCAAAGCAATAATTTCCCTCACAACATGCTGTCCACAATAGGCCGCAACCGTCGCCACCGCCGCAAAATAAACAGCTGCATGCAAATTACCCATTTATCCACTACTTTGCTCAAAATTAAAATCTCACAACCTACCTTATATATCTCTATCGTTTTTTTATTTTAGTCCTAAATTTTATTTTAATTATAAATAGTTAAAATATTTTTATTTTTCTAAAAAAATAATTTCGAATTTCAACCACCATATATTTAGTGGCGTGATGTTCTTAGATTAATAAAAAAAAACGTTAGAAACACAAATGGGTCCTATATAATCTAGTCTAACTCTGGTTCTGGAATATTTTAGGATTGTATTTTAATACGTCCATTCAACATAAAATAAAAAGTTGAGGACTTACTAAACACAATTTAAAAATTTATGGACTAATTACTAGACACAATCTAGAAAAGTTCATCTTTGTAATTTAACTTTATTACCATATGACACTGGAAATTGATCGAGAAGGTAGTATTCCACAACTGACATTGATGATGAAAACATCATCGCGAAGGTTGCCGAGGCACTTGCCACCTGCTTAAAAAGAAAAATCTTTCCTTACACAACGATCAATATAAACTGTTCTTACTAACTTTTAAATTAATTAATATGTCGTATTTTCACATTGAGAGGATAACTCAACATGGTATAGTTTTAACATGGTATATTTTAACATTGAGAGGATAACTCAACATGGGATTCACTAAAATTTCATGCGGCTATAAATATACCACATCAAAAAAATCGACAATTGATTGACAAAGTATTATGTATTCTTGTAAAAGAATCTTAGAATAAAAAGAAAAAGTGTAAAGTGTGTAATCCACCTGAGGAGGAACTCCGAGCTCCAAAAACAATGGTCCCATGATGGATCCTCCGCCGACGCCGAGCAATCCGGCGACGGTGCCGGCCGCCACGCCAAGGGTGCCGTACGCCAGAAGCTGCCCGACGCGGAATTCGGTCCGACGATCTCCCAAGGATGAAATTACTCTCCTACCCTTGTACAGGTTAATTGCCTCGTACGAACACACCCCCACAGATACTGGGATCTGCAAGAAACCCCATTCATAAGTACTTTCTAGGGAAACAAACAGAAAACTTGTTGAAGATTTTCCCGGAAACCAAACAGAAATTATAAATAAAGAAAATTAGTAGTTTCTTAATTTGTGTGGGTGGACCTGCAGTAAGTTTAGTAGCCAATATTTCCACGAGCAAGACATTGTTTTCTCCTGTTAAATTAAAGAAAAGAAGAAAAAAAAAAAAACAAGAAGTCCCATTAAAGTATGCAAATACTAGCACATACCACAAAAAAAAAAATCTTTATTTAATATTTGCATTTGCTTCATCTTGTTCTTCGTTCAACAAAAAAATATTGTCTTATTTTTTCAACAAAAATTTTTAAATCATATTTTAGTCTTGTAGTTGTAACTTTTGTCTCATATTTTCACAGATTTTATGCACAAGTAACTTCTTAAATATAAGGTTATAACAATATTTTAAGGATCAAAATATAGAGTATTAGGTTGAAATAACAATCGAAATAAATTAAATAAAAAAAGAAAACAAATAAACCAAAATAATATCTTTTTAAAAAGATAATGTCGGTAATATTATCCAATTTAAACATAACCTTTTTTTTTCAAAGGGAATTTAAACATCTCTCTCACCGCTTTAATTGTCCTCTCAGAGAAGACTCTCTCTCAAGACACAGACTTTATTTGGCACATTTTACCATTTTAATAACTTTTCCTAAAAAGAAAAATGATAATAACGACAAAAACTGACCCTACTTGGCTAAAATATAATTTTTAAAAAAAGAAAAATTATTTCCATATCTACATAAATTTAATCTTTTAATCTATCTTTCATGGTTCACAAACTAAATTTTGGCTTCTAAAACTCAAAATTTCCCCAATCAAACGATTTCTTTTTTTTTCAATCAAAATTTAAACTTTTCAAACGATTTTTTTTAGTACAATAACATGTAAGGTGAAATTTTAAACTCACGACTTGTTAGTAAAAAATAAATGCTTCAATCAAGTTGGGCAGAAATAAATATGTCGGAACTTGGAAGAGAGATAATGAAGAAGAGAAGAAATTAAGAGAACCTTGAGAATCTGGAGGACAAGGAAGGCAACCCAAACGAAGAAGAGAAGACCCAATTCCTTCCAACACACATTCTGAAGAATTGACATCTGCAAACCAATAAATAAAATCAATAATTTAGCATTAGTTGCAACATTTATAGAGTTTCATAAGATTTTGTAAAACCCCATTCTGCCCTTACTTCTACTTCTGCCTCTATTTCCTTTGTCTCCTGTCCAGGTCCACCAGGAAGAGCCCTGTACTCGATCCCTTCACTTTCAGAGGCTAATCAAATACTAATTAATCACTCTGATCAAAACCTCGTAAATCCGCGTTGGATGTCAACATGTGAATAGCTCAATAAATTAAAAAACATTTAGCTTTGACTTACCATGTGACTCACCGAAGAGCTTGTCAGCCTCCTAAATAAAAAACAACCAAGCGATACCGGAATCAAATTACAAAAGATGGATGTGAGATTGAAATTAAGTAATTAAAGAATAATTAATCATGAGAGATACAAAATTAAACCATTTTGAGAAGAAGCGTTTCCTTCTTCCAAGCTGCAACTCCCTTCAGAAATGCTTTTGTAGATATGACTTCCAATGCAGAGAACAACAACACCACACCAAATTTTAAATAACAAACACAATATTTTTTTTTTCAAAGAAGAATAATAAAATTTTGAGTTGAATAATTTTAAATTTATATAATTACATAAAAAGAGGATGAGGAGGAGAATTGTGACCATCCAATCGGCTAAAATGACATTAAAAATAACTCCAATGCTAATTCCAAGCATGAGCATGGGCTGGACAAGAAGCACCAAATCATAGTCAATAATGGGCATGTCGAGAGCCGGATGCCTTAGTTTAAGATTATAATACACCGTCGATACCGCTGCACCCATTATCATACCTGGTCGATATGAACATAATTTAACTCCAAATTGTTTCTAATAAATCTATAAACTTTCAAATTTTGTAGGTAACAGAATCTAGATTTTTAGAATTTGTATCTAATAGGTTCATGGATTTTAAAAATTATAACTTATTATGCACATAATTAAAATTGTTTAACTCCTGTTAGGTAAGTATTTTGTTTCTCATTTTCTATTTTTACTTTACTATTTAATTTTTTAAACGTTTTTAAAATCTAAACTATATATTGAAAAATTAATAAAATAATTTTTTATATTTTATTTTTATTTTTGAGAGAAATTGAGAAGAAACGAGCATAATTCCGCAAAATTAAAAGGAAAAAATAATTAGTTTACTTACATTTGGAAATGGCGGTGGAGGATTTGGGATCGAACCCAATAATGAGATTAAGCATCGGAAGGAAAAAGGCGCCGCCGCCAAGACCGCCGACGCTGCCGAAAGCCCCTCCCATAAATCCAACCGCCGTGCCGGCCACAATGCGCCACCCAAACTCCATATCCTGATACGCCGGAAAATATAATCGAATTTTAGAGATTTTTTTTTCATTCTTTTAATTAGTTTCTTTTTACCTGGATTCTTTTGGGGGAAGATCACTTACTGGCCATACGAGTTGATTATCGGCACCGTCCGCTCGCCGGAGAAAGGTCTTCGCGGCGGCGAGGAGACTTTTGAAATCTCGCCGATCATCGGCGGAACTTCTCCGTGTTTCGTCCGACGATGACATTTCCGGCATCTTCAAGCTTCTTTCTGCAGAAACTACAGCCAGAGCTAACAGAAAATTGACCGTCGCGATCAACAGCGGCCGTTTGCTCCTCCACTTGCCTCCGCCGGAATCCGCCATTGCAGCAAGCGATTTGCTAAGATAGCGCGCCTGAAGCTTCTATTTGCCGACCGATTGCAATCAAAATATTTTCTGATCTTTCTGTACCACTGACACAGAAGGCGAGAACCTGAATATAAAGGATTTTTTTTTAAGGAAATATATTATTATTTTTAAAAGTATGAATTATTGCAAGTACATTTTATCTTACTGCCTTTAAATATGTCACAACTAAAAAAAGATAAATGTAAAAATAAACAGTTTCTTTTTTTTTTTTTTAAATTATGAGTTTTTCAATATTTAATTAGAGAAATGACAAAGAACTGGTGTTCAAATACCTTTTCTTTTGGCTTTATCTACACCTTTTTGTTTTTAGATTCGTTTTCTAAAACTATTATTACTTAATTGATGAGATCGAATTTACAATCTCTTGTTGGATATATATGTCAATTAAGACGTTAATTAAACTTTTGAATTATAGAAAGGTAATACCTCCACCGAATTAGATAAATCAATTGACTTGAGTTAATAGATTTTTTTCTCAATAAATTATGTATTAGAATATAACATGGCCAATAGTATTAGTAGTGGAGGTGTGATTTAAACTTTTTTAATAATAAATATAAATTTATACAAATTAGACTTTTTATTATACTAATATAAATGCAAGTTTGGAAGTCAGATTTCAAAACAGAATTATATTAAAAAAAATACTTTTATTTTTTGAAAATTAGATTTATAACATTTTAAATCATATGATTACAACAAAAAATTAATTGACATTTATTTTTAAATAAAGCACACGCTTAGGGGAGGGGATGACTCACTGGCCAGACGAGTTGACAAATCGGAGCCGTCCGATCGCCAGAGGAAAAGTCTTCGTGTCTGTAAGAAGATTTTTGAAACGTCGCCGGTCACTGGAAAACTTCTCCGTGTTTCGTCGGAATCCGACCTCGATATTTCCGGCATCTTCAGGCCACAGGTACCAGAAAGTTGACTGTTGCGATCAACAGCCACCGTTCGCTCCACCGCCGCTCTCCGCCGTTGAAGCGAGCAATTTACACGCGCCGCCGCAAATTGCAACACAAACTTTCTACTCTATCTTTTTAATTTTGAGATGTGATTTGAAAAAGACATATTAATTATTATTACAAATAATTTTGAAAGAAAACTAATTAATGCTTTTTCTAAAACCTCAGTGTTTTATTTGTTTTTTAAATTTTCAAATCATTTTTTACTACAAAAAACTTAAAAAGCGCTTTTAATTATTCAAAATTACTTTTTAAAAATTTAACTAAATAATACTAATTTTTTTACAAAAATGTCGTTATCATTATTATTAATGATTGACAAAAACAAAAGCTTCCATGGCTAGAATCCAGATGTAAGTAATTGTGAGTATAACAGGAATGTGATTTTTTTTTTAAGTTTAAGTTTGGTAATGAAATTTAATAGGTCACATTAAATTTTAACGATGGTCCAATACGTCCTTAAAATTTCAATTTATCTTAAATTGTTAGTTTTGTATATAATTAGTTTTCAAACTTTAAATTATACGTCTAATAAATCTCTAACCTATTAAACACTTATACCTTATCCAACTTCATGAGAAATTGTTTAATTAATCCTCGACTATTTAAAAAAAACAGTAAAAAATTGTTATTCATATCAATAACCTATGTTCATGACTATGTCTGATATAACTTTTAATTCTATATTTAATAGGTATTTGAATTTTAAATATGATGTCTAATAAATATATGATACAATAGACACTTTTGTAGCCAAAACGAGTATAGCTCAGCGGTAATTCACATATCAGACGTGAAATACTTGTTAGATTGAACCCAAAAAATTATTGGACCGAAAATGTAATTTAGTCAAATATACGGTAAATGAGAGTAATCGCCTCCTCCAAAATATAGTAAATTGTCTTTTTCTTTTTTGAAGGAAAAATATAGTGAATTTGAATGTCTACTTTATATTTGAATTGTAATTTATTTATTTTTCTTAAAAGACAAACGGTACAGTGATATCAGCCACGTCCACAGTAAAAAATTAAATAAATAATTCAGATGAAAATTGCAGAAACTTTACGGCAGCGACAAAAGATGTGTGGAAAGTGGAAAGTTGGTTGGCCTACCAGCAATAAATATAAACATGTGCTTCTCAAATAATAATAAAAATAATAAATAGTGCAAATTCTTGATGAGACAACTCGGGATATTTTTAGCTTTTGGTCCCACTGCTCCTGATAATTCTTCAAGTTAGTTTGGTTGTACAATTATTTGGTTAATGGACTCTTTTTTCTTTTTTGAAAACAATCATATCGGGTAGTGGCAAATATAAGCTAAATAGCAACTATATTTAAATTTTTTAAATATGATATTTAGAAAAAGAAAGGAAGATCTAATTTTAAAATGACAATTTTACGTAAATGATATACATTTGTAATATGTATGACTATTGATATATGTATGCGATGTACATCTGATATATTATTGATATAAATGTCTAATATACTTGTAATAAATACTACTAATATGAGTGTTTGTGCAATATGTTTGTGATGTACATCTAATATACTATCCATACGAGTGTCTAATATATTACTGATATGAGTATCTGATATACTACTGATATAAGTGAAATTTTTTTGCCAAATTTGAAAATTTAAAAAACGTATGACATATTTTTAAATACATAAAAGATTTTTGTTACCCACTATAATTTCTCTAATATTTATTAGTATCTCATTGATTAGTATCTCATTGATGATCTCAATTATTCTTAATTCTATTATCCCATCCCACAATTGTTAAATGATATATTTTTTTTTATGATTGATTACATAGTCAAAATAATTTGATATTTAACATTTTATTTTGATTTTTAAACTTTCATACATACTTCATTTCGGTTTCGATGTACAATTTTCAATTGCTTTATTTCAATTCCCTTTAAAAATAAAAACTTATCACATTCTTTTAACTTTTTAAACACCATTTCACAACCATTTGATTCTAGACCCAACATATTTTAAAATTTTAATTTTATTATGAGATAAAATAAAACATTAAAAAAAACCATGGAACTACTCCATTGAGGTAGCATTTTTTATTCGAATTTGGGCAAAGAATATGATACATAAAGTTGTACAACACTTCACGTTACCTTTTCAAATCTAATTTGAAAATGCATAGTGCATAGGAAAACAATATCTAAAAATCTAATCATGCTATGCATAGATATTCAAGATTACGTACTTCCCATACTATAGATACTATACATTTCTAGACTTTCTAAGCACGCACCACAAAAACCCTGAAAGAACTCAAAAAATATAGATAAAATCTAACATCTTATCCATCAAACTTAAGAGAAATTAAATTTCCAATGCAAAATCCAAAAAAATCATAGGAATCTGAATGGAAAACAATAACAAAATCACATTTCTTTGAGAAGGACAAAAAACCTTATACATTGTATTTGCACAGATTCTCGAATCCCATGTATTCATGTCGGTGGATCTGACCAATCATCTTCGAGATTCCAACTCCACCTGTGAAAATTCAAACCAAACCAGAATCCATTTCAGATTTTATATATTATTTGCAGAGGAAATGGCTGAAACAGTTCGCTTGTATGTAGTTTTCACCTAGAGAGACTGCACTGACAAATATTGTGAAGGACAAAATGAAGATAATTAGAGATGCTCTTCCAATCAAGTTAATCAGCTTTCTGATTACGTGCTGTCCAATAAATGCAGCTGCCATGGCCACAATAGTGAAGTAAAGAGCTGCAAATATTAAAACTTGCTCAATCAGTCAAATAGTTTAAAAACTTTTGAGGAAAGAAAAATGACAATTTTTTGGATGGATTGTAACATGACGGAGTGCAAAGGAAGGAAGGATGCAATTGCTTCTCTTTTGTTTCGTTTGGATTATAAAAAACTACGCATGAAAGTTGAGATTTGAAAGTTTTGTTCTCTCTAATTTGCCCCGTTAAGATTATATTATACGTAAAATATAAAATTTTACTCCTCCCTTTGAAAGTTCTTGACTCAGATTCTTGAATTATAATATAGTAGTCGTAGAATGGATCATGTTTGAAGGTAAGATTAAGTTACCGTAAGGAACAGGAAAACGGTGTAGAAGATAGTATTGTATAACAGACATTGATGAGGAGAATGTCATTCCAAAGGTTGCTGAAGCACTCGATACCTGTGAGAGCAAAGGTATAAAAAAGTTAAGTTTGATATGATTTGATTTCTAACATGACCGGTGGAAAAACTCAAATTTAAATCATTGATGTCATCTAATAAAAACGAGAAATCAATGTAACTACAAAATTCTATTCTAATCAATGTAACATCATGGGTGGTCCACATGATGTCTCTCTACTTAAAATGGACAAAAGATCAGAAACCTTTGAGATCACGGACTTCAAACCATTGGGAGTAGCAGTGGTCCCATGAACTTTAAATGTGTTGATGTGAATGATATATAAGATATAACGTTCAAATCACAAAATATTATGATCACAATAGAATAAATTATTATGTTTTTTTTTTTCAAACAACAAATTGAAGGATTCGAAGATTCGAAGATTTTAACCTTCAACCTCAAAAGAAAAAGTTACGTCTCTTTACCACTGAGCTATGCTCATGTTGATAACAAATCATTATTTGGTATTAATTTGTTTAGAAAGTTGAAGGTTCGATCTCTCTATGCCTAAGACACCCGTGTTAGCCCAAATCTTGAACTTAGGAGACATCAAACATTTTTGGTATTAAGCTCACTCGAAGCTTCGAACTTGAGATCTCTAAAATAGTATGACCAAGATACGTCGAACTCTTACCAAAGGGGCCACGACCTTGAAATATTCTAATGGCATGACCCTCTCCTCCCTAAGGTTAGAGATAATATATAATATATATACCTGAGGGGGAATGCCCAGCTCCAAGAACAGAGGACCCATAATAAATCCTCCGCCAAGTCCAAGCAGCCCACCAACCACTCCAGCCACTATACCCAAGAAGCAATACAGAACAAGCTGGTGAACTCGAAAATTGGTCTTCTGATCTCCCAGAGATGCAATTTTTCTCCGTCCTTTATACAGGCAAACTGCCTCATAAACAGATACAGCAAAAGCAATTGGAATCTGCACAGAAATTTTGGGTACACAGAAAGTTCAATCAAACTCTTAACGGAAATCAACCAGAAAATCACAAGGCATTTGAAGGGGGGGCCCAGAAAACGTGCCTGCAGTAAGTTTAGTACCCAATATTCCACCGAACAAGTGGGTGATTCTTTCTGTTTTTCAACAAGAGGAATTTCATTTCAGTTTAGTGTGATCACAAAAATCAGGAGTTGATGAGAAAGGAAAATGAAAATAAGAGGCCAAAAACCTTAGCAATCTGTATTGCAAGGAATGCAACCCAAACTAACATAAGAAGTCCCATTTCTTTCCAGTACACATTCTTGAGGATTGGAACCTGCAATTTGGATCACAATTCAGCACTCCCATTTCTGGTATCAGTTATGGCTAAGAATGAACTTACCTCTTGATCACGGGTGTCAGTTTCAGGGCGATCGTTTGGGCCGCTGGGAAGTGGAGCATATGCCACGTTATCGGATTGAAGATCTGTTACAAAAGATGTAATATAAAATAAGAACAAGGATTAGCTCCATCTTGATACAGTAAAACAGTAAATTGGCTCACCATTTGATTCAGCACGCTTAGCAGCCTCCTGTAGTTGAAAAGAAGTGGCATCCAATTATCAGAAAAACGAATGTTCATATTAACCACGACATTGAAACTATGTGCAACAGAAACCTGTGAAGTTTCAAGTTTGAGAGATAACCGTTTTCATTATGGTTTCCTTCTTCCAAGTTTCAACCCCCTTCAAAAACGATTTCGTTGACGTAGCTGCACAAAACACCACAAAGATAAGCCAAAGGAGAAAAATGGAGAATAAAACCGTCCGGTATGAGGTGAAATGAGTTTTCATCTCTCCATTACCTATGAAGAGAACGATGAGAAGAATAGTAACCATCCAGTCTGCAAATATGACGTTAAAAACTACCCCAATGCTGATGCCGAGCATGAGCATAGGCATGATGAGAAGAACCAAGTCATAGTCAATGATAGGAAGATCAAGCGTTGGATGCCTTAACTTAAGATTATAATAAACAGTTGATGCTGCCGCACCCATTATCATACCTTTAGCAAGCAAAAGAACAGGGATTAAAGTTTGACAAATTAAGAACAAATTCACAGCAGATTTGGAGTTATTTAGTAAGATCAGTTCCCATACATTTTGATATAGCTGTAGATGACTTTGGATCAAACCCAATGATTAGACTAAGCATAGGAACATAAATCCCCCCACCACCAACGCCTCCTACACTCCCAAATGCAGCTCCCAAAAATCCAATAAAAGAACCGACTACAATCTGCCACCCGAATTCCATTTCCTGTAAACAACATTTAAAATACATGGTTAGTCCATCTACTTTACTCATACTTCTATTTAGAATTATTTAGCCCTTATCTAAAATCTTCACAAAAAAAAAAAAAAAATGATCCAAGAACAATGTATTTATGAAGACGAACATCCTCCTAAATTAATGGTAGTGTAATAATAATAATAATAAACGTAATCTAGAAGCTTTTTCCTTGAACAAGTGAGGTGAAAGTGCTGAGAAGATATGATGAGGTCAACCTTGTTTTAAATAGAAATATAATGATGAAAATGTAAAATCGTGTATCATAAAGTTAAATGATTATTATAACATAATCTAAACTTAGTTTTTTTTTTTTTGTTGTTCATGGAAGCATAAGTGTCTTCTATAAGGATGTGAACCTGAATAATTAAGACTAAAGCTGAAAAACCTTTTAGAACATTGAATATGAATTTTAGAAAAAATAATAAAAATCTGATTTGAGAATCCAAAGCATAATCTTCGTTGAAAGTACCGAAGATTGAGATTCACAAGTCGAGATAAATTTAATATACAGAGTTCCATTTTTCACATCGAAGCCATAAATAACCAAAATGATATGCATAATTTGTTAGATCTGAACCCAGACAAGGCCTAGCATGAAGATTCAAAAGCATTTTCGAAAAAAGAAAAAGAAAATTAGTCCATGAACACAAGGAAGTATAGTTTGAACATCTAAACAATATTTTCTTTCACGTTTCATTTCGAGAATATTTCAAATGATTAGATTATTTGCAAGTATGCGGTTCTAAAACAAATTTGATTGCATTTGATTTATGTTTTCATCGACAAAAAGAAAAGAGAGGTCTGAAAGTTTATCGTCATACTTACAGGCCACACATGATGATACCCCGTTTTCTCCGCCTTCCACAAGAAATCCAAAGCTACTTGGAGCAGATTCATATCTCCCAAGCTTCCTTCTTCCTCCAATCGCGACGAATCGAGCTTCATTTTTCTCTCGCCGGAAGACAGAGCCAACGCTATAGCAAAGTTGAACATCATCAACGCCATTGATCGGAAACCCGCCCATTTTCCTCCAAAATCACCAGCCATTGGATTCTGAAACTTTTGCCCTCTGTTTTGGGGATAAAAACAACAGGATCTCCGAAGCTGAGGCCAAATCGCCGCCCAGCAAACACGAAATGGTTAACTGTTTTTGAACTTTCTATAAATGATAATCAAGAAGCCGAGCGTACGCTACAAACGTGCGGACTAAATTCAGAGAAAGGATATGGCCTATATTTCAAAGAAAATTTGAACATAGAAAAAGAAAAACGCCCTAATCAATGAGAAGTGAATTCGGCTCAGTGATAATGGCAGAGGGTTGTTGTCGCTGTAGAATCTTAATTCTAAAATGGTTCTCTCTCTAATTATTGGATTCCATGAAGATTTCGATCAAACAGAATATACTTTTCTGATACGAGCGATGAAAAATCAGTAAAACCTAAAATCGTTGTATTCTTTCGATTTGATAAGATGAATTTCGATTCTTATCGGCAGGAAATATAAATTGCGATAAGACATTACGAAAATCTGACTCATCCGTGTACGTCAGTGACTTGGTGGTTGAAGAAAATTTTGTCGATCAAATTTTTCATCCGACACGCTTCCAATAATCAATCCAAAACAAGTTAAAAAATTAAAAGAACATGCCGCCTCCAATAATTGATTTTTTTTTTTTTAATTTTGAAAACGAGAAAAACATCGGATTCATTTTCAAATTATTTAATTTTCTTTGAATGTCAAAGCAGTGATCCCTCTCTTTTTTAAATATTCATTTTGATTGATGTAGTTTTCATTTTTTTTCCATATAAACCTTCTTTTTATTTCTGTATTTCTTAAAAGTGGTTATTGGTTATTTATTTTTTAATGTTTGATCACGAAGTTTAGAATTCAGTTACCGACGTACGAGATCAGATCTACAAAATAAAGTTAACACTCCGACGTTCAAGTCAGTATACAGTCTGATCAATACCCGATAGAGAATATTGTTTCGCATGCTCTAGGTGAGAGGCGGGGATCTCTATTTATAGAGATGAGCTTCCAATATGGTTTCCGCTCCAATGGCTCTCTGACTAACTAGAAATTGCGGTGCCTTGTTGAAAAACATATATGTTACCCTTGCGCATGCAGGTGCTCTTTAAGGTCCGCTCGTACTTAACAAAAGTTGATCAGAAGGTGAGATATAGCTCGGCTTGGCTTCTATTGTCGAGCTGCTTGTAACTGGTTCAAACTAAAAATTTAATTTAGTTCCTCTTATCATCACGGTCGTTGAGGATCTCTGATTTCGACGCATCACATGTGATAATTCGTCTCGAACACCTATTTACAAAATTTTAACACAAATTTTATACAAAACAAAAATTTTTTAATATAAAGTTATGACTACATTTCAAGAAAAACTTACGTATAATGTCGTGTTGAAATATGATGGAAAACAACGAGGTAAAAAATAAAATAGAATAGATAAAAATGATTACTTTTTTAATAAGTACAAGTACCAAAAATTTAAAATAGATAAAATTAAAAGTACTAGAATAAAAATAACATTAATTACATGGACCAAAATTAAAAAGTATACAGATATTTTAACTTTTTAAAACTATTTGAGTAATGATTTTATTTTAAGGGTTAAGTTCATATTATTTACTTGTTTAAAAAAAAGGTTCATATTATTTACTGTTATNCCAGAAAGTGGAAGAGCCAATAAAAAGATAGACAGGGCCAAGGAGTTCAATTATTGGTTAAAGCAATTAGTGCAAATGGGAAACTCCAATTTAATGGGGATGTGGTCCCCACCCAAGCTTCAGTCCAAAATTATGATGGTACTTTTGTGTGAAGTATACTAAAAAAAAAAGTGTTTGTATATATTAAAAAAAAATATATGGCACTTTTTTTTTAATATATATGTATACATCATATATGGCACTTTTAAAAACATTTTAAAATTATATTTCTTTTAATAAAATCATTTGTTTAATAGAATGTCTGCTTGGATTTAAAGATGGATTATAGTATAACTTATTCTAGCATGTGTTTTTATATTCTAAGACTTTATTGGATAACAATTTTATGTTTTATTTTAAAACTTTAACCAATTTGAAAAACAATACATAATTTTTTAAAAATTTTCATTAATATTTTAATAGCACATTTAACTTAGCGTGATAAATGTAAATTCTAGAACATAATAATGAATTGTGTACCGAGATGAGGGAGGGTGATTAATTACAGTAATGGCGAAATTGATCTTAATATCACTCTTGCCTTTTCGTGTTACATTTGTATGACGTGAAATTTAAACTTTAAACGAGGATAAAACTTGTCCTCGAGATATCTAACAACTTGTTTCCCTCTTCTCTACTGCATCCATTGTACACGTCAACGGAAAATCAAATTCTATTTCTAAGGCCTAGCAGCTGAAGTCGATGATTTGCGAACAATTTTTTTTACAAATTTATAATATTCCTAATTGACGTTTTATTCAAATACGTGGATCAAGTGGCAGATAAATGAATATCATGTTTTTCAAAAAGGAAAAAAAAATTAGAAAGAAAAAACTTTCATCGTCCAGGGAATGTTTGGAATAAAGTATATAAAAGACAATTTGATCAGAAAATAAATTTCAATATTCTAATATCGTAACTATAAAGAATAAAGATTCAAAAAATAGCACGCATCCATATGCAGAAATAAGATAAAATAATAATAGGTATAAAACTGTCAAATTGAAAAGACCAATGTTGGTTTAACAATAAATGACCATCCGTTAGTGTTTCTGTTTTTTATTCCTATTTTTTATAAATATTTGATAGTAGTATTTATTTGATGTTCTCTTTGTGTCAATTATTCATTAATTAATTTCTATCCAAAGAAAAAAATTATCCGTCAAATGAACGTAGTTTAGGATGATTGACATATATCTCCAACCAAGAGTTTGTGAGTTTGATCTTCCACCCTACATATTGTACTAAAAAAATTATCTACTAATTTACAAAATTGAAAGGATGGAAAAAATTTGCTTGAACAATGCACAAAAACGGCCACTAGACCTATGACAGTCAACTCAAAAAAAAAAAAAAGAAAAGAAAAAGAAAGAAACCACCAATAATGTCATTTTCTCTAAAATCTTATCAATTTCGTATCACACATGTATTTTATAATTTATTGAGCATATATGAGGTCAGGTTCTAAAAAGTTATATATATATATATATATATATATATATATATTTAAAATAATAATTAAAAAAAGAGTGTCCCACCAGAGTCCACGAGGCTGTGGTCCTAAATTCATAATACCCAACCCACTGGAAAAGCGGAAGCTTCCAGCTGAGCTGGCGTAGACCGGCAAAACGTGTAGAATGAAATATTAAGCAATCCCTCTGTCCATTCTTTTTATCGAAATTATTTATTACTAAATAATAATGATTGTTTGTTGTTATTTGTATTCTTGACTATATTTGGTTGTATTAAAAAAATAACCACTATATTTGATTTTTTTTAGTCCGTGAGTATTTTGGCCGATTCACGCTACATTTCGATTAATTTTACAAGACAATGATGTGACCCTACTACATATGTAAATAATTCTCGAACAAATGATTCAAGTAGGGTTGCGATTAATGAAGGCAAAAATGGGAACTTTCCTCTCGAGTTAGTCAATTCTATAAAGAATACTTTAAAGTGGTAATTTCTCTATTTAATTTTTATTATTTTTAGATTACTTTATGAATCCATTAAAGAGAAAAGGCATAATAATAATAATAATTGTTTAAAAAAAAGGACAGAAGGATACTTTTAAAATGGCCCCATCTCTAAATTAAAAGTTTTAAGATTATTTTATGAATCCATTAAATATTCAAAAAAGTAGTCATACAAACAGAAGAGCTCGAAAGTTGTTGGATCTTGGCAGGAAGGAAGAAAATAAAAAAATAAAAAATAAAAAAAGTAGAGAAGTTTGTTCAGAAAACGTACGACTTAATTTTAAAATTCTTACAAAGCAATTAATTCGTGTGGCTATTACTCTTTTATTTTGGGCAGGAAACAATGAATTTCGAATTTATTTCACGCTCACGTACAAAAAGAGAGGGAGAACGATTCATTTCGATTTCTTATTATCGTGGAAATCATCGTCAAGAAGGATTATACTCATGTAGTCAACGAACTCATACTAATGTTAGGAGTTGCCGCAAGCTATTTCGAGAATTAAAGAACTCTACCGAAAGCTCTTTGTACTTATCGGATCAATCACATTGATACCTTAAATAGTTCACTGAATTTTTCCGTTCCTTTTCTTTTGGTATTTCAGCGATTACTATACATATAGTATGCCTCCTCCACGGCTCCACCCACTCCATTAGTGGCTCGGCTTCATCCACGAAGCACAGTTTCTGCCTCTCTAGGCTTCACTATTACTCATGACTCTGGATTTTCTTATTATGTAGTAGTTGGCCTTATAGAAATCTACGAGGGACTAGTTGCTTCTTGAATGCCACTTGAGGATAAACTCCAAGCAAAAGGAAGTTAAGAGCATTACAATCTGTGCCTCCTTGCAAAAGGGGTCGCAGTGACCAAGCTCGGGTGAATGTTTACCAAAAACTCGGATCTTCACAAAGTCGTAAGACCATATTGGGCGGCTGATGCCTACCTAGTGCCGGAAAATCAAGGAAGTTGGTGACCTGATGACGGAGGAGTCGGCAAAATCAAAGCCATGGTAAATGGCAGTCGTAACTATAACGGTCCTAAGGTAACAAAATTCTTTATCGGATAAGTTTCAACCTACACGAAAGGCATAATGGTATGGGCACTGTTTGGGAGAGAGGCTCGGTGAAATAGACATGTTTGTGAAGATGCAGACTACTTGCACCAGGACAAAAAGAGCTTATGAAGCTTCACTATTCCCTAAGATTGGCTTTGGACCTTTCCTGCACAGCTTAGGTGGAGGGCAAAGAAGGCCCCTTTTCGGAAAGCTCGAACCATCAGCACAGGTATCCTAAAAGGCCACGTTTCCTCGGACTAGACGATAACTATATTCGAAGAGTGAGAGTAAAAAATGACTAAAAAACCCCATCAAAAGAGAGGTTTATCCCAGACCAAGGAGACCATAGAAAAGTCATGTAAATATGGAGTTAGAATAGAGGAAAACTTCGTTTACATTTACCAAAATGGACCACCATAATGGACAATAGATTATAACTCGAAGGGATGCAAACACGGAAACATTCCTCTTCTAATAATTTCAAGAATTATAAATTAGTCAATTCCATTTTTCTTTTAAAAAAAGGATACTTTTAAATGGTCCCTTATCTCCCTTAAATACTGCTAAACACCCTTAAAAGTTTTAGATTACTTTATGAATCCATTAAACATCATATTAAAGAAATAACAAAACAATTAAAAAAATATCTCTTAATAGTTAATAGTGGTTTCAAAATAAAGTTATTGGATCTTGTCGGGAGGGGAAAAAAAAGAATAAAATAGAATAGGTTGATTCAGACATTTAACGTGCTTATTAAATAAAATCCGTGTGGCTATCATTCTACTTTGGCTTTTTATTTTCGATAGCAAACAATAAATTTGGAATTTCTTGGAGGCTCACATGCAAAAAGAGGAGGGAAAAAAACCTTAGGCAAATTACTAAACTTGTCTTTGTAACTTGAAGGAGAGAGAAAAATATAAATATAAATATTCATGTGTTCAATCTTAAAACAAATTATTAGTGAGATAAGTGGTCTATGTCTATTATAAACCGATATAAGATCCATTTTCAAATGAGGATAAAAAATGACTAGAAAACAAGGGTTTTTTTAAGGAAAAAAATAATAAATGTGTGATAGTTTTCTCAAATCCAAAACGAAGGTGAAAATTGAAAGGACTTCCTTTCCCCTTATCAAAAGGGACCACCAAAATGAATAATAGATCATAATTGATGGCAATGGTCACAGTTATTTAAAGGCCGATGACATAGAGTTCATTAATGATAGCCGTACATATAACTACTTTAAAATATATTATTACATTTACAAAACAAACTTGTATTTTCCAATTGAAAATATGAGTTCCTTTTTCATCTCGCATTTCTCACGAGAGAAACACATGTCATGTTTGCCATTTTCTCAAGAAACCCCTTCCACACAAAGGAGACTTTATTTCATAATTTAATAGATGCGAGATATCCATATTTGATTTGATGGTTATTTAAGACAAAAGTGAGTAATAGCATGAACTAAAAAGTAATTGCACATCTTTATTCTCATTTAAAATTTTCAAAAAGGAGAAACTAAAAGAGCATGCACAATTGAGTTTTTAAAAAGTGCTTCTTTTTTTTCAAATAAGTTTAAGAAAAGTCAAAACAATAAGAGTAATTAATCATTTTAAAGATTGCTGCTACTAAATTAGTTAATCAATTAAAACTGTGTAAAATAATTTAGTTGATTAGAATTAATGAAAACCGAACATAATCATTTAATCAACCCTATCAAGAATATTTATTCATCTATCAAATAACAATTATGAAACTTAAAATAACAGAATTCATCACAAATCAAGGCGAAAGTAGAATATGCATTTCAATTCAATTAAGGTAACAAACTCTTATGAATCTAAGCTTAAATCAACTGATTAAAAAGCATTAGCAATCTATCCCGAGTCAGTTATATACTAAAGAAAATGTCGAAACAAGATAAAGGGCAAGCGGGAAAGGGGAAAGAGAAGGGGGGCTTTTATAAAATATTGAAAATTTGCTATAGAAACCCCAAGAAAATGGGTGGGGGGGCAGAGTTGCAATAAAAGGTGGAAAACTAAAAGGAGAGAGCTAAACCTCATATTTCAAAATCTGTGTGTGTTTGAGTTTGATACACTACAACTGTAGGCGAAGTTTAGGATATAAAATTAGAGCCCAATGTTAAAAGAAAAGGCTTAGCTTACATGATGGGGTGGGGATGGATGGGATGATCTCTCTCATTGTTTGCTCATCACATCATAATTATTTATATTTATTCCTTCTTCCCTCCTTTGTCATCATCTCCTCCTTCTTCACATGAAACGCCACTCTTCGACTCGTCAAACTCTAACAACTGCAAATATAACAAAAAAACCAATATACCACCCAACTTAGAAGCCTATAAGATTTCAACTTTAGTCTATAATGTTTAGTGAAAATAGTGTTTATAAGTTAACTTAAGAAAAGAAAACAGAAAAACAAAAACAAAATCGTAATCGTAATCGAACGAGCTAGTCTAAATACTTCCAAAGTGATAGCAAAAAAATGGGTAGGTATAATAAGAATGTGAGTTTTTGGGTAAAAAGGAGAGAATAAACGCATCAATAACGTAAAAAATAGAAAATGGAGAAGTCTAGAACAAACCGGTTTCACTTCCCCATTCCATATGACATGAGCAGCCAAAAATCCAATAACAGCAGGCACAATGTACAAAAGTGCAGGCTGAAAAATAAGAAAGCAGGCAAAAGGTCAGGCCACACTTTTTCACTAAAGTCGTCAACATCTTGATACGTAGTCGAGACTTGAGCCAACCACTAAAATGTTAATGTTTATAAGAAAAGTAAAGTTGCAACATTAATGAGATCATTATAATCAAAGGTGTTATTTAACCAGAAGAGTGGAATGAGAGAATTCCAACGTCACCTGAGCAGCTTGAAACCAATTCATGACTATAATTGTGAGGACCAAACCAACTGTGTATCCCAGAAAAGCACTCTTAAAATATTGACCATCTCTTCCCCTCAATGCATCAAATCGAAGAGCCAGTGCTACAAAGATGCCTAGAGGAAGAAAAACGATATCAATACTTCATTAAGAAACAAAGGGAGCATTATATAAAATTTTGCCAACGATTGCAATGTACATAAATAAAAATGCTTACAAAATTAAGACACGAAATCTAAATATAAGTGGTAAACATCAACCTGCTAATGATTATGTGATGGTCATGCAGGAGGGAAAAAAAAAAGGAGAAGGATCCAATTATGCTAACTATAAGCAGCTTCAAGATTCATTTTCAGATACCAAATATAGGAGGTAACACTTGTCGATGGAAGACAGGGTCTAGTGCTCAAAACAGGGAAGTGTGCAAAAAATTACATCCAATATAAGAACATCCATTAAGGATCTCCAAAAAGGCACCACCATCACCGACATTAGATGCATCATGGCCACAGTGACTTGCACTTAAAAAAATAAACAAAGCTGAGGTTTAGGTTTTATTTTATATTTTTCTTTTTCCAACTATCAATCGTACATTTTTCTTCTTTTCTTGACCACTATTGCAAGGGTAACTTTTTCCAACTATAATAATCTGGTGTGTCTATGTCTATTTTGTGTACTCTGATAAAGTCATGTCAATGCGAGTCAATAACCAAAACAGGTTAGATATTGAGACATTAACATTAAAGAACAGATGGCAAGTGATATAAACAAAACAGCATATGTAGATCCAAATTCGAATCAGTGTGGCACAAAGATGAAAAGCATAGTTAGCAGGCGATGTGAAAAGGTTGTAGTTTCAAGAAAGAACCGTTGGCTAGGAGAAGGGAGAGGTTCAGTTTTGCACAGTGCACACCACCACTAATCACACTACAACATTCTATTTAATTTTCCTGCCACAAATCCAACGTGTAAATTTGCATTTAAACTCACCAGGAATGACAATATCACCAAGTCCAAGCATGGAAAATGGTCGAGCAGCATCCGCGGTGGGGAACAAAAGCTGCAAAGAAATTTTAAAAACCACATTCAGACAGTCGGCCAAATCACATTTTACTGTGACAATATCAACAAATGTCATGGGAAAGAAAAATACGAAGGAACTACAAGTATTCAAAGTTAAGCAAGAGTACAGACCTTTATAGGTGCGTCAAAAGATTTCGCAACACTAACCATCACTGGAGTAAAGAAAACCCAGAAAATATCGTATACAAACAGTCCAGCCTATGGAGAAATTAGAAAAATAGGAAAATTAATTAGGGGGAAAATTGCAACTTATGTGTGAAGCAATTTTTCATCATTGAAATAAGAAACATGGAAATTGCATAGGAACGATTTAGATATCCCAGCATAGTAAAATCCTAATCCAATCCCGAGCCCCATACAAGTTCGCTATGTCAAGAGCAGGACAAATACCAAGTACCATGTTTTATCAAACACCTCAAGTACTCCATACAAGTTCACCATCAGTCTTTGTTCATACTTGGACAGGTTAAAGGCAATAACATTTGCACTACTTAGAAGTTAGGACTCGTAATCAAGTTGTGCCCCCGAGTACCAAACAAAGGAAAAAATAAGCAGCATGAGGGCTTTTTACTGAAATAAAGGATAAAAGACTAAGGAAAGTAATAACTAATGTAGGCTTGGTTTACAGAGTCAAAGAATCCCTCTTGTGATAAAAATGGCTCTAATATCCAACAACAGTAACCAATTAATTTTGTAATATCATTAATTTTCATTATAAAATCCTTATATTCCAATTCTTACCAAAAGTATGGCACCAGTCTTGAAGGAACCAAGAGAAAGCATTTCAATTCCCTGCAAATGAAAAAATAGAGTTAATTGCTTCCTTGTGTGCTCAACCATATAAACATGTGCATTATATAAATTAATATCAGAAATATGTTATTTGATATAAAGAAAGCCATACAAGAATCTGACGGTTAGTTTTATCTATAATTAAATTGATTGGTTAAGTCTCAAATTAAACCCAACGAATTTTTTTCAGTCAACAAAGAACTCCCAGTCACATATCATAAGGAATTAAAGAACAAAAGTTTGCTCAGACCATCAGAAAAAGTGTGGTTTATTTTCAAAAGTTACGATCGTACCTGAATACAAAAAGCAAGGCCCAAGATATTGTTAGCCAGCCAGTGTTTCTTCATAGCATACCATGCACAAAAGAAGGTTCCAGGAATTGCTGCAACAATCTGAGACCTGGTGAAATCGATCTCCAGAGCTGTGTAAGAAATGAAAGGAAAAATATCATTCTGCATGATAAAAGTAAATAATGTCAACCAGTTAAAATCATCTGAAACCTTGAGAGACGCAGAAGACTCCAATATGAAAACAAAGGTATAAACATACAAGATTGAAAATCAAAATCATATGGATCTCAAAACAACAAAAACCAAATTCCATGTTTCAAAAGAATTTGGCGTTTCAACCTATGAACTTCCAAAACAGAGGATTCCTTATCAAACCCTGGCAAACAGATATATTAATAGGGGAAACTATTATCAAAACCATTAAACTTAAATTTCTTCATTAGGAAAAGTGGCATGCTAAGTTCTTCAAAGCCAACAAAGAGCTCCAGACCACCTAATGACCAAGGTTCATTTCAAAATAGATTAGAGTTGAAAATTTAAAGGAAAAATATGGTGATTCAGACTTCAAGGAAGACTTTGCATCATAATCTTAAACAAAAACAAGGTGGACAAAAGATCCTAGGTCATTCCCAAAAAAGTACATTATGCAGAGAACAAGCACGATCATCGCTCATAAATCCAAACACGTGGAAGTTAGCTCATTTTCCAGGAAATGTCATCAAGCTAAAAGAAAATCACGTACCACGGAAATATGGAAAACGCCATACAATAGCATCTTGGTTCCAATGGTCTGGCAGATATCGCTTAATAGCAGGCAACAGAGTGGCTCTAGACAAAATGGAAAGAGGATAAACATAAATAAAATTTTGGATTAAGAGCAGCTAATTCAATATATCAGCAATAATAAGAAGTGCTTGTGACCAAACACATTTCAATACATACGAAAGGGCAAGGATCCCAAGCACAAAAAAGTAGCACGTCAAGACTGCATTAACCAAGTCCTTTGATAGAAACTTGAAAAGCAAGAAAAGAGATAAAAGCATTGCACTCCCAACAAAGGGAAAACGCATGGCATGTTCACTGGACATTGTCTCCTGCATGTTTGATAATAAGACATTGTAAGCAACTGGATTATAATTGTGCAAGGAATGAAGAAAGTGGAAGCAGTAAACGACTTGGCATAATTTTCTTGATGCATTTTTTGCTGTTGAACTTACTGAAGGTGGAGTGGGTTTCACAGATCGATAACAACCCACGTAAACAGTTAGACAAGCAGTCAAAACAACGTTCAAATTAGGATCAACCTTCATAACAAGTGGAGCTAATGTCAACCCTGCACCATCAAAGTTGGAGGGGGTTAGGCTTAACCACATGCTAGAACTTAAGATATCATATTGGATTGTCACTACTGACATATATAACAATTAAATTTTGAAGACACCAAGATGGAAATATTATTCTCACAAATTTATCTTTCTACTAGGTATCTTTGCATTAACTCCATTAGAAAGAAATAAGTCCAAATTCATTTAGACCCATCAACATCGAGATCAATGAAGGTTTGTATTATTCTTAGCGATGCTTCCAGAGCGAGTTACTCAAGTCTCCCCGAAGAAACACACACCCACATCTAATTATTTTTAAGGACAATAAATGTCTTATGATTCAGAATACTGGACATTCTCATTTGTAGATTTTAATTTTATGCAATTTCCAGATTTTGTTATTCTCTCAAATTTATGCCAATTGGGATCCTTTTTTGTAATCCCCTTGGCTTCTCAAGGATATTTCATCTCCTCGTTTTGTACATTTTGTTATTCTAATACAAGCTGCTGATTCCTATAAAAAAATAAAAATAAAAAAATTATGCAATTTTCAGACATCAATTATCATACCAACTGATCAGTAAGAAAACCACAAACAGCTTATGAACATGATTAATCTAGTGATACAGTTCTTGCAAAGGAGTCAAAGAAACTACAGATGGAAATCAGCCAATATCATAATCTATGATCACACCACATAACTACCAAGATTACGATCAGCATCAACTGACAGGTTACCTGAAATACTTAATGAACAACAAATTTAACCCATGAACCAAATTATCATTTTATAGTGTGACATGCAAACAGAAACTGTGGAAAAGAATATGATGAAGAGCAAGGTAACAAGCCAAGCTAAGAAACTTGTGGGAGATTCAAGGTAGTGCTTAACAGACCAATGAGAAAAAGGAAAATTGGTCATTCACATATAAGCTATCTGATTAACGTACCCAGTGCCTAGACATCTAACAATTTAAGAATTGTCTAAAATTCCCCATACTACACTAAAAGAATTTAAGTTGTGTTTATATACAACAAAACGCAAAAGAAGGATAAATATCTCGAGATTAACGCACAGCGACCTAAATTATTTGTATTCTAAATCAGTGAAAGAAATGAATTACCCGCTAAAGCAAAATTCGCAATGCGCTCAGCGTTCTTCATGTTGGGCGATTCTCAATTAAACACCTTTCACCTACACTGCCAATCCGGAAAACTAAGATAATTGTCTCGCAATTGCTCCCTCTGCAATCAAACTCGTACACAAATAAATTAAGAACAAAAAATGAAAAACATCAATTATACCGAGCCAGAATTCAACATCAACTTATTCTGAAAATGGAGCGATGTTGCGTGCCCTTTCGACTATTACTCTGTTTGAAATCCCAGATTTGCAAGGATTTGAAATCCCATTTTGTCCCAGAAAAATTTTCATCAAAATAGGTAGGATTTTAAAATCAAGTTCCCTCATCCCAATTTTACCCTGATGTGGGATTTGCCGAATTGAAGAAACCAAAATGAACCCAAAAAAAAAAGAACCTTTGATCTGTGTGCTAGCGATGGAGGGGTGCTACGAACACAAGTGTGGTGTGCCGACGTGCAGAGAAGGAGATAGATGGGGGCGTGCCGGCGTGATTGCGGCAGAGAGAGATAGGGTTAAGAAAGATCGCGCGTGGCTAAGCTTGGGAGAAAAAAGAAGGGATGCTTGCAGCTGGAAAAATGGGAGGGTTCACAAAAGAAACTGGTGGGGTAAAAACATCAATTATACTGAGCCAAATTAAACATCGACATAAATTCTGAAAATGGCGCCATTTTGCAGCGCAATTTCGACTAAATGCATGAATCAAATCACATCAATAAATCAGAAAATTATAAACGGAATCAACATTCATTCAACAGCACAAAGAAAACCGTTGAATTGGAGGGCCGTACCAATCATCGGCGGCTCGAAGACTTCGAGTGGATTGGACCACGCAGATCGGAGAGCTCGCCGAAGAATGAGAAGGGATTTTTCACAAATTTTCAGATTTAGGGTTTAACTAGACGAATGAAAAATGTGTGGAATTGATTGAGAGGGTAAAAGTAGGAATTAAAAATGACGACGATCCACCGGACTGTTACTTTATATCGTCTGACCTCCAATGACGACTGGAATTTTTATCGGAACATGACGGACGATCGCCTCTTTCGACACGTGTCGATTTCTTATTGGATTATATTTGTCAATGATGCGAACGGTTGTCTGTGATTGGGTCTATAGGCAACGACGATGTTATGTTAGTGAAAAATAAATTTGTAAATTTATCGAGAAAATTAAATAATTAAAATACACCGTGTTATGGGTAGGGTACGCAGCCACGTCTTTTGCTGATTTCTGTCCATTCACGTTTCGCCACGTCGGATACGTTTCCCTCCCGCCTGACACGTCATTTCGGAAGCGTGATGTCACAGTAAACCGTTATTTCCCTCTCATATAGTTTTGTTTTGTGCCACAAAATCTGATAATCAGCGACAAAATATTTAAAATAATGTCTATCAATCCTTTCTTTAAAGAATAAAGTATTTATTAATATTGAAAGTAGCACTCACAACGTCAACGTCTTTGTTGTAGATTTATACCTATTACTATTGAACTATCGCTTTGACTTCATTTATAAATATAATTCATTAGAGATATAAATTAAAAATAATCATCTTTCTACTAATAATAATAATTATTATTAACTATAACTTTTTTGTTCATTTAAAATATAATTTATTTTATATATAATCGAAAATTATAAACCTTATCAATATACTTAATATTATTAGTGTTATCATATTATTCATTTAAAAATAAAACAATAATAATAAATAGAGTACTTATTATTATTATTTTAATATGTAAATATAATAATATTATTAAAACTAAACCACTCAAACTAAATTAAATTAAAAGTTTAGACGAATCACGCAAATATTTAGACTTGTTATATAAACACCCTAATTTAGATAAAACAATGTAATAGTTTTATTTTTTCTTTTAAGTAATCCTAGTTGGATACCACTTTATAGGTTGTATATCCATTTTCTAACCATTATTCTTATAAATAGTTTGGCTAATGATATATTTTTTTGAATAATTCTCGAAAAAAATTTTATTTAAAAAAAATATGTGTTATGTTTGTACGAGTTGTTGTGTACTTTAAAATTTATTCAATTTTTCTTTTTTTGAACACAACATATCGGGGTGGAAAATTGAACTCACAACCGTTTAGTTGAAGATATATGTAAATCAATGTTCGTTTCGACAAATTTTGTTCAATTTTGATAATTGGATTTTCTAAACTATTTATTCGGTCACTAACTATAAAAGTAGAAAATATAAACACACGTCAACTTATTAAAGTATTTCTACTGAAAAAACTGTCATAAATTTTATAGTGTATATTCCACGTCGCATTGTTATGCTTGAGAAACGACCGAAATGGAACAAACTTCACAATTTAAAAAATCAAAATGAATATTTGAAGATCAAAAATGTAATAATGTTGAAAATTTAGGACCAAAACAGAAATGAATCCTTTTAACCTTCCAAATTTTGTCAACTAGAACTAGAACTAGCTTATCGGATTCTCTGGAATTTGCAGAGCTGCTCTCGCACTACCAAGTTCCGAATCCGACTGAATGAAGCAATTGCAGTCGCAGCTTCATGGATTCCGATTATCGAAACCTTGTGGATTAAGCAAGCGAATTCCCATGGCTTCAATTTCTCGTCTCTCCAGTTTCAGCTCAAGCTCGCTCAGATTCCCCTCTCTATTATTTCATCCGCTCTCATTGTCTCACTCCGTTGCTCGGCTTCCCTATGTTCTTCGCCTCCGCGCTCGTTCCGTAGCCGCGAAACCCGTCTCCATGTGCAAAATGAACGATTCAGGTTGTTTTTCTGCGGTATTTGCCGATTATTTGCACCTTGCAATGCAATATATTTGTTCAGTGATGATGATGTGTGCGATTGAATGAAAATAAAGAAGAATTTTGTTTTTAAATGTTTGTTAGATTTGATATCACAGTTGGAGCTGGGGAAACCAGTGCAGAGTCGGAAGCCGGAGAAGCGTGTGAACGGTATATTCTGGATTATTCTTCTCAACATTGGAATATATGTGGCTGATCACATTTTTCAGGTAGGGTTTTGTGTTCCCTTATACTGTTTAAGTCTCTCGTTGTTGTCTTCGGGTAGAAAGTTGGCTGGTTGCTGAGAAGTTTGATGATATTTTTTTAGGTCAAAGATTTCTGTTCTATTCAGCATTCACCCGTGTGAGTGAATTAGCTATCTGCCAAAGCGGTTTGTTTATAGGGTTTTAAGGGGATAATCCACTGTTAAGCGGATTATGATCAGTGAAACTTTTCAGAATATGAAAAGATTTTATCCAAAAAGCATTAAACCAGAAACCAAAAGGAGGATTGCAAAAAGGAGGTTCAATTGGTATAAACAAAAAAAGGGTGTAATTACAAAGGGTTTTCTAGAGAGTATACCATCTTAAAGTAAAATATTGTAAGAAACTAAATCAAAGAAGTCTTCCAAATCTCAATGAGAGCCATTGAGAGTTCTCCAATTGCACACCGTCCACAGCTCCCAAAGGCCAATCCCGGCAGTTTTCCCACCATACCTTAGCTTTTCTCTGAAACGTCGCCACACAGAAAATCCTGAATAAATACTTAGATGGTCTATGGCTTACTCCAACTAAAACTAAACTTCTGAAAGAGTCTGCCATGATTTTGAAGCATAAGTACAGTGAACAAAAAAGATGGCTTTGGCTACCTCACTATTCTTGCACAAAATGCACCAGTTGGAAGAAGAAAAGAGTTCGAAATTTTTTTCTGCAGCACACCAAGGGAGTCGAGTTTCTCCACCAACGAAGTACATGAAAATACTCACCTTCCTTGGGATTCTTTCCTCCAAATACAGGTCGTTAACTGGTTGAGAAGAATTTTTTGAGCCCTCACAAGGTGAACAAAGTGGGATGTTCTAGAGATCTCTCTTGAAACTTCCGAAGACCAAATCCTCTTGTGGTCCCTAGAATCAAGATCTGTAGCAGTCGACTTAGCCAACAAAATAGCCAAAGATTCAATTTTCCTGTAGATTCATTCTAAGAGTCGGATTCCAATCTCTTCACCTCATCCCACATGTCTTGCACACCAGAGCTTTGTTCCTAAATACCAAGTTGTCTATACCAAACGACCACTATCCGATGGAAGAGTAACCAGTGACCATCTAACTAAATGACAAAAAAAGGAACCAATTCACTTTAAAATTAAAAAGACCCCAAGAAACAATTTCCATCATTCATTGTGTTTCATCATCAATTTTAACTTGTAAGATTGAAAAGAATGAGGACAATGACTGAGTTATCTTTTCCATAGGTTCGTGGTATAGGAGCCCTGTACCTGTACCACAATCGTCCTGCTTGGTATCAGTTTTTTACAGCAACATTTTGTCATGCTAATTGGTGAGTTTTTTGTGCTCTTTCAAAGATCATGCAAACTTCAGATTTCTCGTATACTTAAAAGGATCACTGGAGTTTACATAAATACATATATAGAAGCTTGCTTATCTTCTCACGAGAATGCCGTTTGCTGGTTCTACGAGCATATGGTTTGATGCAGTACTTGCTATTTCTATGAATGTTTGCAGGAACCATCTCTCTAGCAATCTTTTTTTCCTGTATATATTTGGTGAGAGCCGCTTTCTTCCCCCTGACCAAAGAAAATAATATTATATTATTTTTCTCCCAAATATCTAAGGTTTCTACTTTTCTTTCTAGAAGGTGGAAACCATAAAGTAACCAGAATGTTTTGACATTTAATAGCTCCATTATTTGTGATGAACAGGAAAACTTGTTGAGGAAGAGGAAGGAAACTTTGCTTTGTGGCTCTCCTATATTCTTACCGGTGTAGGTGCAAACATTGTGTCATGGCTAATTTTACCAAGAAATGCTGTTTCGGTTGGAGCTTCTGGTGCTGTTTTTGGGTTGTTTACCATAAGTGTCCTCGTAAAGGTATCCATCTAAAACAATGATTCAACATGTCATCAGGATTTTAATGTATTTTTGCTAAGTAATGTCCTTCATGGCAGATGTCATGGGATTGGAGGAAGATCCTCGAAGTCCTTATACTTGGTCAATTCGTTATAGAGAAGGTAATAAGTTCTCTTTTTATCCCCATGTGCATGATTTTAAATGCTTCTAACCGATAAACATCCTTCCCGAATCGGGTCTTTGGCACGTTATATCATATTCAAGATTCTCTTTAGTCTTTTGCTCTATCAACCATAAGAATACCACAAGTAACTGAATTGATATTATCCTAGAAATTGAAAGAAACAATTTTTTCAATGTCCGAATTCGTTCGAGTGAAAGGAATGGTGAAACCGTGAAGGGCATGCACTTATCCATAAATCTTTTTTGGTCATAATAGGTCATGGAAGCTGCCCAAGCATCGACTGCCCTATCAGGAAGCTTTCGTGGAGGATATTCCTTGCAGAATGTCAACCATGTTGCCCATCTCTCCGGGGCGCTTGTCGGGGTCGTTCTAGTATGGCTGCTGAGTAGAATTCCGTCTCCTCCTGATCAAGACGTATCGCCTTTGAATAGGAAAGGAAGATAGAATTGCAGAAGGCAATTCCAGTTTGAAATTGAACAATGTGTTGCTGTATAATATGTATTTTTATGTCTCTTGTTTAAAATAGTTCACCTAGGAACAGTAAATTTTTTTACGGAAAAGAACTTTGGAACCAAGGAATATAATGTGATGTTTGAGAACGGAAAACCAGACCGATTTATTCCATTGACCTGGAAAATACAACTCAGAAAGAGAAATTGAAGATTAGTAGACATACCGACAGTTCACATTTATATATATTTACATAATAGATATCTAACTTGAATTCGAAGTGAAATTTTCAATTCGCTTATTCTTAGGTAAAAAAATGTTCTTAGGTAAAAAAAAGTTGGAAATATGAAAGACATTTTTTTTTAATTTTAAGAAACTGCACTTTAATTGAGATAAATGAAAAAAAACTACAAAAAGAATAAAAAATAATGACAACCGATCCCCATAGAGAAGTGTTAAATCTAATGAGGTCCCACACATAATTCACAGATCTCTGCACCCCTTAAAAATTCTATTATTTCTCTTGCCAAATAAATACCCCAAAGAGTAGCCAGAAAACCCGCTTGCCAAAGAAAACGCCCTTTGTCACGAAACGGGGTGAATAACAACACTTCCTCCATCATCGCCCTACAATCTCTGAAAATGGCCCAAACAATTCCAAAACATCTAAAGAAACAAAGCCATATCTCCTGCGCGAACTAACAAGACCACAACAAATGCTAAAGATCCTCCGAAGCATTCCTACACAGAACACACCACTGCGTGCCCAAACAAAGGGAGGACATCCTCTGGATCCGATCCAAAGTATTAACTTTTCCAAGTAAGACTTGCCACCCAAAGAACTTAATCTTCTTAGGAATTTTAATCTTCCAAAGCAAGGTGAACCAAAGGGTCAACGGGGGTGGAGAAGAAGAAGAGGATGACGAGGAGTTCAGGACGTGGAAAAAAGAACCACAAGAAAAACCTTTCGAATATTGTTAATGAAAGACATTATCCTCTCTGCCAAGTACTACCGATACAAAAGGACAACTACATCTCAAGTGATTAGTTGGAGACAAGATATAGGAACTAGACCTAGAGATTTGTTTTTTTGATAGGGAAAAAAAGAGAGTTTCAGACCTAAAAAACATCCAAATTGCCCATAAATCTCAACGATCAAGAATTGGCAATTGAACTGACGTTGAGCCATCGCAATAAGGTGGAACCATTGGGCGCCATATCTTTTAGGTTATAAATGGGATACTATTTATAATTGTACTAATGACATTCATTTAAAGACCAAATTTTCAAGCTCTCTAAAATTCACACATAAAGTAATCTCACAATCCACTTCAAAAAAATGAGAGTGACTTTTAATGATTAATGCTGGATTTAAAAAATGATTTTAGAATTATCAAATTACTAAGCAATTTTTTGAAGTAATTTTGGTCAATCACTTGATCAAAACTCACTTTCCAGGCCGGAAATTACTTTAAAGCGATTGTGAACTCACTTCTTCACTACAGTCAAAAAGTAATTTTGATCGTATCAAAATCAATTCCAAACAAACAGGAGAAACGGTATTTACTTTGACATTGTGAGGTCCAGTAACAAATTTGAATGTACAAAAACTATGAAGCTCTTCCTACAATCCATGTCAATAGAATTTTCTTCTGGAAGTAATCGAAGTGAGAAGAAACACAAACAGTGTAGATCATCTATGTCAGCGCTTTACATCAATGTCGCGACTGTACATGAATGTGAGAAATGACTGTACATACCGAGTTGCGCTTGCGACTGCGACTGCTTGCGAGAGATGATAGGCAACCTTCCCCCAAACTTGCAAGTGCGAGACTGATAAACAGATTTTGTAGCAAGCCATGAACTCTCCAAACAAAAATCCACGTCTCGCTTCGAGACACGATTTCTTTTAGTTCCAGCAGTTGATCCCTTTTGATTGACTGCGGTAGCACTTGGTATCTGCAATATATTTGTATGAGAGGAACCAGAAAGCTGTTGCTTCTGATAGAACCTGTTCGAGTTCTCTGTTCGCATCTCATCGTCCTTCACCTCCATCTGATCAGTGGTGTCCATGCATTTCATGATACTCTTAATCCTGTTTGCTTCTTTTGTCAATCCAATGGTGCGCCAGGCCTCTGCAACTAATAAGATGGTAGATTTCTCAGGCTGAACTTCAAATTCCTGCATTATTTGGAGCATTTCTTCTGCTTTCCATGGCTGCTTTGTCTCACTATAACCCCATATTATAGTCTCAAATGTCTTCAAATTAGGAGAAACTCTATATTCACACATCTTGTTTAAGATCTTTATCGCATTATCCATTCTGCCGGAACTGCACCATCCGCTAATGATGGTTGTAAAAATAACTACGTTTGGACGTTTTCCATATCTGGTCATAGTATTTAATAGTTCTTCAGCCTTTTCTGGTTCCTGTGAACGCACGTACCCTTTGGCTAGAATGCTGTATGCATGTGTGTCTGGTTCGATACCGGCCTTCACCATCTCATCAAAAACTTCTCTGCACTTCACCATGAATCCAGCCGTGCTCCATGCATTCATGATGGTGCTAAAAGTAATCACGTCTGGTTTAACACCAAATTCTTCCATCAACGTCAGAACCTGCACATTTTGTTTTTCAATATTTGATTTTTTAGAAATAACAATCGGTATCTACCAATACACCTAATCTTAGGTTAAAATGATAGTCTATGATGAAAATGTTAATCAGATCAATTTCACCTTCTAGCAGACAAATAATAAACATAAAAATAGATATGCATGGTTGAGGGTAAAGGGCAATGGATGATAATCTTCAGTCAATTAACGAGTTGCCTCCAATGATAATGACCAAGGGCCTTTGTAACATTACCATCCCCCTTAAGCTGTCCGTGTGACCTTGTTACTTAGATGGAGTCTGACACCACTAAGTCACAAAAGCTAACCATAAAATGTACATATTTTTACTATTAAGGTTAGCTTACATGCACCTCATACTAATCTCACACGACAACCATCTGACCATGTAATATTTGATTGCCAAGAAACTCATGGGATAAGATTTTATCTTAGGTAGATGACCAATATGGGACTTGATCCCATACCTGAAAAGCTATCTATAAACTCTTATCAACGTTACATTGAATATGTTGGTTCTGCAAGAAGCATCAATTCCACATGAGCCAATCAATAGTAATGATTTTTTTTCTTTTGTTAGAATCCATATAGTAAATGAATTAAATTTACCCAACCCTTAGCTTAAACTTTTGGGTTGAGTGGTGGTTTGTTTACTTTTAAGATGGTATCAGAGCGGAAGGTCCTGTGTTCGAATCCCTGCGTTGTTGCTCCTCCCCATTTATTATAATTTACACTTGTTGGGTATTGATGTTGTTTTCCAAACCCACAAATGAGGGGGAGTGTTAGAATCCATATAAATGAATTAAATTTACCCAACCCATCAGCTTAAGCTTTTGGGTTGAGAGGTGGTTTGTTCATTCTTAAGAAAACCAAAACAATTCCTCAAAACTTTCTAGTGCTACATGTTAGATATTAAGGGCTTTCATCTCACTACCTTATAGAATGAATCAATGAGAAGTGAGAACCACAATCAGAAATTAAGCAAAATATACGATGGGCCAAAACGCACCTTGTCAACCCCATCTCTGTCCATCGACTCTACAAATCCCTTGATCAGTGAGTTAAAAAGAACCAGATTAGGACGAACGCCAAGATCCTTCATCCTGTATATAAACCTCATGGCCTCCTTTAGTCTACCTTCTTTGCAATATCCACAAGCTATGATGCTGCAAGTCCGCTGATTAGGTCGAATGCCGTTATCTTGCATCTGTAGAATCATCTTTTCAGCCTGATCTGTTTCTCCACTCTGGGCATGAGCAGTTGCGATGGTGTTGTAAGTAACAGCATCTGGTTTGATTCCCAGGGCTATCATATTTTCCACCACATTCCACGCCTCTGGGATTTTCTTCTTCTTACACCATGCTCTGACAAGTACATTACAAGTTCTCAGATTGGGTTTTAAAGTTTCCTCTCTGTACATCAAGTCCAGCAGTTCAATAGTTTCTTCAGGCTTACCGGCAATGCCATATCCTTTTATCAGAGTGTTAAAAGTGCTTGTACTGGGCCTTAGACCACTAGCCTTCATTTTTTGAAAAGCTATCATGGCTTCTTCTACATTACCAGCTTCAGAGAAAGCATTGATAACAGCATTAAAAAATATCGAGTCTGGTTCCATTCCATTTTCTTCCACCATCAATATAACTGACTGTATGAACTTGAAGCGCTTCTGGACAGTCAATGCAGACAGAAGGGTCGTATATGTTACTAGGGAGGGTCTATGCCCATCCGCGATCAAATTGTCAAAAACATTCTGGGCTTCCTGAGGTTTCCCTCTTTCTATCAGAATGTTCATTAATTTTGTTTTAGAGCGCACCATTCCGCAACTTTCACTGGATGTGCAACCTAAACAGCAGGATCCACTTTGGACATCTTCCAAACTTACAGTTGAATGTGTTTTCTTTTTGTTATATGGAGAAACATCCTGCGTGAGAAAATGTAGGGGGCTAAAGAGCAGAATGAGAGAAGGAAAAAAAAAAAAAGAATGATTCTGCAATTAAATGAAAAAGAGAAATCATTTCTTCTATCATTCAAGTAAAAGCACATTGTTTTTTCTTCTTGAATCTTCACAATGCAGAAGCCATCCTACAACTGTTAAGACTCTCAGTAAGTCCGGAATGAACCTAAGATATAGCTAAAATCAAAATTGGAAATACCATGCCAAGAGCCACATATTTTAATGCATGCATTTGACGGCTAAGAGTACATCTTCATCCGTGCTCATTATACTTTACAAATAAAATTTACCTAGTTTTCATTGCTCCAATAATTCTGTGCCTCAAAGCTCAACCTCCATGGTGGAAAAAGAACCCGACCTTCTTTTTAGTCACGACATGTTTAATCTACTTTGTCAATACAACGACTATCAATATGCTTCCACATACTAATTCTCCAAAGAAACCTCAACTTGTATTGGTTCTCACTTCTGTGTTTAATGCCTTCAATACACAATGCAGAAACATCTTTGATTTTACGTCTAAAGCTATCATCTATCCAACTACTGTCCATCTCAACAGGTGTCAAAACGTAAAGAATGTAATCGTTGGTGAAGTATGTTACCAAAGTTCACACAAGAAATAAAATAAGATATTGGCTTTGCAGCATTGGCAAAATAAAAGTGATCTTTTAACAGCTTGTCAGTTGCCTAAACTTAACTATAAAACTGCGAGTAAAACCACGCCAGAAAACACCAAATCTTGGATTTGAACTACCAATTGGAATATTCATCAGTAAATTGACAGAAACTGGAGCACAAGTACCTTGATAGGAACTGATCGAGGAGCCCCTCTTTTGTTGACAGTAGCAGTGGTCGTTTGATGTTTGTTTATGGTTCTAGAAAGAGCCTCGTCTTCACCTGACTCCCCCATTTGCTGCTATCTACATTAATTGGCCAACCTCAAAGCCTATCATCACAGCGCCTGCAGATTTCAGCATTAAACAAATGCATTAAATTTATTTCCCATCCAAAACACCAAATATTAAACACACAGAAGAAGCTCTGAAAATATAAGAAGAATATTAGCTTAGCGTGATGTATACGCCTGAGCACTACTCATTATATCGAAGGAAAAATGTCCAACAGACCTTGGACGCGGCCAAAAATAAAAGGTTGGTACATTAACAGAAAATATAAACAAAAAAAAAACAAAAAAAAAACCCTATGAGCTGAACTAAAAGAAAAATAAAACTAATAGCAACAGTAACCAAAGATTTGAGCTAGTAACAGAAATTATTATCAACTAACAAACACCAGCCGTTCAGTTCATGGAAACAAACAAGTAAGCTTTCCAGTTCCGACGAACTAAAAGACTTCCAACTGATCAAAATACGAGCAATTGCTAATATCGCAGCTCACGCAGCACAAATAAGTGATCAAGAACTAAATGCATACATCGCAATCTAGGCTAGCCAAATTCCAGAAAAACAAATATAAGAACCGCAAGAAAACTCCAACAAGTACTCGATACTTCACCTGCTCATCGAACCGAGGACTAAAATATGAGGAAAAAAATCTAACTTCATATCGAAGAAAAGGAACTTCAAGAACGAAGTAAAATGAGCGGAGCGAAGAGATTAAAGATAAGGAGAAGGGCGAGCGTCCATGAGGTTGAGAATTTTACCTGCTTCGGCTTGCGTTGCAGAGTTGCAGGAAGAAGAAATCGTTCAAATCCTTCCTTCGTCAGAATTCAGAAGGAACGGAAAAGTAGATAAGAGGAATATGAAAATGAGGCTCTAAAATCTTGGGTTCCATTTCCTTTCATTTTCAGACCAATGGGCAGTATGCCAAAATATTAACCATCTATTTTCATTAAAAGAAAAAAAAAAGTTAAAATACTATTTCGTCTACTGTAATTCACAATTCTCGTGTAATTTCACAATATTCATTTTTTCAATATTCATTTTGATTCCTGTATTCTAACATCGATTATTTTAATCATTTTATTTTTAAAATATTCATTTTGAGTAATTATATTTTTAAAATATTACCATTTTAGTATTTATTTATAAAATTTTAATAAAAATCTTATGTATCACAGAAATCCTTTAATATAAATTCATTATTGTGTTGAAATTTGTGATAAAATAAAATAAAATTAAAGAACTAAAATTATCGATTCTTCATAGAGACCAAAACAAACATTTTTTGAAAATATATATTTAATTTTAAAAAAATATCAATTTTAAATTTCCATGTCATCCTTTTTTAAATAATTATAAATAACAAATGTTTAATTGAAAAAAAAAATAAATACATAACTTACTAACATATATTTAGAATTTTAAAAATTTGTGGATTAAACCGAAAATTGTTATATGTAAACTTGTATATTTAGCCGAAAGAAGAAGAACTAAACGGGCTCATTACTTTAGCATTGCCTTTGTCAAGCATCAAAATATTTGAGGAACCAAAAAATAAAGTTGATTTCTTTTTAGGAATAGTAATTAACTAACGATAAAAGTTTATTGAATAAAAGAATTTAAAACATAATAAATCTTAGAAAGGAACAAACAACGTACAAAAAACACAACTTCAGCAGCCTCATTTTATTTTTAATTCAGAAGTCAGTCAAATAATTTCAAAACATAAAAATTTACACTCAGAGCTAGAATTGAACTATAATTTATAATTTATGTTATTCTAGTCTTCAACTTCAAAATATTTTGTTTTGGTTCACAAATTTAATATTAAATTTGTTCTCAGGTTTGACATGAATACCCATATCGCAGGATCGGGTAAAAAGAAGATCAAACGGGGTGATGAAATTCAATATCATCAATCCAGATAATAATACGGTCATTCAAAATAGCCAATTAACACGATTAACATAAACCTACCAACACGATCATAATTCAACGATAAAGGTCGAAGGTTAAATCCCCCGACTTCTTACCGCTTGTTGTTCAGTTTATGGAAGAAAAAAGGGCCCTTCTTATTTGTGCTAAGCATACACAAATCCAACTGACCTAAAGATGTATATATATTTGTAGGAGAACCATTTCTTACCACAGTAAAAAAGGGATGGCTCAGTGCAAAACTAGATAGCCCCTTGAACCTTCCATATGCCCTTTCACTCCAAACCAAACAATGGTGATAGATACACCTTTAACAACTAGTATGTAGGCTTCATTCTCGACCCGAACGATTGTACTTTTGGTTAAAGGTTCGAGACACGCTAACCCGTCCCAGAGGAGACTATCCTTAATCTGAAAGGCATGTCAAAGGAAGCACAACTTGCTTGCTCTGCCAAACATGATGCATATGAAACTGCAGCTATTTTCGTGTTCTCTATCACCAAATCCAATCCCTTTCGGTTAAAACAGCTTTCCGGTGGCCATCAGCTGACAAATGAAACGTTGGTTTTGTAAGAAAATAACTTCATTTCATGCAGTCAATAAACAAGTCTAGTCTTTCATAAGCTTCACCTATAAAAATGAGCACAAATTACCTTGACCGGAAGCCATGTTTAAGGGTTCTTTCAACAGGATATTGTACTTCATCCAATCTGTTGGACATGGTGCCTACATTGTTATCATTCTACAGTATATTTACGACGACATGCCATCCGGAGCCAGATTCGACTTACTTAGCTTGGTAAGCAGCTCCTCCATCCCGTCCACCGCCCCCAAATCGAAACTTCTTCGAATGAACTTCTTGGCCACAGTACAATCGATCTCCCACCCATTGTCAAACACAATATTTAAGAACTTCTTCACTTCCTCAAAATTTTTCCTCTTGCAGAGCCCTTCAATCATATTCTCCAATATGATTTTGTTGGGCACAATGCCAGATATCATCATTTCCTCAAAACATCTAACAGCAAAGTCAAAGCATTTCGATCTCACACTACCATATATAAGAGATTCATAGGTTTGAAGGTCAGGAGAGAATCCAAAAGCTCTTTTGGCTGAGTACCATGCTTGCATGGAATCAACATCACACAATCTGGCAAATGCCGAAATGAAAGAAGTGAAAGTGTCGGCATTGGGTTTATAACTTTCAGAGTTTTTCATTACTTCGAATATACTGAAGGCAGTAATCATATTATGTGAAGATAAACAAGCCTCCATAAGTGAATTGAAAACAATCGCCGTTGGTTTAACTCCTTGGAATTCCATAGCAGCAAAAACACGCATTGCAAGAGGGAAATTTTGAAGCTCACCGCAAAGACGTATCAGGTCGATGTAGCAATCAGGATCCGCCTCATTTTCTTTGCTCATTCTCTCCAATCTCCATTCCAAAACCTGACCAAGCCAGAAATGGTTAATCATGATCGTTCGTTCTCTCCTGATCCCTAAAACAAACTTTCCAATAATTTAAGCTATTGAAAGAAAAAAACGGTAGAAAAATGAAACCAATTTCTAGAAATCGATGAATTTCACTCCTAATTCTCGCCAACATTAGAGGATTATGCAAGATCATTCCCTAGGTTCATTCGACAACCATACAGAAACAAAAATGGAGGAAAAAGAGGGGGTGAAGTTACCAGTTGAGCCTTCTTAGGCGACGAAGAAGATACAAGAGACCTAACGAGGGATTTGCAGGAAACTTCGGAGCTACATAGAAACGCACTTTCCGGCGAATCGAGCACGGATTTGACAGACGAACTTGGCTCCTGAAGCAACCTGAGAAGCAGAGGATTCGAATTCGAGTGATCAGTAGATGCGAATCCCCGCGAACTAAATCGATAACGAGCTTCATGTAACTGAAGCGAAATCCTGGAGGAACCGATTTTTGCTAATGTCAAAACCCTGCTCCAAATTAACGCCATAGTCTCCACCGGAGTTCGGGATCGCGGTGCTCTGCTCAGCATGAATGAACATTCGCCGGAACAAGGTATTGTCATCTAATTCTATTTCGGATTTTCCTCTTATATATGATTTTGTTCTTTACTTTTGTGAAAATAACAATTGGCAAATTTAAATTAGATTAAAATATAGTTTGATTTTCTAAACTTCAAAGTTGAATTTTTGAATTCTCACATGTTGAAAAAAATTGAATTTAAACAAATTTTAATGGACCTAAAAAAATTGTATTTAAACAAATTTTAATGGACCTTTTCGTCTGATCAGGAGAATAAATGTTGGCGAGATAAACAACACAGAACATATAAAATAATCTGAATGGAACAAGCACCCCATGCACGAATCTCTTACTAACTTACTCGACATGGCAATTTATTTCTTAAAATTTATAGAACAAAATAAAAAATATAAATAAATAAAATAAGGGTATAGTACAAGAATGGCCCAGGAACGTGGATATTATTTCTCTGCATAAGCCGATAAACAGTCTCACATAAAAGACCATAGAATTTCTTAAACAAAATTAACAAGCAGACAGAGATGGGAAGAACAGGAAACTAACTACAAGACTGGAAGAAAATTCACAGAAGTTTTTACAGTGGCGCAGTTTCTATAACACAACGGGATTCGAGCAAAATCCTAAGCAACTGGCAAGCCCCGAGTAGGGAACAGAAATGAGAGCGTCTTCAATCCCATTTTACACTCACCTATACTACATACAACCAATGCTCTTTCTTTTATCTTCATCCTTCCGTTCCCGTGCTGATGCAGGTGACTCGATCGAGGGACTTTTAACGTGCGAAACTTAATACTGAAGACTCATGGCGTACCGAAGTTGGCCAGAGCTGATTGGAACAAAGATGAGAAAGCTTGCGATGCGCTTTGATCATCGGCTTTGACCTTTATCTGCGCTTTAGCAGATGCTGTGTTGATTATACACTCAACCAGAAAGTTGGATGGTTGTTCTTGTTTTTGTCCGAAGAAGAAAAACTTGAAGTTTGGTGCCTGGCCACCCGATGCAATGCAATGAATGGAATGGCTTAGCATATGTCGGAGGAGGACTTGAGGCGATGTTAGAGCCGCAACTCCTCGGGGGCATACACCATATTCCTGCAGCAAAAAGTGCATCACGATGCATAGGTCCATATGGAGCAAGTGTCCTAAGTTCAGTAGGGAGAACAAACTATTGACTGAAATTTGAAAAAAAAAACCTGTGATATAGATATAGGCAGCTGGCGCCATTTCTGCTGAAAAGTCCCCGGATCTAAAACAGCTTTTGAGTTTAGCTTCAAAGGAGGCGGAGAAGGCGCGGGTGCGGAAACTGTTGGTAGACCTAGACCGAGTAGATCATCCATTGGAGAGCTCGACTGAGGTGCATGCCCTGGCATGGAAGGATTCGAGACTGCAAACTCTAATGGCGCTTGAGGAACGAGAGATCCAGCACAACCTTCATATGAAGGAGCACTGTATGCAGAACCATTGTTAGCAACAACTCTAGTTTCCTCTTCCTCTGAGGTGCTTAGAAGTAGATCCTTATCATTTGCCTCAACTCGCTGAGCTGGAACGACAGTATCAGCGGACTCCGAACCAATAGATAAATTCCCAAGTTCGTCTGAGAAATCAAATGGACCTCGGTGTTCCTTGTCGGTGAACATGTAAGATGGCTGCAACAACATGCACAATGATATGAATTGTACAACAAATTCGAATGCATTGAGGACAAGTCAAAATGGGTAGCGAGAAAAATGGTCCAATTTTGCTCTTCATGGCAATTCCATCTCTCCCTAATCTCTATATTCTTAAATTTACAGAAATAATGTCAAATTAATCCTTACAATAAGGAAGCCAAAAGGTAAATATTGGATATCCACAATGATTAAGTGCTGTTACCTTCTGGTAAATAACAGACAAACTATTAAATTCGTCAAATATTCGATCCTTGACTTCACTGCTTTGTGTATCGGCAAAGACAGAAACCCCTTGCTTTGGAGGATTGACGATACGTTCAGCTACAGAAACATTATATTGCAAAAGCCTGTAGTAGAAAAGCGCTCGATCATGCACGTCCTATAATCAAAAGAAAATATTACAACTCAAAATGATCTATATTGCTACAAGTACAGAAACAATAGAATAATCTCCTACCTGGTGAAAGTCAGCAAGACCTGCTGCCAGTGCAGCTCCCAAGGCCTTTTGAGTTTCAGGAGGCCTTTTGAAGAAACACTTCATCACTGCAGTGAGAAGATGTAGGCGAACCTGCATAATGATACGGCCCATTCATTCAGCATATTTGGGAACAAATGTCAACTTTCCAGAGCATTAAATTTGAAATTGAACATACAAAATAGCAACGAAACCAAGAAATAATTAAAGAAACAGATGGAAAATAATAATAAAGTATTATACAAGTGTATAACACCCCCTCTTCATTCCAGTGGCAGTATTCTGCTCTCCCCACACTCCCAAATGTTAGCCACTTTTAGTAACAAAATCAATAAATAATTAAAGAAACAGATGGAGAGAGAGAGACAGAGCGAGAAGATTCCAGCCGTTTTAGTTAAAGCAATTGAAAAGAACATCAAAGATCGCCAAAATTAATTTTAGAAAAGAAAAAGGTTTAACCTCAGCAGAAGGCTCGTCGTCCCAGTTCTCAATTAAACTCTCTAGAATATATGGGGCATCATGCATGTCCTGCGAATACTCCCCCAACATCCAGATAAGAGCTGCTTTGGCCTTTGGTTCTTGAATATTTTTACTGCTGATGCTGCCGACAACAGCAATGCAATCCTGACTCCATTGTGGATATTTTCTCAAAAGATCTTTAACAAGCACCTGCCAAAAGAATTCCAAATTGTTCTTAAATTACCGAGCATGTAAAGAAAAAGAATTACTTTGTTTCACCACTACTGCTGCTTTCATGATACAAAATCCTTTGAAAAGTAAATGTAATACCTTAGGGCAGAATTCTTTGAAAAACTAAAGCTAACAAGCATAGAAAAATCTAATTACCAGAGCTTCAGCAGTCACATAGTCCTTTTCCATCTCCAAAAACTGCAGAAGTCGATCCACAATTGCATTCACATCATACTGCTGCAGTGCTATTTTCCCAACAGCACGTATTGACTCTCTTGCTATGGGAATATCAACGTTTGCAACATATTCACATAATTCCGTCACTGAAAAAGGTAATCCAAAGGTCATTTGGCAAAACACGTGAGAATAAAAATAGATATACGATGTTTCAAATATCAATAGACCAAGTCAAAAAAGAAGGTACGGTACGTATATTCAATGAATCCTCAAATTTAAAACTAGACACAAAAATGAACCGATGAAGTTCACTCACCAATTTCATAAGTGTTGCTCTCATTTGCCACTGCAGTCAACATTTCGAGCTTCAATTTTTTGACATAAGATGGCTCGTTGTACTGACAATAGAAGTATTTATAGTCTGAGGAAAATATATATGGAGCACGCATCACCAGGAGATGGAGGTGGCTGAGAACTGCATAAGATTGTTCTGGGCTTCCTGAGCTCACCAAGGTTAAGAGAGGGGCTTTAATCCGTTCATAGACCTAGCCAATATATAGAGCTCCATCAAATTTATGTTTTCAAAAGGAAAAAAAATGTAAGAAGATTATGGTCATTCCGCTATGAGAGCTGAAAGCCAACAAATAGGATAATAGTGGTAATCTCGAATAAATAGACCAGACCACTAGAAATAATTTATTGTTCTAGGACTGGGACATAGAATTTCACTACCAGGAGAAGTATTCATTGCATAACGATTGGATTTATTTCCCTCTACGAAATCTTAGACTGCCTAGTTAGAGGTAGGGGAAATCCTGGACTCCACATGCTTAAAGATAGCATTGCAACTAGGTAAAGCCATATAACTTATGCACGAGAGATCAAAGGTAAAACTGTTATATAAAGTTAAGTAGACAAATAAAATGTTGTAAATGGATAAAAATTCTTGATGGTCACCTGCTGATGAACATCAGTCATGGATAAAGTCAAATGTAGAAAAACTTTGGTGGTTGCCAATACAACAGCACCATTAGCATGCTGAAGTCTATCCTCAAGGAGATTCATGATGTCAAAAATCTCATTGCTATCTGACGGTACATATTTGGCAACCAATTCAAGTAGGAGACACTGTGCCCATTCATTAAATTCCTTGATCCTGCAAGCAGAAGCATTTTGTTTAAACCAAGTATGATACTCAGATATTCTATCTGTGAACTTCTCGGCATTTACATACTATACAATGCGTACATAAGACCATTCAATAAAGAATAGCTAAGAGACTCTAAAACAAAAAGATAAATGTAACTCCTAAAGTTATTGTCCCTTTCACATACTACCGAACTTCTTCTGAAACTATGACTTTTTGCAACAACAAATTAACAGCTAAAGCAATACCTCGATAAGAGAGCAATAAGGAGAAGATAAAAGAACATCCTGGTTTTTTTTTTTTTTAAATAACAAAATGACATACAAAAAACCAACTCAAGCCATAAGGAGCCAAAACAAAACTAACCTAAACTAAATGCAAGAACTCCAACTATTAAGAATAAGAAACAAAGGAAAAATACAAAACTCTTTGGTCACCTATACCCAAAGATACTTAAACCTAGTATATCCCAAGTTTTGACTATCCACATCATGACCAAGATCAAAACTTTTGAGGAAAAAATTTTTCAAACACACCTGAAAAAGAATATAATCTCCAATGGTTAAATATAATATCAAAATCCAACCCCAATACTGTTTAGACCTCATAGCTTTTTTCAAGTTTAAAACATACATATTAACTAGACAACTGTGGCTTCCAATGATTACGGTGAAAATATTCCTAAAAATATAAACAAAGTAAAATTATTACTTCTTCTAGACCTAAAGCTAAAGCTATCGGCCAAGGTTCAAGAATGGGCTCCTGATTCCATAGTATATACAACATACCGGTTCAGAAGATAATACACAACTGGCTTACTAAGCAAAGCCTCTCTTTCCCTAGATGCTTCTTCCAAGGAGCTGGCCTCTGAGGTCAAAATCTCTTGTAGAGCAGATAAACAATTTGCAACTACCTGGATAGTTGTAATAATACATTAAGAAATAACCTCGTCAGGTCAAAAAACAAAAGCAAAATTAAAATTGAAGCCACAAAAATTCAGGTAAAATTGGCTCCTTTAGGGAATATTGAATACAAAAAAAGTCACGGTTGCTTAGGAAATAAAAGGAACACGTGGACAAGTACATCTACATCTACAGATGTGCTACTTAGCATTCTTGCTGTAATTATATACAAACGATAGATTCTGGAGGTACTAGAGATCTCATTGGAAACGTCATAATTAATCGAATTAAAGAGAGTTCAAAAGATTTTTTTTTTCTTTTTGATAAGAGAGGTAGAAAACAGTTGAATGAAATCAACTTGTATTTAATGAAGAGAGACACATTGTCAACGATCAATATCAACATTGACACTAGAAGTACAATAAATTTACAAGAAACTGCTATTTCATTGAGAAAAATGAAAGAATATACAAGAGGCATACAAAAAACAAGCCCACTAAAAAGGGATCCACCTATAACAAGAGATCTAATCCAAAAGAATTACACCTAACGAGTAATTACAAAAAGTATTAGAAACCGACACCCACATAGAGGTACCGGTGCATAATAGTGCAGAATAAAATCTTGGCTAAAATAATTCAAATAAATCACCTGAGTATCTCGATCATTAAGCATCAAATGCTTCAATGTTGATGGAAAATCAGCATCTATGCATGTTGAAGCAGATATATGATATAGTTTTAAAACCCCTGTAACTGCCACCATTCTCACGTAACTATTGCTATCCTTCAAGCCAGACCCCAATGGCCCCACTAGATACTCGACTAGATTTGCAACACGGAGTGAACATAAGCTCCTCAATGCAAGCCCTCTAATCATTGGGTCCTCGTCCTTGCAATCTCTCTGAAGGAAATTAATCGTTAGCAGGGCAAGATCAGGATTGACCTTGGCATAATTGCCAACATATAGATAGCACATTTTCTTGAGGACAATGTCGGATGTAGCAGAGCACATCACCATCTCTCCAAAGAGAGACGATACATCGATCCCAATAGTCATGTAAGATATCACTTTCTTGAAAAGCTCCCTCTTAGAATCTTCAACACCTGGTGCTCTACTTCCAGCAAGCTGCCGGAGCTGTGATTTCAGATCAGTTACTTCGCTTTTTCTGGTTAAGACAATAAAATTACAATTAGGTTGAATGCGATAAATAGCAGCAAATATAAAAGTGAATTCAGTGAATTACAAAATTGAAAATCCACCGGACTACTACATCTATTGATGAGACCTTCAACGAATTTAAAGTGGGGTCCTTCAGAATTTTCATTTTAGTGAGCAAGGATAGAAGAGACTCGTTCAATCAAATTTCATAGCGACCCACTAAAAAGTTCAAATAAATTATACCAAGATGATGAACCAAAAACAGTATAACTACAGAATTTCATGCGGATAGCGAATTACTTCAATACGAACAATTTGATCAGGAATTTACCCATCGGATGCTATAACTTTTACAATAGAACACATGATGCGTATACTGCCGTGCATACAACAAAAGCTCAACGATCGGCCGCATGCGGTGGTCAAGAAAAAAACTGAAGGAATGAGGGAATGGGGGGGAAACATACTTCGAACTTAAGCAGATCCACAACTTCCAAATCCAGAGTGAAAATGGTAAAACCATTCAAATATCAATCATGAAACAGCTCCTAAGCTAAGTTATCAGCAGAAATGAATTGCACATATATGATCCGAAATCATCCAAAAAACTGACAATGTTCATAAATTTGGAGGGAGAGATATAATTTGCCACCTACCCCGATGGTTGAGACGGCGACGGAGTCCGGTGAGACTGAGCAGGCGGAGCCATGGCGGACCAGAATTATGCTGACGTACAGTTCCGTCCAATACAGAGAGAAATATCTCAACGACGAGGGGCTCGGGACGATCGCAATTCCGGCTTAGCTATGGAGTTCGTGAATCTAAGACGGAACTTGCAGATGCAATTGCATGCTAGACGCGCCTGCAGAGAATACTTCTTCTCTCTTTTCTCGTCGACTTCCGGTGAAACTTGTTGGGCCTTCCGATCCATTATGAAGATGGGCTTTCGGCCCATAGGTGGTTTGGTTGATGGGCACTAAGCCCAAAGAAAGTTTGCCATCCCACAAAATATCTCATTTCTTTCGGACTTAACCCGGATTTTTTTCCTCGGATTTATAAGCAAAATCGGAAAACAGACCACATGAATATGCAATTCGTCTTCGATTTATTGTTTCGATTTATTGTTTCAAGTTTACTTAATCGAATAGATTCCATTCATATGCCAAAACGAGCATAGTTTGACGATAATTAGCATATACTTTACGTCTTATTTTACTTTTATAAAACTTAAAAACAACGCAATCAATTTTTTTTTTGCTTTCCGTGTTTAATTTTGCTTTGAATATGAATAAAAAAAAAATTTATCACTGTTGAATTATAAAAAATAAGATGTAACTATATTTTTGTTTATTAGAAATAATAAGAAACCAAAATGTTAAGCTCGTGATAATCATTTCATTTTTTGTTTTTTGTTTTTAATTTTTAAAAGATAGGGAGGTTTAATAACCCATCTAATTTTCTATTTTTTTTTTCAAAAATCATTTTGAAATTTTATGTAAATTTAAAAAAAAAATCGTTAACAGGTTTTTGTTTTTCGAAATCTCTCTCCTCCTAATACTTAACTTTTTTTTTTCTCATATTTATCTTTAAAAAATTTATTTTTCATTCTAAAATTTTTTTATTTCTAAATTTCTCTCTCCAAATTTTATTTTTATTTCCGTAAAATTTTCATATTTCGAATATTTATTTTCTCTCCATTATTTTTCTATATTTTATTTTTTTCTAACAAATCAGTTTAATTTCTCTCTTTAAAAATTTAATATTTTAAATATTTATCGTTATTTGTCTCACTCCATAATTTTTCTATATTTTTATTTTTTTTCTAACAAACTAGTTTCATTTCTCTCTCTAAAAATTTAATATTTTTCTTAACTTTTTTCTCTAAAAAATTTCATATTTTATAACTTTCATGTCTCTCCATAATCTGTTTTTTCTTCAAAAAATTATATTTTATTTTCTCGTTCAATTTTCTTTTACTGTAACTTTTATTTATCTTTGTATTTATTTATTTTATATAAAAATTATATTTTGAATATTATTTTTCTCTCTAAATTTGTTTCCACTCTAATTTTTCTCTTTCTTTATAATTTTTTTTTTCTTTAACATATATTTTCCTCTCGACTTTATTTTTTTCTCTAAAATTTTTCTCTTTTTGTCTTTACTTTTTCTTTCACTATTTTTTTCTAAATATTTTTATTTATCTCTCTAAAATTTATCTTCCAAAAGTTTATTTACCTCCCTATTTTCATGTCTCTACATTAGGGAAGACAAACATTTTCGTAGGGTCGTGTCCTAAAAATAGAAAATGCACATCCCGACCTGTCCCCAATTCCATTTAAATAATTAATATATATTACACTTTTTTTGTATTTAAATTCTAAAAATAATTAAAAACATTTATAAAACCGATAATTTTTATCGGAGAACATCTCTCGGAATCAAGAACAAGGTGGAGACGGATACTAACAATTTTCAGGAGCCCGATAATGAGGGAGAGCATCCTCACTCGCACCCACACCATCTCTACCCTACATAAAATGTCCTGTATGTATTTTCAATTTTCTAACTTTTTAAAAACATAAAACTAAAAATGATTACCAAACATGTTTTGGTGTGTTGTTTTTTAAAAACAAAAAACGAAAAAGGATTATCAAATATATATGATTTTTGTTTTTTAAAAACAGAAAACCAAAAACAAAAAATAAAAATAAAAAAAATAAAAAACAAGAAACTAAAACAAGAAAAATAAAAAACAAAAAACAAAAATGATTAGCAAACGATTTTGAAAGTATATAATTTTTACGAGAAAAAATATTGTTTACCAAGAGCGACAAGTCGTAGTCTCACTATCGTTCGGACGACAAGTCGTAATCGTTATCGACTCGTTCACAGACAGTGGCAAATGGCCACGACCAGAACCTACGGCGTTTCCAGCTTCAAAGAATCCACAGAGAGACGAGCAAGCGCTCACAAATGGCTCTCTTTAATCTCTCTAAAATCAGTCCTTCCCTTCTTTCCTCACCAATCCACCGCAATTTCAGCGTCTTCACAAAACCCATTAAACCCATTATCGCCGCAACAGCAGCCCCCATTCTCAGCTCCACTTCATTCCCCGCCCCCAAATCCACTCTCACGGCCTCCGAACCAATTCCCATCACCGATTTCTCTGAATATCCCGAAGAGACCCACCTGCCCATCTCCCCTGAGAAGCTATTTGTGCCGCCGGATACGGATATCTCCGGCGGCGGCGCCGCCTTGGGGCCGAGAATCTTGAAGGGGTCGAACATTGTGTTGGGTCGGTACGCGAGGGATGCTCAGATTTCTGAGGCGGATTTTGTGAAGAGTAGTGTGAGAACTGAGGACTGCCCCTCTGATGGGCTTCCTGAATTTGCTCTTATTGGCCGCTCGAATGTGGGGAAATCGTCGCTTCTGAACTCGCTCGTTCGGCGAAAGCGGCTCGCTCTCACCTCCAAGAAACCAGGTGAGCAGTTAGATTCACTGAAAATAATGGTTTATGTTCTAACCAAAAATTGATCAAAACATTAAAATCACACTCGAATATAGTGAATAATCCTGCAAAATAAGGAGTTAGAACTCGAAAGCTTTTGTCAATAGGATTCTAGAGAGTAAAATCTTAAATCAAAATGTTTGCATACCTCCTTCGTGTCAACATAGCGAGTATCTTCGAGATTCGAGGCGTAAAATATGCTATGAGGCGAGGATGCAGTTAAGCAGTTACCATTCGAACGTTAGCAATTAGTTCGGTAACCTTGCTTTAGAGTTGTTCAAGTTCGATAGTTTGACACTCATCGTTTCCAAACTTCCTTCATGGGGGCCACCTGCAGAAATGAATTGTTGACTCAATGATGACGTGTGCGCGCTGGTCAATTCCAGCCTTCATCAGTTTAGTTTTGTGATCCACGAGAGTTCTCTTTCTCGCGATGTTTTTAATGTACTCTCGTGTTGTGTTCAAGATGAATATGTGCATAAAAGAACCAGAGGATTATACAAGGAAATATAAGGTAATCTTTCAACATTGCCTGAACAGAAGAACAATCTTAGCCCAGCTTGATAACCATTTTGCTTCTGATTTTGAAAATTAAGTTTGTAAACACTATTTTCTCTAATGTGTTTTTATGAGACATGATAAACATATGAAAGAAAATTGTGAAGAAGCAGGTAAAAGTTTTAAATCCAGAAAACTAAAAACGAAATTGGTACTAAATGACCCTTTATGTGTTTCATTCTTTCTGGCCAATTAGCTTCATTAGTAAAAGCTTTATAAGTCATTACTTGAAGATTCTATATGTATGATTGTTTTACATCCTATGGTGCTGTAATGCAATTTATTTTACCTTATAAAATATTTGTTTGATTACTTAGCTCTGTCCATTATTTTCTTAATTTATCAAGGCTCTGTAGTTATAAATGATCATTCTTTCCCATGAGAATTTGTAAGGAGAGGCAGAAGAAAAAGGGCAGGAAAAGGAACGAGCGAGTTAGTTAGGCGTCAAGGTTATATTTGTATTACAAGTGTATGTCAGCTACTGGCCCCATTGTGAGGGATCTTTTTTATTTTTTTCTTTTTGGGAATCCGTGTGTCCGGGCCAGCTTGCGTGCACCTCGACTAATCACGGGCCAACTGCCTGACCCTACTACATTTGGTTGACAAGTATCTCGTAGGATATTAAATCCTAGGTAGGTGACCACCATAGTTTGAACTCATTCCCTCTAAGTCCTTTGCTATTTACATTGGCTCTCATTGACCAGTTGAGTCATCTCATGATGGTTAACGGAACCATGACACACATAAAGATTCGAACTTTTATTGTGGTTGACAATATCCTAAACTCTTGCCACTGTGCCAAGACCTTAGGATACCAGAGGGATATATATGTATTATGTAGTAAGGAATAGAGACTGAGGGTCTAGGCACGGAAATGGTGTCTTCGAGAGCTTCAGACCTCTCGAATGTCAGAACTCCCTCTTACTGTCAATGTTTTTTAAAGTTTTAATCAGTGCAATCTTATAGTCTCTCCCAACTTTTCTATTAGAATGCTGGATGTGGGTATAAACATTTTTGGCTTTCTTTGCAGGAAAGACACAGTGCATAAATCATTTTCGAATTAACGATAGTTGGTACTTGGTCGATTTGCCTGGATATGGGTAAGTCTTATCTCCAAGTTGGGTCGATGTCAAATTCTTTCTTAACCTTTTAACTTGCAGCTAAGTGATTTGCTCTGTGGTGGGAATTCGAGTTCTTCCTCTGCCTTTATTCATTCATACGTGATACTTTCATATGCATAAATGTCAATGGCACTAGTTTGTTCCTTTCTTTTGTAGTTATGCAGCTGCACCACAGGACCTCCGAACCGACTGGAACAAGTTTACCAAGGACTATTTTCTAAAGCGGTCCACGTTGGTTTCCGTTTTCCTTCTTATAGATGCAAGCATTCCTGCCAAACAAATTGATTTAGACTATGCTAGTTGGTTGGGTCAGAATCAGGTAATATTCTCTTTGTTTGTTGGAATAATGATAAAAATGAAACATCTGATTGTATATCACTTGTTCTCTTCATAATCCCTTTATCAAGTTTTAGAAGTCGAGAGTGAGACATTTGGAGATCACTTTCCAAGGACTTGCACAATAGCGCTCGGTATCATTTGTGAACCACCCGAAACAAACCCGTTCCCCTTGCTTTTAATAACAGCGTGCCAAATTAGCTTGTGAGGAATTTGGCCGGAGAAACAAAGAGAAAAAAATTTAGGAAGGGGAGATTCAGGGAGTATGTTTGGGAGTTTATTATGTTTGGAGTCAGAGTTTTTTAATTATCAACTGGGTGTTATTTTTTTGGACCGGAGTCGCTTGTCTTTATATGCTTTTTCATTTTTTCAATGAAAGTTCGGTTTCTTACAAACAAAATAATAGTAATAATAATAAAATAACAACATGCCAAATACACTCCTCCTCCGGGCTATTTCGCTCAAGGTGTCTTTCGTAGGGGTATTTTTAACGGAAGAAAGACCTTTTGAAGGCTCATCTCCTGTCAATAATGTACAGTAGAATTGTAGCGTTTCATTGAATTCACATGCCTTGGTTTTCAAGAAAATTTGACATGGAATGGCTTCTTTCAGATTCCAATGACGATAATATTCACGAAATGCGACAAACGGAAGAAGAAAAAGAACGGTGGAAAAAGACCAGAAGAAAATGTGAGCGACTTTCAGGAATTGATCAGCGGTTTCTTCCGAACCACTCCGCCATGGATCATGACTAGCAGTGTCACCCATCAAGGTCGGGACGAAATTCTTCTGCATATTTCTCAGCTGAGGAACTACTGGCTCAAGCATTGAACAAATACTTTACAGCTTCACCTGCCCGAATCAACCAGGTAGACGTGGTATCGATTACCTTCCTGTTTACAATACATAAATTAGCAACATGATATCTAAATAAAGGTCCTCTTAAGTTCGAGTTTTTGAAAATTAGCAACAACTTCTGATTTTCTTTTCGAATGTTACAGCTTGCAGATGTTTCCCGACACAAATCGAAATGCTTGTTCTCGACCCGAATTTGGTTTTTTGAGTATTCTATCTTGTATTATATTCAAGAGGCTAAGCTGTTTTGACAGAAGACGTGAATTTTGAAGAGCTTACAAAGTCAACAATGGTGGAAAGAATGGCTTTTTAGTTGCACCATCTGCATCATGTCTCCGCCATAACTTCAAAAACAGGAAATAGAATGGAAGATTGGTGGAAAGTCTTCTCAGTTTGCTGTTTGGAGATGTCTATTCGCTACTCGCTGTTGGAGCAAGTGGGTCCCATTTATTCCAGTTGGGGATTACGTTATTCCCGTCCAAAACCTTTGGCTTCTTTACAAGAAATTGAGCCTTGTTTGTAATATGTCGTGTATAGTGAGGTTGTTTGGAGATCTTTGCCCAATCAACTGATTTTTCTTAGTACAAACTTGGAGTCTTTCTACCAAATCGAAGTCACATCCTCTTGAGGATCATTAGTAGCCTCCTAAATAATCAAATTCTCGCATTTTATAAAAATTACAATTATAAATTGTAATAATCTAAAACAAAAAACAAAATATTAAAATTGCAACGAAATCTAAAAATTCAAAATACTAAATTCCTAAATTGACCTTCATGATTCAATACTTGACATGTTTTAGTCTCTAGTTTTTTTGGTTTCTTTCTTTTCAATTTAGTTCATAGTGTTTTAAAAAGATTTAATTAGTTCTTTTTATTTTAACCGTTTTTAGTTATATCATTCTAAAAATAATTTAAAATTAGTTAATGATAAATGATACTTAGAGAGTTGACATCACTTTAGACTATAAATTATTAGGACATTTAAGACAATAAAAGTTGAAAATTTGTGTCAAACCGAGCATAGCTCAAATGGTTAAGACATCTATACCAAAAGGTCATGAATAGAAGTTGTAAATTTTTTAGTAGTGGTCATAACTATATATGTCTTTATAAAGAATTGAGTATTTTCCGTATTTAGTTGGATACTATTGTTGACGTGGGGGAGAAATCAACGAAAGAGAGAGAATAAGAGATATTTTTTATTTGTTAAAAAACAATAAATATATGTAAAAATTTTAGTGGTGGTACAATAGAGTAAATTATAAGTTTAGAATTTGGAAGGAGGGTGGAAATATTTGGATAATTAAAATTGGGAATGGGCCAGCAACTAGAAATAGTAAAGGCAAGCTGGATATAGAGAAGTCGGAAAAGACCCATCCTGCGCCTGCCTTATCAGTGATAATATGGCAGTTGTTTGTTACATAATTAAATTTCAAACAAATGCAATTAATTGCTCCACGATCGCTTTTGAATTCATGGTTAAATAATTAATAATTATGCACTCCTCTTTACTATTCTTTTTCCTTTTTCTTTCTTTTTTTGTTTTTTTGGATAAAGTATTAAAAAAAACAATTGATAATTATTTTATAGGTTTTTGTTTTTTAAAACAAAAAACTCAGATAATTAAATATTTATTAACCCAGTTAATTGAAATAGCAATTTATAGCAAACACATTTAGTAAAATTAGCAAAATAGCAATCACCCTTAGTTTTTTAAATATAGCATTTAAAAAAAAATGTCAAATTTTAAAAGACAACTTTATTCAAATGATACACATATGTAATACATGTGTAATATATCTGATATACTTGCAATATATATGTGATGTACATTTGATATACTATCGTTATGAGTGTCTGTGTAATATATATGTGATATATATCTAATATACTGTTATGAGTGTTTGATATACTATTGATATACTAGTTATCTGAATATGTTATATTTGAAAATTTTAAAAATAGATGACATATTTTAAAATACATAAAAATATTTTAATATTATATACATATTCAAATTAAAAACTTAAATTATAAAACATTTGACGTGTTTAGGTTTAAATATTCTACTTTTGAAATTTTCGTTTTGGTTGTTGTACTTTTAAAATTTGATTTGTTTGATTCATTTATTTTAACTCTTATCTAATTCATTTTAGTCACAATTTTAACATGATATTTTATTCCTAAAATTTATTGGAATGTAGCAATAAATTTGTATTAAAGAGTTTCAATTAAGTATAAAATTTATGTTAGAATTTTATAAATACATATCAAAATGATCACTTTTCAAAAGTAGATGGACCAAAACAAAAATTTTGAAAGTATAGGATCTAAAATAAACAAAATTTATAGTACGAATCAAGCCGTATACATGTATGTACGTGTATATAAACCAAAATCGATCGGGCTCTTGATGGTTCATGGGAATCGATCAACCAGCTGTTTGTTCTAAAAATTCAGAACCGACCAATCATAAATTCTATAAACTGACCAATCAACTTCGGTTCAACCGAAATCAGTCTACTCGATTTTTCGGCTATGTTTGAACTTAGATCAACCTATTTAAATGTTGCACAAGGTATCGGTATTGCCATTGGTACATTGGTGGCAGAGTGCAGACGGGCGTAGCCTATAAACTCTGACATTTGCTATCCGGGAAGTTTGTGAATATAGCACGTGGCAGAAGCTGATTGGAGTTTGGAGTTCAGAGTTTTTGGTGCATTATAAATCTTGGTTAGGAACAGAAAACGCGGCACAAACTGGTTGGATTAAATTTTTGTAGGGCCAGTACTGTAAATTCCGGAGAAGATATTCACACTTTATTGATGTATGGTGACGTGTGGATTATATTTTCACACTTTTATTATTGTACGGTAACGTGTCCATTATAGTTTAGAATTTTATTTTAAATAGATAAATACATATAATTTTATTTTGTCAAAGCGAGTCTAACTCAACGCTAATTGACACCATTTGTAATTTTAGAATAGATCTATGATGAAACTTACAATATACAGTAAGTTTCGAGTATAAAGTACGATTTTTGTAAAAGTATAGAAACAAAAATGGATATTTTAAAAGTACATGGACATAAAACGAACCAAATTTCAAACTACAATAATCAAAATAGTATTTTAAAAAAAATTATCAAACGGGATTTTATGCTCTCAAAGATGATAGAAGGCCAATTATCATTACATTGCACGAATATGTGCTCTCAGGATCTACCCTACTTGTGATGTTTGATCATTTTCTATTTCCATTCATCCGGAATTTGGTTGGGAGTTCCAAGACGGAGGAGATATGAATTCTATTAAGGCAGGCCATAGCTTGGATGTTTTGAGCTTTGGAGCTTCGGAATTCGCAATAGAATCTAATAACGTGAGTGGACGGTTTCTGATTCGTGTTCAATCCCCCTGTCCCATAGGACAATAATAGCCCATTTAAGTGGGTGAGGCGCAGGCAGTTGGAAGTTACTAGTATTATGAAATATCCCCATTTTCACAAACGTTGCTTTCCCCTCTTCTGTCATTTGTTTTTTCTCTCCTTATAAATCTCACATTCGCCACCCATTTTCCATATCTTTTGGAACAAATCAAAGCTTCATTTTCCTTCACCATTTTGAGCCTCTTTTTCATCTCTTTCAATGGAACCTCGTTTTCTGCTCACATTTGCCTTCATCTCCGTAAGTTTTTTCATGTACTTGATTCGAGTTAATTATAAGTAACCTACACTACAACAAGTTGGTTCTTTTTTTCTATAATGGTGAATCGTGGTGGTTTTCATTTATATGTTGTAGGTTGCGTCCGTGGTTAGTCATGCCACTCTCTCGGCCGAACAATATTGGAGTTCTATGCTACCAAACACTCCGATGCCGAAATCCATCAAAGATCTCCTTAGTTCCGGTAAATATATATACAAGAGATTATTATCAACAACATAGTTAGTTTTCGCTCATCGCACCATTAAAGTTTTGATACGAGGAGAAAGAAATGCAAAAAGAGATATATTTGGTATGTTTAAAAAAACAAAGAGTTGGTCGAGTTTTTAAGTGTGGTCGGGCAAGAAGATAAGTGTTACTATTTTTCTGAGTGTTATATATGATATGTAAAGCTTGTCGTCTCAAGGAGTTTTAATTTGTTCTTTCAAGTAAAGTTTAGAAACATTATTTTGCAGACTTTCTAGAAGATAAAAGTACTTCAGTGAATGTCGGAAAAGGCGGGGTTAACGTGCATGCCCCAAAAGGAAAGCCCGGCGGCACCTCCGTCGGCGTCGGCAAGGGAGGTGTCAACGTCCACACCGGTCACAAGGGGAAACCAGTGTACGTTGGAGTTAAGCCAGGCTCTAATCCCTTCGATTATATTTATGCAGCAACAGAAGACCAACTTCATGACGACCCCAACGTAGCTCTCTTCTTCTTGGAAAAAAATCTACGCCCGGCCACAAAACTCACCCTCCATTTCCCCAAAACTTCACTGCCAGAATCCACTTTTTTACCCCATCAGGTCGCCAAAAATTTACCCTTCTCGTCTCATAAACTTCCCCAAATCTTCGACCAATTCTCAGTCAAACCCACGACTTTAGAAGCCGAGTTGATCGAGAGGACGATCAAGGAATGCGAAGCACCCAATATGGTCGGAGAAGACAAGTATTGCGCTACATCGTTGGAGTCTATGGTCGACTTTAGTATTTCTAAGCTGGGAAATAAGGTGACGGCGATCTCGACACAAGTCGAGAAAGACACGAATTTGCAAGAGTTTACGGTTTCGGGTGTGGCGAAGAAATCGGTGCACGACAAAGCTGTTGTCTGCCACAAGCAAAGCTACCCATACGCTGTATTTTACTGCCACGCCACACAGCACACGCGAGCTTACAAGGTTAGTTTGGTCGGTGCTGACGGGACGAGAGTTGATGCCGTGGCAGTTTGTCACACCGACACGTCGGCTTGGAACCCGAAGCATTTGGCYTTCCAAGTTCTGAAGGTGAAGCCCGGAACCGTCCCTGTTTGCCACTTCCTCCCACAAGACCATGTCGTGTGGGTCTCAAATTAGAATTAAATAATATTTAAGTGTTGATGGTCGACACAAACCTGTCCAATTTTTAACGGTGGTCAATATCGAAAACATGGGTTGACCAAATCAACACTTAGTATTATTGTTCTTCAAAATATAGGAATAAAAGAAAAAACTATAGCACTTGTCCACATGCTATATGGGTTACAAGTAAACAAAATACTTTTCTTTAAATACTATTATCATAAATGACACTATTTTATCAGGTGACTTTGATGTAATTTTAAATGTTGGTTTTCCTGTGATAGTAGTATTTTACAGTACTTTTATAAGGTTGTAATACTTGTGAGTTACATGTAATAATACATATCTTCTCTTTCTCTTATTTTGTATTTCTTTTGGTACATTAAATAACTGGGGTATGAAAGTTTGAACCTCGAACTTTAAGGAAAGGATCGTAGATGTCAGTTATTGCTAAACTATTCTATATTAACTCTTATTTTATATTGATTTCTGGTATTAATGTAATTATTAATATTAAAATATGTTACTTGTCACAATTTTCGTTTTATTGGTAAATAATTTCTATTAATTAAATTACTGTTTATCTTTTCCACCTGATACTGATAGATACAACAAAATCTAACAAGGGGTAAAGTTAAGGAAGGAGGGACAATTACCTCCTCGTTGGTCTTAATTTAAAATTTTATGTGGAAAATAAAGATTTTAAAGCTTTCCTTCCAATGCCCTCCCTTCTATTTTAGAATTGAAAGATTATATAAATAAAAGGAAATTTTGCATCTACTTGTCAAATTTTATTTTATTATTATTATTATTATTATTTTATATAAAGTCGAAATTTATTTCTCATTCATTTCTTATACGAATGAAAATAATTGTCAATCAAAGATATAGTTCAAATTAATAAAATAAATTATTATCATCTCTCAAATTGATGTTTTTTTAGTACAATAAAGGTGTGTATTAGAATTTGAACTTAAAGACTTTAAAGAAATGAATTATACGTCTTTATCATATCATGTTGTTGACATCTGATGGATGGTTTAATTCTTTATCCATATATATATATATATTTATTTATTTAGTTTGTGATTTTTTATTATTTATTTAGTTTGTGGTTTTTTATTATTTTTTTAGAAAAAGAAAATGAGACTAGAAGGTTAAAAAAATGTTTGAAATGATAAAACTTGCTACAACCACTTAGATTTAGATACTACTTTGATTCCTCTAATTTCAAGTTTGATTCATTTTAGTTTTTATACTTTAGACTTTTATTCATTTTAATCTCTACAATTTCAAAAACATCCATTTTGGTTCCTATATTTTTAAAAATGATCATTTTAGTCTCTATTTACAAAATTTTAACATAAACTTTATATACAATGAGATCCTATAATATAAATTTATGACTATATTTCAAGGGATTCACTTTGACTATATTTCAAGAGATTTAGTGAATGCAATATCATATTACAATTTTAATTTAGCAAATGAGACGAAAATGAAAATGAATGATCAAAATAGAGACCTAAATGAATATTTTAAAAATATATAGACAAAAAGAAATCGAAATAAAAAAAAGAATTAAAATAGTATTTAAAATTGTCGGATTATTGTACTAATAAAAAAAATAGTATTTAAACGAAAAGTAGGATGTATGAACATTTCTGAATACTGTCCCATGCGACATAAATAGCCCATTTAAGTTGGTTGGGTGGAGACAGTTGGGAATTACTATACTAGTATGTATTGCTTTCCCTCTTCTCCCATTTGTTTTTCCTCTCTTTATACATCTTATAACCCATTTTCCACGTCTTTTAGTACACGCACAATTTCATCTTTTTTTAATATTTGTGAGTGTTCCAATTAGCTTGTGTGCAGCTCCATGAGTTACTAATGAAAAAGCCATCTACTCATTTCATTGTTAGTGAGTAGGTAGCAGTTAAATTGAGTCTCGTATCTCCATCGGGGTACCTCACTGACCGATATATGAGGCTCGCGGACTCTCGTTTTACCCTTTAGAGTTATAGTTGGGCTACGGATACTTGAGAGTCTATTAATATTCATGGATTCAATCTCAAAACCAATTGGTAATGAGAAGAGTAGTTCATTTTATTTTCAATGTGGGTTCCTTAACATATCCTCTCAAGGTCGTGGCTCTTTTGGCTCGTCGATCTTGGTCGGATCCCATTTTTTGACCAATTGCTTGTTTGAGCGTTTTGGATTTTAATACCATATTACCCTTTAGAGGAGTAGTCTATTTTCTTTTCAATGTGGATCCTTAACAGGGTTGGAAGATTTACCAGTCACGAGCAACCGTAGAACTAACGAGCATCTCGCACGCGAGGAACCAAACAAGTGAATAGAAAAGTGAAAATATATAGTTTTTACAACATTTGGTATCGAAAAACACATAAAAATTAATTTCTAAAGTAGGTTGTCGTCATGAAGTTTTGAACTCATTTTCTTGAAAACACAAAGCATCATTTTCCTTCCTATTTTAAGCCTTTATTCATCTCTTTCAAATGGAACCTCGATTTTTACTCACATTTGCCTTCAAAGTTGGTATGTACTTGATTACGGTCTATTTGATAATTATTTCATTCTTAATTTTATGTTTTTAAAAACGATACGTACTTTCTTCACATTTTTTTAATTATATTTTAACCTTTCTTAAAAACACATTTAAATTCTTAACCTATTGAATTTTTTTTTTAGTTTTTTAAATTTAGTTTAGACTTTTGAAAACATTTTTAAAAAGTATATAACGAAACATAGAAATACATAGATGAAAATAGTGTTTATAAGTTTAATTTTTAAAAACGAAGAAAAAAATAAAATATTTATCAAACGTAGTTAAATTGAGTATAATTCTTAAACTGCTTTTACGTTTAAGTGAGATTTTAAACAAAATATTAAATATTGAATGTATAATATATTAAACAAAATAGTTAGACGAAGCACTTATTTTGCTACTAGTTATAAATTTGTTTCATTTTTTAAAATATATGATAAATATTTATTTTTGTGAATTTATATCTCCTGCATGTCAAATGGTTGGTACATAAGTATTGCTTATATGTTCAAAAATAAAAATAAAAAGGAGAAAGGGATGAATGCAAGGACGATTTGGTAAGAAAATACCCAAACACAATGTACCTTAAATGAGTTGTTTGAATATGAATGTTGTATTATATATCGAGAAGCACACGCTTGTTGAGCAAAAAGACGTGGATACAGAGCAAAGTACTAAAAATAATAATTTAATAGTAAACGTTATGCCATCTTCGATATGTTACTAAACTTTCATGTGAATGAGAATGAAAATTCATTTCGTATTTACTAAAACGTAAGAATGTTATTAATCGGTGCGATACATGAATCACTCGTCTTAGACTCTTGAAAAATTAATAATGTCATTAATATTAAAAAAAAATCTCAAAATTATATTCTCATTCATTAATATTTTTTTTTCAATTTTACGGTTTATTTATTTATTTAATTTGCAAATAATTTTTGTTTAAATAAAAAAGTATATAACCTCTATTATTGGGTTTGATGTTGTTATGGAGTATCACGGATTTTCTGTTTAGTTTACCAATTATTTAATTTCACTTTAATATTATTAACTAATATCAATAAAATTTTTAAAATAGGAATCATTGTGATTAGTAAAATAAAATAAATTAAAACTAATTATTATTTTAATAAAAAAATATTAGCATATTTTTAATTAATATATTTATAATTGTAATTAACTAAAAATGAGAAAGAGTATTTCATTAATAGTTATAAACGGATTCCTATTTTTATTATCTCAGAAAATTTATAGCAAATAACAAATAAATTAGAAAAAAAATCTCAGTTGGATTGATTTTATTACAGATTCCTTATATTTTGATTACAGTAAGAAAATATGCCCAAATATTCTTTGGTTCCATATCGAAAGAATTTTAAAGGCACCAGTGCTGCACGCGCCTCACGCGCCACGACGCAGATTAGCGGAAACGAGCCTCAGCGGGCACTTGCGAATTTGTGATTAGGGTTTTATGCTGGGTTCTACTTCTTGAGCAAGTTTCCCTCCAAATTTCGGTTTTCCCGAGTTCCCAGCCTTCCCCATTGTTCTTCGGACACTCATTAGCCTTTCATGATCACTTTCAGGTATCGAGACGATTCTATCTGTTTCTTATTGTAAAAGTTTTGTTCATCATCGTGGTGACAATATCTTTTTTTTTTTTTTTACGGATTTTGAAGTTAGGGCTAGACTAGTTTTGGAATGATTGATGAATGTCGGGCTGGTTTATGTATTTCGGATGCTGGAAGAAACACTCGGCCTTGGAGTCTTGAGTTCAAAATTCTTTATTCGGAATTCTTTTACTTTTATTTTTAATTATTGGTCGAATACTTTAATATCAGTTCATCCGTGGCCGGGACTTGGAATTTCTGTTTCTTCAAGTTAAATTAGTTCTCTTGGTAGGTCTCGGGGTATGCTTGAAACAAAATTGAAATTGAATTGCTCGCTCTGTTTCTTTCGCAACTTTCTAATTTGTAGGGTTATTATTTTCCGTTGGGTTGTAATCTCTCTCTTCTTGTGCAACCTAGTTAGGTTCAATGTACATGTTTTATTCAACTAATCAATATGGAGCCTATTTGTGCTTGTATGCTTTATATCCTAGTACTGTTTACGAAATTATCTCAAAAACTAGTTAATCAATATTCATGTTGGCATTTCTGTTTTAATTTTCAAAGTGCTAAACTAAATAGTATTTTTATTTGGTTCCAGCTGCAGTTTTTCTTGTGGGAGGTCTGCTTTGGTATTATGGTAGAACCAGAGCAAGTGGAGAACATTGAATTTCGATGGGGCAAAAGGAAAGCAATTGGTGGGAAGAAGAAGGATGTGACCTTTTATGAATCTTGTACTTATGACGGCGTAGAATATTTTCTTTACGACTCTGTCTACCTATATAAGGAAGGTGAACCAGAGCCTTATATTGGAAAAATTCTTAAAATGTGGCAGAATCCTGATAAGACAAAGAAAGTAAAAATCCTTTGGTTTTTTCGACCTTGTGAGATTCTTAATTATCTTGGAGCTGAAGACACACCGGATAACGAATTATTTTTGGCATCTGGTGAAGGTGTTGGCCTTGCCAATGTTAATCCTTTGGTAATTCTTAGCTTTTATCTTTACTATTATTTTGAGACATTCTATTTCTCTTGATTTGTTACCTTTTTTGCCGAACGTGTTTAATTTGTTATTACAGGTCATTGGTAAAAATTATCAAACGAGTAAGTTCAGATAAAATTACAGTCTTATCGAAACGATGGTAATGAGCTTATGTTAGGATTGTGCTCAACCTTCATCTCTGGTAGCTTTGTGTATCACTTCTTAATTTTATCCTTGAGTGGTAGCCCCATCCATTATCTTTTCCCTCGTCTCTTTCATTTGTCCTCGCCTAAGTTTGTCCCGTGGCTTCTATCATTATTAAATTTTAGGGGTTACAAATCCTTAGATGATTATTTATTGCTTTCTCTGCTGGCCGATATTTTCCCTTGCCCGGGTGCCAAGGATGTAATTTTATGGTCCCATAGCCCTTCTAGGAAGTCTTCGTGTGGCTCGTTTTTCTCCCTTTTGTGTGGGACCTTCTTCTTTGTTTCCATGCTCTAGAGGTTTAAATTCCCAAGTAAGTCAAATTCTTCTCTTGGTCTAAATCCATTGACCATATTTAGAGATTGTCTTCTATTCTTTTGTGGGCCCAGTGTGCAATGTGCATAAGAAGGCCTTGAGAAGTTTGGAGCATATTTTGCGGGATTGTCAGTTTGTTGGTGGTTTGAGACAACTTTATGGAGGCTTTATGAGTTCATATGGCTACTAAAATATCGTGTTGGGCTATAATGGCAGGAGTATTGTACCATCCTTCCTTTCAAGATGGAGGAATGACTCTTTGATACATTGCTTTCTTTCCAGTCTTATGGAACATTTGACTTGAGAGAAGTAGGAGGTCTTTGGAAATGTGGAGAGCTCTTCGGAAGAGGTTTGGGTGTTGGCTAGGTTAAGTGCCTTTTTTTGGGTTTTGGTATTGGTACTAAGGAATTTTGTGATTGTCCTTTTTCCCTCCTTTTGAACTGGAGTCTGTTTTTGCAATTGTGTACTTCATGAAATTTTTATTTTTTTGGGTCCTGGGTCCTCTTGTCCTTGGCTTTCTTTCATTTTATCTCAATGAAAGTTGGTTTATTTAAAAAAAAATATTAGTGAAGGAATGGGCTATGTTCATTTCTTTGTTCTTTTGTTTCAAAATAGCTTATTTGAGGATATTTCTTGTCTCAAACTAGGAAGTGATTGCTGGAAAGTGCAACGTTCTCTGCATTTCCAATGACAGCAGAAATCCACGACCTTCAGATGAAGTTCTCAAAAAGGCTGATTTTGTCTTTTCTCGTACATTTGATGTTGGAAAACAAGAGGTCTGCAATGACATGTGTGGAAAAATTGCTGGAATAGAAGGTTTGATTTCAGTTTCCCAAAAAAGGAAAAAAAAATCTCAATAATTTAACTCTTGGTTGGCTTGTTATGATCTGATCTCAAAACTGATTGTTTCTTTTTCTGTCGCAGTTAAATTTTTACTTAATAGAGTAGATAGTTCAAAGGATGTTAACAGGACTGATAAGGATGGGAAAGATGCAAGTGGCGGTACAATTGTAAATACTGAATTTGATGATCCCTCTCAACAGAACACTCCAAATGGAGAATTAACTTTAGAGAAGCATGAAAGCTCTGTCGAGAAGTCCACAGAGGAAAATGTTGATTTGAAGGTTTCTCTGCCTACACAGAAATCCTCCAATGAAGAGAAGTCTACTGCTTGTGCAAGTGATGGAGGACATGGAATGGCTAACACTAGTAGCAAAGAAGAAAACATCTTAGGTGATAAGGTCTCTCCAAGGCTTAAAATCGATCCTAACGAGATAGCTGGTAAAGATGTCAAAGCGCTAGCTAAGGATGTTGAGTTTGAAGATAGAGTTAGAAGTCCCAAGGGCTCTGCCGAAGTTGAACATAGGCCAGCTAAGAGGGCAAAGCTAGATACTTCTATTCAGTCATCTCCTGGCAAGGCCAAGAACAACGTTCAAAAGTTCGGTCTTAATCGCAATAATAGTGATACACAGGCTTCCGCACCTAAGAGTATTGTTTCTGAAGATGCTTCCAAAACCAAAAATGTAAAAGATTATCATGGAACAAAAGACGGCCTTATAAAGAAGCCTAAGCTTGATGAGAAGCCACCAAAGGTTTTTAATGGCACGAATATAAAATCCCCTTCCCAAATATCTTCAGACAAGAGTGCCAAAATAGATGGTCAAACTGTGGAGGTTACCAGAAGGCCAGATGCTGTAAGTTGTATTTCTAATTTTCTAGTATTTTTGTTTCACTTTTTACTACTATGGTCTTATAATCTAATTGACTCTTAAGTGGGAAACATAAAATAGCATAATCCTTGCAGTCATTTGACCTTCAGAAGTAGCAGATATGAAATATTTCATATTATGGGACACTTGACGTTTATCTCATTCAGTTTGTTGTTGCTTATTTGCACAAATTGCATCTTGTTCATGCACTGCAGCACTGGTGGTTGGTTATTGCTAGAATTATTTCTCATGTCTTTGTCAGTATCTTTTTCTTCCGTGTTAAACTAATATTAAGGTTTTCATGATGCATTTTTTTTCCCTTGAAAGTTCCATGTTAATTTAACGGCCTATATACTTTGGAAAACAGTAGTGAAATATGGATCTTTTTGCATTAGCCTGCATAAATTGAATTTTGTACATGCACTGTAGCACTGCATTTGGGTCATGTTAGTGGTTGGTTATTACTGGAATTATCTCTCTTGACTTTGGCCCTATCTTTTTCTCCCTTGTTCAGCCAAATTTTAAGGCTTACATGATACAATTCAATATTCTCGAAAGTTCCATGTTTATTAGGTTGAATATGGATTATTATGGCAAACATTAGTGGAATATGGATCTTTTTACCATGGCCTGATATCTCCTCTTATTTATTTTGGTACAATAATTCTATTTGAGATGAGTTTTTAAGGGTTCTGATTGTTATGATTTTCAACGTTTGGACAGGATAGAAGCAGATGGTTCAAGGGACTTGTAAGTCAATCTCTCACTTCTGTTACTCATCATCTTTTATTTATTTGTTTGGATAAGAAACGATAATATGATTCATTATCAACGTAAGGGGCCAAAAGACAGCATGCAGAGTCGAAGTGTTGTTGAATTTTATTTTATTTTATTCTTTTTCTTTCCAAATGCCCACAGAAAAGCTCTAGCAGCTCATCATTTTATTATTGATTTTTTTTAATGTCAAATCCTTTTAAATTATCTAAATCTTTGTTTTAACTGCAATTCTTCCCAGGGACTCATTTGTCCTCTCTGCTGTTTCAACACATTCATTTAGTCATTCTATTTATTTCCAAGTCTAAGATTTAGATAGTCTTGATTCTAGACATCTACTCCCTTTTCTTTTTGATGTGGAGCACAGAAAAGATTTCAGAAAAGTAAGGAGGGTTGAGAAGACGGGTGATTTAAAGATTGAGTGAAAAGGCAATTAGAACTATAAGAGGATATCCGTGCAAATTGAAAGTAAGATTCTCTCCATAGAAGTAGATACGAGTTTTGGAGGAATTAGAACTAGGAGCTTAGATTGAGGTAGGGATATTACCTTCTTCTTTTCACTTCATTGGGGTTGTTTGGTTAGATAGTTGCTTCGTCACCATCTTCAACATTTTCCTTAACCATACGTTCTCTCAAGAGTTGAAAAGTAATGACCATGTGTTTTGGGTGGCAAAATCTTCAAACAAGAAAGGGGTTTTCTAGTAAAATCTTTGAATATTCACGAAGGGAAGAAGAAACGAGGTCCCTTTACGGTACGTGTTGATAGAAAAGGCTGGACCTCCTTCCCATCCTAATATCGCCTCTAAAAATCAACCACATCAGTTCAAATCAAGTTGTGAGCTCAAGTACCGATCCTTCAACTTGTATTTAAAGGTTCCTGAGCAGTGTTTAGATTATTCCACCTTCCCTGCCATTTAGAGTTGTTTTTGCTGAAAAGATATGCAAAGCATTATACTCTCCCATTAATTGAGAAAAGAAAGAAAAATTATGTGGTGCAATATCATGATAGCCTACATTTTGTCTTTATTACTTGAGAGAAATAGAAGAATCTTCCAAAGAGGAAATTGTCTGAGATAGGTTTTTCTAGCCCTTACTCGGTGGCTGGTGCAAACTATATCCACTTTTTGTAATTACAATTGTTTGAATGTATGTGCCAATTAAAACAGCTTTTGTAATCTTCCAATGGTTTGCTTGAGGCTTTGTTCTCCTTTTTGTATCTCTATTTTCATTATTTTGATGAAAATGTTTTTGATTTCTTACCTAAAAAGATCCATCACGTGGTCATTTCTTGAGACACTTATCTTGCTCTTTCTAAGGTTTATTGATAATTATTCTAACCAATTTAGCTGATTATCTCTATGCTAGCCTTGGGAAGAAAGAATGAAAACTGCACATGAGCAAGGAACACTTGTTCTGATTCAAAACTTGGATCCAGCTTACACTTCAGGTGAAGTGGAGGTAATAATAAAATTTTCGCCTTGATTATTTGATGTGATATGCTCTACTGTATTGCATTATTATTTTATTTTCTTGACTATTTCAACTACCATTTGGTGGCTCATGGGTTCAAAGGGCCTAGCAAAAATTGAGAGAGAATGAGTTCAAACCCATGATGGCTACCTACCTTAGAAATTAATTCTTATGTGCTTTCCGGCACCAAATGTTGTAGGGTCAGGCGGCTGTCTCGTGAGATTAGTCGAGGTGCGGGCAAGCTGGCCCAGACACTCACGAATATAAACAAAAAAATTAATAATAATCAACTACCATTAAAAAATCACTTTAATTATACATCTTAGTCCAATATCCCTCACTTCCTGTACAACGTTCCAGGATATCGTGTGGCATGCCTTCAGTGAGAGTTGCACAGCAAAGATGGTTCAGCGTACTGCATATTCTATGCCTCACATAGGTATGAGCTTAGGGCATTCTCCGAACTCCCCTTCCATATAATCATGAAATGATTGAGCATGTTTCTTTTCAATTGTTAGTGTTCGAGTTCCTTGAGAATTTTGTTACCCATATTTTTTGTAGGTCAAGCTTATGTTGTATTCAAAACCAAGGAAGCAGCAGAGAAAGTGGTTAGAAAACTAGATGAAGGTTGCTTAGTACTCTCAAATGGGAGGTAAGCTTGCGTTCCATATAGTATGCTGTTACCTTCAGACCATATATTATATTCCACTGGTCCTCTGGGAAGAATATGCGGTTACCTTCAGACCACATATTATATTCCATTGGTTCTCTGAGATCTACTGTTTTATTCCTTTATATTGGTAAACACCCTTTGAAGTTGTACGTGTTTGCTTTGGCAGATCAAAGAGGTTTAAAGATAGTTTTCACCTCCCACCCGACCCCAACCCAACCCAATTTAATCCCTACTGACTTGAGGTTTATGCACGTTGAATAACTATTCCCAGCTAATTTTTTTCCTTAAAATTTTCCAGGGCTCTTGTTGGTAGCTTTGCAACTCCCCATTTCCCGGCAAAGAAACAAACTTTTTTTGGGCATCACAGTATCGATAAGCTTAGACATCAGATGCAACGTGAGATGGTAACGCCTGCCTATCTTTCTTAAATACACAGATTGCGCTCCTGTCTATTCAATCCCCCATTTATTCATTATTCATTTATTTTTGGTTAATTCCCAGAAAGATGCTGTGTCAACCTCGCATTGTTCTCAGCCGAACACGGTAGAATATGACATGGCCATGGAATGGTGTTTACTAGAAGAAAGATCAGAGCTTGCCTGCAAAAAATTGTTTAAGGTCTAAATTTCATTCCATTGAACTTAAACCATGCAGTGTTATAATTGAGTTTTCTATTTTTCTGAACTTGTACTTGTTTTATTTATTTATTTCTAGCAACAAGAAGAGGAGTTAAGAAAACTCAAGAGCAAGCTGATATCTAGATGAGCTTCATCAGCCCCGAAAGATGCTATATTTGGCAAGTACTTTTGACCGTGCTATAAATCGTTTTGATCTAGCATTTTGAACCATGTGTATACCTCCACTCTTGCAAGTACCCAGAGGTGATGAGTCTTAGTTTTGTTGCTCTTGCAAGTTATCAAAGTGGATTAGTCGGCAATGTGTACATTGGTAAACCTCTCGATCTTATTCTGATGTCAAACATATATATATATATAGATTCTGCCTCAAATGTGTTATTTTTTTCATTCAATGGATGTGTGAATTAATATGATCTTCTGGCAGAGATAGAGATGGGTGGGAGATCAGTTAGATGAGGTCCAAGCTGGGTGAAACTTACAGCGGAGTTCAATAGGAAGAAATTTTGATTTCGGAATCAAAACACGAGTCTGATTATAGCTGCTGCATCACTGGAGGCATGGTTGATTATCTATACTTCATGGGTGAGTGTAGATAAATTTTCATTTTGCTTCTTTCCCAAGTGTAACAGATAAATTTGAAGCAGCCAGCCAGTGTTTGAGAGGTCAATTATTTATTTATTCATGGACTTCTCTGCCTTTGGTATAATCAGTTCTTAGTTTAAGTTTTGATGGTAACCAGCACCAAACCCTTAGAGCTTGCAATTTTGAAAAACGTTCGATAATTGATAACTATTTTGTTTTTGAAAATTAATTAATATATTTCTTTGTTACCTACTTTTAAAAATATATTTTAAAATATAAGTCAAATTTTAATAATTAAGAATTAGTAGTTGTTTTTGGAATTTGAGTGAGAATGCGAATGTGTAATCAAATAAAATATTATTATTATTATTATTTTGTGCTTGGAAATTTAAGTGTTTGAAAATGGGTTATCTTGGGGTACTTGAAACAAATATATTCAATTAAGGTCTATATCTCCGACCTAAAGGTTTGAATTCCTACACAAATACGTTGAATTCAAATAACAAAATAACAATAATAATAGTTTTGGATTGGAATATTGTTCAAAGGAGTTCTTTTCTTTTATAATAGCAAGAGTTCATTAAAAATGTCATTGATGTTTTGATGTATAATTTTTTTAGAGATGTTTGGAGAGGTAAATTTACACTTGTGCAGGTGTAAATTTGGAGATGTTTTGATACTAAGGACTAAAGTTATTTTTCATTAATATTTATTATTTCTTAAAAAATAAGATTAATATTTATCTTTTTTTTTATGAAGAAAACAGTTATTAATATCTAATCTATGCCCATTTATTTTCAGTTTGAAAAAAAACCATATTCATCCGATCAAAATTACGGGTTAAATTTGCCATCTACCATATTCTCGATTTAATTATTTTAGTCTATTGATTATTAAAATGATGGAGTTGCCAACAATCGATTTCGTATCATCTTCAAAAATTATATTGATGGCTTAAAAGTCAAATAATAATTCATTCTGTCACGTTTATATTCTAATCCTAATTGCCAAACTCCTATAATTATTTTTAATTCTTTATCCAAAAAAAAAATGAAGAAGAAGATGCAGAGATCCCATCACAATAAAAATAATATTAAATTAATATATATTTTTTAAATAAATAATATATAAACAACTTAAAGCATGGTAACGTCTAGTTAAAACATCTTACAATTTAGAACCTTTTACAAATTTTCAGTTATAAAAGTGTTTATTTTGGAACTACAATTACTAAATAGACACTCAAGGTCAAAGACCAAAGTATTTTATCTCATTTTACATATATATATATATATATATATATATATATATATATATTTATTGAAATTGAATTATAAAATGATAATTTATATAACTAGAGAAGCTGTCACTCTCTGACTTGTAGGAGTTTGAAAAAGAAGACTCTTTCGGCGGCTCTTTACTTATATTCTCATTTTCCTTTCCAAATCATCTCCTCCATCCTCTACTTCTCTCTCAAACTCTACATTATAATTTGTGAATCCATTCTTCCAATTTTTGCTTCTGCTGCTTCTAGTTCATACATATTGAGGCTCGAATCCGCAAATTAAAATGGGGATCAAATGGCGCAACGGCAGCCAAAGCATCAGGCTGGGGCGGTCCTCCGTTTCAATCGAACGAGATAGCAAACGGCCCGGATGGCAGATTTTGTGGCAGAAAATCGTCAAGGAGAAGAAGAAATTCTTCGGTTCTTCTTCTGTTATGGAATTGAATTCTTCTTA